TTGAACTAACATGTCAGTGGTGTTAGAGCACCTGCACCAAACGCTACATGGGGCGACACGAATGAAAGATTTATCAAACTGAACGCATAAACTATGAATCTGCCACCCACTTAACAAAATCTACTTAGAGACTAGGGATCGCTCGCGGTGGTGCCTACCAGATGCTTGATTTCTCGGACAATGAGCTGGCCAAGGTGCACATGCGATACCTTGCTGTTGGAAGCTAAGATAGGATCATTTTCGAAAGAACGAACACCCTATTATATTAGCTTGTGTTTCTAACCTTGCATCTCCTGCACCTGCTTTGCAGCCGCAGCATCTGCCCGGTTGTTCGCCTCAAAAGTGTAGCTTTTAGATATGAGCCGGCATGCTTATACAAACAATAATCAATACAATCTTTGCTTGAGATCTGCGTGCAACTGTCACTCATGGATCAGACCTTCGGTTTTTAGGTGGGTTGCCTTTATTTTGGTTCTTATGCCGATCAGGTCCAGGATTTGAACATGCTGATTGTGAGACCGAATCGGAAGACCTGAACCAAACATTCACAACTTTGGATCATGACATGACTTGTTCCTTCGCGCGTGCCCCGTTCGACTTCCTGCTCTAGCAATAGTTCGTGGTGCTGTCTCCAGGTGAAGAGTGTCCATTTTGACCGGTTATCTTGGTTCAAGAGGTATTTGGCAGGTAGGTCGTGCTCAAAATCATTGCATCCATTGACGCATACAGTTCTCCGTGTACAGAAGTCTCGAATGGAATACAATTGAGCACCACCCATAGAAACATGAACAGCGTCTGGTATTGCAACTAATGTATCTTGCTGTCAAGAGCAGTTGGGAAGGGAATGTTCCATTGCGGCGGCGACGCGTTCTACCTATTTGATAGTAAGTCTTAGGTGATAGCACATAGCTCTCAGTCAAAACAGTGCAGACCTGGGTTCGTTTTCGTTCACACTCTCAATCAACATCGACAGTCTACTGTTGGCAATTGGCATATATCTCGTAAATTTAGTTTACCATGGTACATGTACTTTACAATACCTAGTAGCCACAACGAGGCGATTCCCTTCTGCTTGGCTAAGAGAGAAATAAAGTGCTTCAACTCGTAGCGAGGCGCCACCGCCGCAGCACGGTAACAACCTCTCTGAAGCTAAGACGCTGCACTGCGACCAACCTTGGGCGACCAGCGGCAGCAGCCTTGTCTGATTGCGCGCACACCTCGTCGGGCTCCGCGTCCACACGCGTGCGCACCGCCAGATGCACCATGGAGATGTCGTGGGCATCGATACGCGGGCTCCAGTCTCGTTCGTGGGTGACGGCCAAAGTGCGCGCGTTCAAGCTCGACTCGGAGCCGCACGGCACCGGCGGCCAGCGCACAAGTGAGGAGTGGCGCACGGCGCAGCGGCGAGCTACGCGGGCTTGAACAGCAGGAACAGCAGCGATGCACCCGGATAACCTCCGTGGACTTGACGCGCTCCACACTCATGGGGCATGTAGAGCACCTCCGCCTACACGATGCCCGCACCGTTCTGTGCGTCAACCGTAGTAACCGCGACGAACGGTGTCTGCCGCACCACCACGTCACTTTCCGTGTCCTCGATCACCAAATAGCCCAGCTTGCACAGCGCGCTTGCACAGCGCACTTGCACAGCGCAGCATGTCGTGCTGCACGTGGTGCGAGGCGGACTTGACCCGTCGACGTTATAAGCCACTTCCTGGTCGACTGCTGCTTGGGCTGCTCCTGACGCACCTTGCCCACCTGCTGTTCGTGCTGCCATGACGCATCTTGTCCACCTGCTGACCCCTGCGATGGCGCTGCTGCATCTTCTAGGCCTCACTCATGCATGGGGGCATGAGTCATGCCCCCTCGCTGCTCTGCTGGTGGGGCTTGCGCTCGTTTGCGTTGGAGCTCCTCATGGTGAGGATCTTGCTCGTCTTCCTCCGACGCAATCCGTTGTGGTATTGCCGGGGGCGGCGACCCAGGGTGCTGCAACGGCTTGGACCGTGGAGGTGTGACTCGGGCATCATCGAGGAGCGGGCAGCGTTAGGTAGGCTTGGCTTCCCAGCATCATGGCTGAGGTTTCAAAGTGAGCCTTTTCAGCGTGGCAATTGTGATCCAATCACAAGTTCAAAGAAAAAGTACAGTCTGATCAAATCCAAGACCTGTTCTGTAAAAGACCCATTTAAAAATCTTCCTTTAGGTGAAATGTGTTTTTTTTAAAACTTAAAAGATGCAAGAATAACCGGTGAAGGAGCACGTTGTAGTTAAACGTTCGGCCCCAGCTCATAGTGTATCAGAGTGCGAAACAACGTCAGTGTTGTGGGGTAGATGAATTCGGTAACGACGCCGAAGAAGGTGGAGACGCTGGGAGCACCACGCGCACGGCATGAGATTCGCCTTGAATGGCGTGGCGTGAGCGGATACAGTGCTGGTAGCGTAGGAACGAGGGATCCGATGCACCAGCATTCAGCTACTAAGCTCATGGATGGTGTTGCACACGACAGTAAAGCGGTCGTCTATATTGAAGTATCGTATGTGGGAGTTGTGCGAGTCCTTTGATTCATTTACTATGACCAGGTCACTCTTCCCGAGTATAAGGAGGAAAATGATATAACAACAACGCCAGTGGTGACTATGGTGCAGACTCCAATACTGAGGAACTACTGGAGGACTTTGTGGCTGCGGACAAGTGCGGACATGAGCACATGAAGTGCCGGTGCGGACGCTTCCAAGTCCCCTTCGCGCTACATCAAACTTTATATCTTACCCACGGTATTGTTGTAATCTATGCGCGTGTTGCTGGGACCGACGACACAGGTAACATCCACGTAATATACTAGGGCTCCGCGAAGGCTGGGATAGGAGGAATTTGGTATAAACCCCCTCTTTAGTTTTATTGATGTCTTTTCTTATGAGCTACGGTCATCTCCTGCGCCTGCTTCGCAGCCGCAGCATCTGCCCGAAAATTGTCCTTAAGACTGTAGATGCCAGATATCAACTGGCAACGCTTTACAACAAATGCGAACCTTGGCTAAGATCTGTTTGCAGCTTGTAGAAGTTTTATACTTGATAATGCAAATGCTTATTTCTAGTGCTACTACAGTCCGCCTCAATCGTTCTCTTTACTTCAATTCGTTCACTGCTCGAATATACGTACTGAATCATACCAGTGTCTTCGGTTGCCCACCGGTTGGGCCTGCCCCCAGTGCGAAGTGATTAACGCAACCTTACTAGGAACATAAAAAATCCCAGAAGGTTGCTCAAGCAACCTTGCAATTTACGATACATTTCCTCGACTGAGTAGCTTGCCGCAAAATTTCTACTTGGGGTAAGATATTCGTACTGTAAAATTGTTAAGGTTGTCCGACGCGGCCGGAAGCTCGTGCGAAATATGCTTCATTTCGAAAGATCCAACGTGGAAGGCAAGCCGAAGAAGTAGCAGCTACCCCTGCTCGATGACGTGTAAGTAAGTGTGTTTGCCATGGATTGGGGGTGCGAGTACATCTAACCTGTGCCTCTGGACAGTCAGTAGCCACGTCCAACGGCCAAGCACTGGACGGAAGTGGACGACAGCCAGCGACTGGATGGCTGGAAGACGCTGCGAGGGCTGTGCGTGGATGCCCACGCCAAGAATGTGCGTGGAGGGCTGCGGCGAAGACTGTGGCAGCGAAGCGCGCCTGAAGGCATCTTATGGTACGTTGCACTGTGCGGAGAAAGTTGTAAGGTGCTTGCGTTCGTACTCCAACGTGTAATGCCTGTGCGCGTTCGAGCGGACATGAAGATCACGATTGCGGTCCGGCAAATCCATATCACAGCCAAACCTAGATGGGAAGAAGCGAAAGCTAAGCCACGTAGGGCGTAATATATGGTATGGATAGGGCTTGAACAGCTATGTTGGCTATTACTGTATGCTTGACGGATTGGGTTTGACCGGGAAGTCCTTAGCAACTACCATTTAGCCGGAGAAACCAGTGCTATGAGACGACGGCCTTGGTAGGTGTAGGCTGCACTTGTATATACTCGATGTCTTGGCGTGATGAACATGAATTTTGTTGGCCCATGGCCCCATGGTCGATGCCGATTGGCTTCGCACTTTTGATCTAACGCAGCGCCAACGAGTGGCATGCTTGCACCAGGTAAATGTGCTGCTTGGGTTGCGAGTATTTTACGCCGAGCTTCGCCTGCATCTCTCTCCTTCTGACACAAGAATTGCGGTGCTTTTAACTAAGACTACTTCGTGTTGCACGCAGTACCCGTAGAACCTGGCGGGCTGCTGAACCACGGCGGATAGCGTCGTGGTGGTGATAGTCTCGCTCGATGCGGTGCAGCTCCTTCCTCTTAGCATGTTGAGGCCGCTTTGAGCAGTCACCAGCCCGTATGATCGTCAAATTTCGATCTCAAAATTGACTCCGCTATTGTCATTTTCTCCTCGATAAATTACCGGTTGCTGAAGCAACCTGTAATTTTAGGGTTGCCGAGCCGTTTTTAAGGTTGCGGAAGCCTCTTTAAGGGTGCTGTAACCCGGTGTCGTTGTGTCGTAACAAAGTTGCTTTACGGACTGCCCCAGTGCGGCACCGGATTCATACCGGTGTAATAAATATTTTACCGGTTCGACTTGCCCATGGGGCCATACCGGTTTCAATAAAATATACCAGTCAGATGTCAAGAGGGGTCATCGTTTGACTTGACGTACCACGGATATAATCCTATTTGGTCTGCGATAGCAGCACTAACGTTGCTTCCTATCCCAGTATAAGTATATAAAGACTATTCCAAGATACGGTTTATTGATTCACACGTTTAAGCGTGGAATTCTAGCAAATCTCGTTTGTTCTGATTGCATTTACTAAACCGAGAATGACGGGAAATGGGGGAAACCCAAATTCAGACCGGCGTCCATTGTTTTCTGAAAATAAATTTCAGAGAACAATAATTGATTGCCAACCACATTTTCAATGAGTGGGCGCAGGAACGCGGTGCCGTGGCTCGACTGGGCCGAGTGGCGCGAGGTGCATGTGGGGCTCTTCAGCAGCGACCCGTACGCGCAGCAGCGCGTGGTCTCCCGCGTGGCGTCCTGGCGCAGTCGCGTGCAGCTCCCCGTTGCCATCAACGCCACTGCTCAGCTGGTGGAGCTCCAGCTCCACGAGTCCATGGCGCAGCATCACCACCACGCCGTAGGCGTCAGCTCTCGCTCGCACATGGAGCTGTCGCTGCTGTACGCGAGCACCGTCGTGCGCTGCGTGAACGGCCTGGTGGACGGCTCGCAGAAGGGCGCGTACGCCTCAGCCGTCAGCACGCTGGCGCAGCGCATCGGCATCCCGCTCTGGATCGTGGACCTGCGCCACGAGTCCACGCACAACCAACTGCCGTCGCTGCCGGTGCTGCGCTTCGCTGCCAAGCATCTATTGGCGTGGCTGCGTGCCAACTACTGGGGAGCTCAGGAGGACTCTATTCGAGGACAAGTGCATCATGTGGCGCAGTGGCTGTTCGAACAACTGCCGCATTTGAACAAACAACCAGGCGATGGCGAGATGCAGGTGGACTCTGAAGGCGTAGAGAGAATTCCGAAGCCCATTTTGGATGCGGACAACCTTCGTAATGTGGTGGTTCCGTTGTTGGCGGTCGGAGAGCAGTACGGGGAGCGTGTGGCGCCCACTGGATTGCTGATCCTTGAAGCGCCGTCGCTGCCGGAAAACCAAGATGCCAAGGACGCAGCGGAGATCTTTCAGAAGGAGGCGTTCGTGACGTTGCTGTTGCAGCTTCAACCATCGTGGAGGACCTTTAGTGCGTCGCTGCTAGCGAGATTGTGCCGAAAGGTGTTCGACGCTATCTGCCCACCGAAGTCTCGTCGTGAAAGTTTTGAAGGCGAGGAAGTACCAGCGCAGGACGAGTCGGAAAAGGCTTTCCAACAGAATGACGTGGAGTTGACGCTGCAGTGGATTAAGTTCATGGTGAGCAGCGAGTATCGGGAGAGGGTAAAGCTTCAGATTGGCCCGATTGAAGATCTATGCCAGTGCGGTGCCGAAATGCTCGCACTTGCTGAGAAGCTGAAAGCTGACAATGCAGCCCTTGAGCAGCTTGAACTGCTGGAGCGCTTGCTGACGGTATTGAAATCCAGCAAAGGCATCCGAAACCACCCAACGCTCGGTGTCGAGGCGGGGATTGCTTCTAGCTTAGCGTCCGAGCCAGCTTCGGGCTGGACGCAGCTCCCTGCGTGGGTCGAAAGTCCACTTGGCCTTCGTCATTGCTACTCAAGTTATCACAGCGCCAACCAGTCCCAGGTTTGCGAGTACTCACTTGACGACGACAGTCTCATGTTGGACAGCACGACGTTTGTTGAGCCCGATGAAGATGGAGAGGATAACAATGCTGACGATGCGGAGAAGGCTATGGACGCGCTCATGGAGGACTTGGATGCTGCGTACGATACAGCACTCCAGCAGACGCTTGATTTGCAGGCCACCATTGCCCGTGACGGCCTCCGACAAGGTAGTAGCACGACGGTGCTGCCCAAGCAAGAACTCCAACGCATTCAGGAGGAGATTGAGATCTGGTAGCCAGCCTGGCGAACAGTTATACTACTTCCAATAGATTTTGTGCAATGTACAGCAGTTTGGTTAGGACACACGTTTCTTCTTCCATTACTCTGGAGTGCTGCGGCCTAACGAGGAGCGTTGACTGCCTACAAAATAAACTTGGAGAGGTCCGTCTTCTTCATGAGCTTGCCCACGCGCTCGAGCACGAACTCCTTGGTGATAGTGACAGTGGATCCAGGGGCCATCTCGGAACTGTCGAAGCTAATGTCCTCCACCACCTTCTCCACCACCGTGTGCAGTCGCCGGGCGCCAATGTTCTCCACGGTCTGGTTAATTTCCGCGGCGACACGAGCGATCTCACGGACAGCGTCGTCCGTGAAGTTCAGGTTAACACCCTCCGTCTTGATAAGCTCAACCTGCTGCTTGATGAGGTTCGTCACAGGCTCCGTCAGAATCCGGTGCAGGTCTTCCTCAGTGAGGCCCTTGAGCTCCACACGGATAGGAAGACGGCCCTGGAGCTCAGCAAGCAGGTCCGACGGCTTGGAAGAGTGGAACGCACCGGAGCCCACGAACAGAATGTGGTCCGTGTTGACGTTGCCGTGTTTGGTGGAGATCACGCTGCCTTCAATCAGAGGCAGTAGGTCGCGCTGCACTCCCTCGCTGCTCGGGTCCGACGAGCGACGGAAGTCTCCGCTCGAGCAGATCTTGTCGATCTCATCGATGAACACGATGCCGTTCTCCTCGGTCTCTTGGATGGCCTCACGCACGACATCGGTCATGTCGATGGCGTTCTCCATCTCCATCTCCTCGAACACGCCGCGCGACTCAGCGATCGTCATACGCTTGCGCTCGGTCTTCTTCTCTCCAAAGGCGCGGCCAAAGGCCTCAATGGAGATGCCCTTGCCCTCACCTCCGACGAACGAGATGGGCTGGCCACCCGGGTTCTTGGCAGCCGGGACGTCGATCTCAATGATGCGGTCCTCCAGCTCTCCGGCGTGCAGCAGACGCTCGAACGTCGAGCGCGAGCGCTCCGTGACGTTGGCGCCCGTGAGCACGTCCAGGATGCGGCTCTCCACGAGGTGCTGCACCTGCTTGCGCAGCCGCTCCTTGCGACTCTTCTTGACCATGTTGATGGCGTTCTCGACCAGGTCGCGGATGATCTGGTCCACGTCGCGGCCGTGGAAGCCCACCTCGGTGAACTTGGTGGCCTCCACCTTGACGAACGGCGCCTCGGACAGCTTGGCCAGGCGGCGCGCGATCTCCGTCTTGCCGCAGCCCGTGGGGCCGATCATCAGGATGTTCTTGGGGCTCACCTCCCGGCGCAGCTCGTCCGAGACCTTCTGGCGGCGCCAGCGGTTGCGCAGCGCGATGGCCACGGCGCGCTTGGCGTCCGCCTGGCCCACAACGTACTTGTTCAGCTGCTCCACGACCTCACGCGGCTTGAGCTTGCGGCCGATGTCGTCCTCGCCCTGCTCCTCCTCGGGCGCGGCCTCCTCCGCGGCCTCCACGGGCACAGAGGCGGGGTCCTCCTCCGACGCCTTGGGCGCGGCCGTGGAGAACGCGCGCAGCACGGGCCGCTGCGCCGTCTGGAAGAGCGCGCGCGACTGGATGTGCGGCTGCGACGCGGACGTGGAGCGGGAGGCCGCCTGGGCGCGGCGCGCGAGCGACTTGAGCGCCTGCGAGTTCACGGCGCGACGCATCTTGAGCTGCTTGTTGGGCTTCTTGGCGAATGCTGTCGGCCCCTCCTTCCGCAATAAGATACACCCGGGCCACGTACGAGTAAACATCGATTATCACAGTTCACATTCGCGATATTTGATACTACGTTATGGTATTTCGTGTAACTTTATAAAATGGGTAAAACATGTTATGACAGGTAAACAATAAATTGCAGAGCGTGATGGGCGCCCCCTTCAGCCAATCAGCGCGTGTTAAATGTATTTTCCTCCAATCGCACCCATCACAACCAGCTACGTGTGCCACACCAGAACTACCATCACTCACGCCTGTCGCCTCGGTGCTCACAAGCGAATCCTCCAGCACAAGAGCTTCCTCGCCGCCGCCGATGGCGCCCAAGAAGAACAAGCAGCGCGAGAAGCAGGAGCAGAGCCGCGCGTCCTCCAGTGCGCGCGCGCACCAGTCGCTGCTGGCGAGCGCCGGCTCGGGCGCGGCGCCGCCCGCCTTCATCGGCTTCGCGAGCTTCGCGCAGCCGGCGCCCAACGCCATCCAGGCCACGCCCAAGGTAGGCTCGTTCTACGCCAAGCCGGTAGTACAGAGCATCTACGACGGCTCGGACCACGAGATCGCGCTGGCGCTCAAGATGTTGGCCAAGAAGGGCGCCGTGACCAAGATCAAGGCGCTGCAGACCTTCCTGCAGGACGTTCTGCCGCCGCGCGCGCCCGCCGAGCTGCGCCCCATGCTGGGCCACTTCACGCAGCTCTACACGTTCGAGATGCGCGACCAGAACGACCGCAAGGTGCGCCAGCTGCTCAACGAGGTGCTGGCCGCGCTGTGCGACAAGATGCGGCCGCGCGCCTTCGTGCCGCACCTGCAGCGCCTGCTGCCGTACTGGTACTTGGCCATGCACGACGTGAACGCGGACGTGGCTGTGCTGGCCAAGAAGGCGTTCACGACGCTGTTCCCGGAGACGGAGATGCAGAAGACGGTGCTGGAGGAGCACGCCCCTGCAATGATGGAGGAGTTCCAGAGCTTCTTCACGAAGACGCCCGACTCGTTCGAGGGCATTCCCTTGCAGCCAGATGAGAAGGAGGAGAGGTACGAGAGGTGCATCTCTGCTGCGGTGCTGAGCATCAATGCCTTGGTCAAGTTCTTCAAGGAAAATGGACTGGAGGACAAGCTGAACGACGAAGACGCGAGCGTTTCTGTGGCGACCGTGGTCTCATCGGACAAGTTCACGCGCCTGGCCACGGCGTCCTCCAAGCACCCGAATTTCACGCGCGATATTGTACGGAGAGCGGTGTATGTGGCGCTGGTGACGCTGTGCACGAACGCCAAGAATATTATTGCTTCGCGTGAGGAGGCCTTCGGCAAGGTGGTGCTCGGTATTCTCGGCGACAAGAGCCCCTCGAATCACGACGCCATGTGGAACGCAGTGCTCACGTTCCTGCAAACGTTCCCCAACGTTTGGCACTCAAGTGCCAGCTTCCCTAAATTTGTCGTGAGTGCTGTATACCCGCGTCTGTTTGCACAGATCAGACATGGCTTCTATGGATCTGGTCGCTCGTCGTTCCCTACCCTGCTACCGTTCTTGTCCATGGTGCCCTTGGATGTTGCGGTAGACCCTGTCAAGGGCCAATCCGTGCTGTACACAGGGGTGTTGGAGCAGTGCTGGAAGTTTATTGAGTCGAAAGATGCGCGATTCTGCGAGCCACCTGCAATTACAGCGTTCTTCGAGTGTATTACGGGATATTTCAGCATTTTCTTGAAGGAGAGCGCCAACGCAGCGTGGTTGAGTGAGCAAGACGCGGAGTCTTTCGAGACTAACTACGTAAACCAGTTTGAAAAGGTGTTTGTGACCTCGCTCACGATGACACTCAGCTCGCCCGAGTTCCCAGAGGGAGAAGTTCCGCTGTTCGCTAGCAGCTTGCTGAAAATGAGCAGCCGGTTGCGAAGCTTTTCGTCAGATTCCGCTTTGGTTAACACTCTGAAGGATGGATTCGCGGAGAAGCTTCACACGTGGACACTTGAAGCTATCAGCTCGATGATCACTAAAATGTCGTTCGCCCCCTCACGTATTATCACACTCGTTGGTGCTGGGCTTACTGATGCTAAAGATACAAATGAAGATCTCGAGGCTGCGCAGTGGCTATCGACAAGCAAGGAAGTGTACGGACAGTCACTGGAGCAGATCGATGCCTTAGTGGTGGACCCTGCCTTTTCTCCGTCCAAGAATGCATCTACTGCCCAATTGCTGGAGGCTATCAATGGCGTTTGCAAGGCTGTTCCATTGGAGCTACTGCTTTTGAGTGGATCCGACATCCCGGTGGAGACGCATTTCGACACTCACTACCGTCCCGTGTTACATGCTCTTGCTGAGTGGAAGCGATCATCCCACAGTAAGAGTGTAGTTAAAACGATGCGGGTTGCTTTGGAGATTACGCGGCCATTTTTCCTGGCTGCGCAGGAGAAGAAACAGTTTTTGCTGCAGCTCTTCCAGGATTGCAGTGTCCAATTCGGTGACATGGCTGAAGCGAGCGACATCATTCAGTACGGACTGCAATTTCCTGTTACCGAACCGGGTAACAAGTTGTGGCTATCATGCGGAAGTTGGCAAACGTGCTATGAGAGTGGAGTACCTGCAAGCGACCAGTCTGAGCCGGTGCTAGGGGCTCTACAGGCCATCTGGCAAGGCAAGTTGCTGGACGAGTTTTTGATGATTAGCTTGAAGGGACGACTGGATGATTTGGATGCGACTGCCTTTGCGACTCTGCTGAAGGCGTGTCTTGGTGGCCTTTCCAACTTTCCTGTTGTGAGCTCCGATGCGGTGGTGATTTTATGTCATTTTGTGATTCAAAATGGCGTGGATAGCAGCGACGCAGTTGTCGTCCAGATTTTGACCCACCTGTGCGAATTGTTCTTCAAGCTTAACGGGGAACTTCCCGCCGAACTTGAAGCTGTTGAAGGTCAACTGTACAAGCAACTTTTCCATCTCTCAGCCCGAGGAAGCTACAGGACTGAAGCTAGTGCGCTGTGGGCCCGTACTGTGCGCCACTCTTTGAAAAGGTGGTCCGCCACTCGTACAGAGGCGTTTGTGAACGAATTGGCTGAGCACGTCAACACCTTCCTCCTTGCCGATTTGCCAGCTGGCACTGTGTCGTTTAACACCAAGCAGTTTGCTGCGTACGTAAAGAGCTACGTGCAGCTTGGTGCCGACCAGGCATTCTTTTCAGTGTCTCAGCTCGTGGAGAAGTTGGATGCTGTGAATTTGCGATGTCTCGGTGACAACGAGGATAACAAGCAGAAGCTGTTTTACGGCCGGGTGCTGTCGGGCTTGGGAGAAGTATGTGAAGACGCGCAAGTCGTCGGTGTTCTTGGAGGGTATTTTGCTTCCCTGGCGTCAGAGGATGAGCAGAGAGCAGTGAATTTAGTTGCCAAGCTTGTGGACCTAGATGTCACGCATGCGTTGACGTGGGTAGTGTTCCACTCGGACGACCACATTCAGAGAGGCGTGGATCTGGTGGAGATCATGGAAAGCTATTTGACGCTGGAGCACTTGTATGGAGCACTAAAGCGGTCAACCTCACTTATTGACAAGGTTTTCGCATATGCACTTGCTGCATGTCAGGGTAAGCAAAAGCGTGAAAGGGCGGAATACCGCGATCTGGTCTTCTTGAACAAGAACCAGAGTGCGACTACGCCAAGCCAGAAGCCGAGTTTGCTCAAGCAAGTGCAGCACGAGAAGCTGGACATACTGGTTGCAGCAGTACTATCGATCTTCAGCTCGGTCGCATCACGAACGAAATTCGTAAAGGACTTGGTGGCTCAGAATGGCGACTGGAAGGCTGAAGCCACCCACACTGTTGTTGTCTCACTGCTCAGTGGCATGCACTCACAGGACGAATCTAGTGACGAAGTGGCCTCTACACTGAAGGACTTCTTCGCTCAATGTGACGAGATGGTCGTCGTGGGATCCGCGACTGAATTCCTCGAGTATCAGAGGTTGGTGACCAGAGTTGCAAAGGAAGAAGAGAAGTTATCGAGTGTTTCCAGTGCTCCTGTACCCGATGTGATTAGTCTCCCGACGCAGGAAACAATTGTGTCGCGACTCCAGAAGGCACTGGCACCTAGCTCTTCAACAGTTGTGGAAGTTGCCGAGTGGATCGCCGCTGCAGAGTACGCCAGTGCTCTCTCGAGATATCTGCAAAGGGCGTCATCGGGTTTCCGTGCTGCGTGGGAGAGTCTGGCACGTCTCATTGTCACGCACGCGATCGCTGGTAAGTCGGAGACTGCCAAAATCACAGCACTCATGATTCACAAGCGCGACCCCGCACTTGGTGATCGAAGGATTGTCAAGGGCGATGAGGAGCAAATTGTACTCAGTTACTCGAATGAGCTCGTGTCGGCGAGACTGGCCCTGATGAGACTTGTGAGTGCGATGTACGAGTCTAACCCGGATGCGCTACATGAGCTCGCTGCTCACTACCGTGAAGCGCTTCTGTCTACCGTGCTGTGCGCACTTTCCGAGAGCGCGGAGCTGAAGGCGAGCATTGTGACCACGTATGTGGCATTGGTGTCCCCGTCTCAGTGCTACCAGCTCGCTGAGCTGTGGTTTAACGTCGAAGAGGTGCTTGCGAATGCTCTTCCGGCGTTGCGTTCGACCCTTACGAGCATCCACGATGTCGATCACGTGAACCGGTTGGTGCTGGAGTCATTTGGAGGCATCGAGACTTTAGCGTCACTTTTCAACGGAAAGCGCTACCCGCTGCAACCGGTGTTGCGCGCGTTGCTGTACATTCTGGCTTCCTACAGCGGTGCTCTTCGCTTGCGCAATTATGATGCCAGTGCGATTGATGTGAATGCCGAGGATGAGGCCGCGACTGAGGCCGCTCTAGCACGAGTGCTCATTCCTAAGGCTTTGCGATCAGCGCTGCGTGCTGTGTTTGCTGAGAAGAACGGCGAGAGTGGTGCTGCGAACATCCGCATGCGTAGCCGCAAGCAAAAGGTGCAAGAGCGGGAAGACATTACGGGGAAGCTGCTACTTTGGGATCTCTTCCTGCAGTTGTTCCCATCGAGTGGTAACAGTGACGGAGAAGGTGCTTCGTCCACCCTCATCGCATCGTCGCTCAGCTCGTACGTCGTGCGCCACGGAATGCTCACGAACTTCCTGAACTTCAGCTCGGCTTTGCTGTCGCAAGAATCGCAGTCTGCATCGAAGGCCGCCGTATCGGAACTGCAAGACGCTGCGCTGTTTGATGTCACTGACTTGGACAAGAAGGAGGACGACGAAACGTGGAGCCTTCACAAGACGCGCGTGTTCCAGCTTGGCACTCGCGTTTTCTTCCGTACAGTCGTGCGCCTGCCAGCGATGGTGCGGTCCTGGTGGAATGACGACTGCTCGCGCGCTACGCGTAGCTGGGCTGCCAAGTACTTCGAAGACCACATCACTCCGTCGGTGCTCGCAGCTGAGCTGGAGCTGATCCAGAAGGCGAGCGATGGCTCCTCGGCTGTTGGTGAGTCGTGGGACGACGAAGAGATGACTGTGAAGGGCAGTCGTGTGTCTCGTGAGATCACAACGACGTACATGAAGGACGAGTGTGCACTGGAGATGGTGGTGCGCGTGCCGTCGTCCTACCCGCTGCGCTGTGTGGAGGTGGAGTGCACCAAGCGCATCGGCATCTCCGAAGACCGCTGGCGGCGGTGGGTGCTGCAGATTATTCGCGTGACCTCGTCCCGCGATGGTTCGCTGCTGGACGCCGTGTTGCTGTGGAAGCACAACGTGGACAAGGAGTTCGAGGGCGTGGAGCCGTGTCCGATCTGTTACTCGATCCTGAACCCGAAGAACATGGGGCTGCCGTCGCTGCCGTGCAAGACGTGCAACAACAAGTACCACAACTCGTGTCTGTACAAGTGGTTCAACCAGTCCGGCAAGAACAAGTGTCCGATCTGCCAGCAGCCCTTCTGCTGATACGGTAGGCGCCAGCGATGCAATGTCGAAAGGGTAGTTAGCTCGTGTTTTCCCAATAACTTAGTGCTAAACAGGAGTCAAAGATAGAGACAGCGAACGTCGCGCAGCATGAGTATAAGTGGGTAGTATGCCCCTGCCTGAGCGCGCGTGCTGCTTGTGTGTACATGTACATGGATCGATGGTACCGTTGCTAGCAGATGACGCAGCCGCAACCCGCCGACTCCACCGTCTTCGCAGCAGCGTGACCCCCTGTTGCTTCTACAGCAGCAGCAGCAGCAGCAACACAACACAGTCAGCTTCATTCTCCCAACAGCAACAGCAGCAACATCATCAAGTCGCGTACCCCGCACTGCCGTCTGTGACTTGCGGTAGACCGAGACGTTCACGGGCGTCGGGTGCGTGTCGAAGGCCGGGACCGCCGACTCGAGCGTGTGCGAGTCCTGCAGGATGCCGCGCCCCATGCAGATCAGCCGGACGGACTTGGCGTCCTCGGCCGGCGGCACGTCTGGCAATAGAATTTGCAAGTATTAGGTGAGACCAGCCACGCTGAATGAAACGATGGCGAGCGTGACGCACTCTGCGGCCAGCTGCGCATGAGCTGCTCCTTGACCTGCGCCACGGTCGTCGCCCTGGGGAAGCCCATCTCCACGCGCACGCCGTCCTGGTTGGCGAACAGGAACTTGAGCCGCAGCTCGGCGGCCGTGCTGCCGCCCTTGCTGCCCATGGTCGAGGTCGAGCTCGAGTCGCGCGCAGCGAAAAATGATAATGCCGAGACGCTTGTTCCAAAACCGTCGCTCGCCGTCGATTGGGCAAAAAGCGCGTCGCGGCGAGCTGTGATTGGTCGAATGGACGGCTTCAACTGAGACCCTCGCTCGAATGACAACTTTTGGTTTTTTGATGTTGCAGGGCTTGGGACAATGGGGGTACAGTACAGTCAATGCCTGCAGCAGCAACTAATTTTTTCTCACTCAGACACGACAAATGTTTTTTTACCAATCACAAGCTGAGTGCGTTGACCACCCCATTCACTGTCCGCAGCAACAGATCAAGATTTTCCGTCCCCCCACGCCCCAGCCTACGCGCTTGTCCTCTGGGATGCTGGGAAGCGTACGCTGGAATGCCCGGAGCGCCAGCAAGAGGAAGGTGGTGTCCTCTGCCTCCTTCAGGTTGAGTGTGAGAAGGCAACAGCGTGTTCATCCTACTGCAATCGGCGTGGTAGGTGTTGATCTTAGCATGAAACTCCAGTCGGCGTCTATCCGAGTTGTAGAGTTGCTGAGGTCGCGCGTGAGCACGAAGGAGGCTCACCTGTTGTTGATGGTCAAGGTGAGGAGACTGAGCGTGTTGAGTTTTGTTGGGGGAGGCGCTTGTTGCTCGGCCTGCCGATGCGAAAGTAGGGCTAAGTTAGCTGTAGCTAGCGGAGCGAACTGCCGTCCGCTCACTACTCTCAGCGCCTTCCAACACGCAGCGATTAGTGGATGCAGCTTTAGACACAGTCCTAGGCTGCTTGCTAAGGAAGACTCGAGTGTAGTATAGATAGAAGGAAGGGCTCGTGTTCTCTCCGTCCCTCGACATACATTGTGCATTATTACATGATCGCGCTGGAGCAACGCTTGCTGGACACCAAGGCATCCGACTGACACAAGTAGGCTTACTAGATTACTCTGCTCGCAGCGCAAGCCCCAAGGGCGGAGTCTTCTCTCGCGCGACGACCATGCTACCGTACCGTTGATGCTCAGATCTTGGCGCCAGAAAAAAAAAACGAGCTGCTGCTGCGGCTCGACCGGAACGACTTTTTGTTCCGGTCGCCGATTTTTTTCCTGGCCAATCACAGCCCCGGAAAAAATCCGACTTGCTGTGGCGGAAAAAAGTGAGCTGTTGCTGCGGACATTGACTACCCCTAATCAAGGTTCGTGCCAAGCTTGCCGTCGCTCTCCTTCTTGTTGTGGCATGGCCCTACTGCTGCTGCAAGCTCCAACGCCACCGAAATGCATGACCGTTGGGGCGTTTCCGCCATAAATACACACGGGGACAGGCGAACCTCTCTACAAGTGGATTTCTGCATCAAAAGCTATCCAGATACACATTCTATTCGCCCTTCCTCCCAAACCTGATAATCGACATTTTTTCATTCCTCGGAAGTCTCACTTGGCAAAAGTGGGCACGGCCAGCAGCCCCATTACTGTCGCCCTCCTCGTCATGGCCTCTTCCGCCGCCACCACCAGCTCCTCGCCGCGCCGACGGCCCAAGCGCCCCGCAACCGACGGCCATGACCCTTCCTCCTCCTCCTCCTCTTCGTCGTCGTCGCAATGGATCCGCTCCATCCAGAACCAGAGCTTCGAGCCAAAGCCCACGGCCTACTCGCCGCACACGCGGCAGGACGAGGACCCGCTCATGCTGCAGCTGTGCCAGTGCAGGGACAAGCTACGCGCGCTGCGGCAGGTGCGCGAGCGCATGAAGTTCTTCCCGCTGCGGCCGCTGGACAAGCGGAGGGACGGCTACTCCATGAAGATCGCCACCAGCCTCATCCTCTCGGGCTCGGACGAGTCGCTGGACTGGCAGGAAGAAGGAGATCAAGGAGTTGGAGGTGACAGCCAACGTCAGGCCAAGAACGCACGGCAGAGCGTGGGCATTGACGCACTCGGGGGGCTGGAGATGCTTCTCTTCGCCTTCTTCTCGCGCCAGGAATTGCTGCGCGTCAGCGGCGTCTGCAGGGCGTGGAGGGCGCTGGCCAGATACGATCTGTTCTGGGAGCCTCTGCTGGTCACGCCGCATGAACGGTACCCGCTGCGTCCGCTGCTTGGGCTGGAGCGAGACCCGACCCATCGACGGGAGGATATCCCGGCAATCCTAGTGTACATGGTGTGCCAGAGACTCAAGCTCGCCCAGGCGGCGTACACGACAGAGTGCGGCGACGATACGTCTAGGACGAACACAGCGACGACGAATGCAGCGCCGAGGTATAACGGAAGGATTCTGGAGCTGTTCCAGACGCTCAACAGACATGCTCAGGTTGGCGCGCTGCCGAGGCAGCGGGTACCGCAACGACAAGGGGATGAAGCAGTGTCCAGTGTGCATTTGGTGTGTGTGAAGTATAACACAGCCGCGACAGCGCTGAGGACGCAGGAGGATCAGGTAATGACGCGGATGGCTGCCAACTTGAATCTACAGGCTCAGGGAGTGCATCAAGTAGTTGGAGGAGTACTGGGGGCGCCTGCGGAACAGCAGAATGCAGCGGTGAATGTCCAGAATGGTGCAGGTGCTGCCGACGACGAGGACGTCTACAGCGTGGCGGATGGACGGGATCGATTGACGCTGAGTGCTTGGTTGGCTACAAAGCGTCGTGTGAGCGAGCGCACATTGCGCTCCTTCTTGCGCCAAATGCTGCTGGCAGTGGATGCTCTAGAGCGGTCCAACTGCGAGCATGTAGATATCTCTCCAGTTAATATCGTGGTGCACAGCTCGCCACGGAGGCGCAAGACCGAATGGGCTCAAAGCGCTTCAAATGCGGCAGGCTCACAGCAGGAAGGCGAAGAAAGCGATGTGGACGAAGCCGATGATGACAACGTGGAGATGCTAGAGACCCATGAGTTGGAGGCCAAGGGTCTGCAGGATTATCACTTGCTCGGTAAACGGCGCACTCCTTTCTTCCAGCTATTTCTTAGCCGCAGGAATTGCCAGCACACTGGTGGCACACAAGGACAAGTACTAGACCCGATACTTGTGGAGGATGCGGAGGTGAACCTCCCTGCTCCAGGCATGTTGAATGACGCTGGTCTGCGTAACATTGAGCGACAACACCAGGGATTAGCAGGGGTGGTTCCAGCTGAAGCTGGTATCGGCATTGGTGTTGGGGGCAACGGGGGTCAGGGAGGTGGTGTGCCGGCAATTTTTCGCAACCGACTAGCACTCCCTCACCCCTCCATGGTAAGCTCGGTGATTCAGACCGCAATGACAGTGTGGGCGCGTGGTCGGTTTGCGGACCCAACGACGTCCACAGTACTGGCGCTGCTACTGCGTTTCCCTGCCAGCTTTTCGAGTGGTCTGCGAGGTTTCCTGGAGTATGCAAAGTACCTCATCATCACCCATTCGGCCACCGCATCCAAATTGCTTCGTCACGACTACCTTCAGCGTCCAGGGTCTCAGCTTGATCGCAGTTCGTCGCGTCACTGGTCAACGACACCGATCAACGACGTTAACGAGTACAAGAGCAAGCTCGTAGCGTACTACGGCAGCTTACCCTCCCGTGTCGAAGGGCTACCGAACGACAATGCCAGCTCCTCGGCGAGCCCAGCCGTGATCGACGAGCTCATGCCCAGGACGACGTTAGGCATTCAATACTTCGCCAAGGCCCTGGAGGAAGCGAATCTCCCAGCAGAACGCTTTGTCAGCGTCGTCGCTCCGTCCTCCGCGTCCTCCTCCTGGGTGCGCAAGCTAGCTCTCACCCAGACTTGTACACTTCAGCGATTGGACCTGTCTCGCGCCCGAGTGCCAATGTCGGTGCTACTGCAAGAGCTAGCCACGCTTCCTCGTTTGACGCACCTCCGTCTTCCGCGGCAGATTCTGCGGGACGAGAACCTGGAGCACCTCGTGGCCGCGCTAGCGTACACCGACTTGCTGCCGCGCCTACGTTGCCTCGATGACAACGTACGTCAAGCCATGGATCGCATGGAGAAGTCCTACCTCATGCAACTCGACATGGTCACGTTCCTGTTGCAAAAGCCCAGTGCGTCGTCTACCCAGACCCGCGCTGGAGGATAAACAATCTCTTGACCAACTTCATACAAGATGTATGTTCCGTAGCAAAACAAACACGTTAACGTAGACTTCAGAGTGCATTATTCATGAAGATTCGAAACCTTTTGGGGATGATGATGTCTCGCTAGTTCTTACGGGACGAACGCTTCGTCGTGAAGAGGTCGACCATGGGGATCTCCTCCAACTCACGCCGTGAGCACAGATACTCGCCCAGCACGATCGTGATACTCGCCGCCACGAGGTGAACCAGCCACCAGTCCCACATCTTGGGGAACTCCTGCAATAACAAAGAAGACCACGTCAGCCATAAGCCCCCTCCTCATCTCCACTCCCAGACCACTGACCGAATAGAAGCATTGCACCAGGAAGTCAATGAAGTAGAGCGTCACGCCAAAGTCCAGGCACTTCTTGGCGCGCTCCACGAAGAGCGCGAGGCACACGGCACTGCACAGCACAGCAGCAACCAGAGAGAAGTGAGCCAAAAGATCACTTAATTGACACCAAGAGCTACACAGCACCAACCTGACGAAGCTCGCCGCCACAACAGCGAAGCAGTTCTTGAGCCCTTGAACCGTCACGATCGTCTGCGTGTGGTAGGCGAAGAACTGGTCCAGCGTCACGTGGGCGCCGTGGCAGATGCCCAGCATCAGGCCCTGAGCCACGTAGTGCGAGCACTAATAGCGTTGGATAGACACCACGTTAGAAGGAGAAAAGGGTACGCATCGGTAGAGGGGAGACCGGTGTAGCTAAGGCAACGCACCTGCATGCACAGCATCTGCAGCAGGATGAGCTTGGGCGCCCACCGCGCGGCGCCGTAGAACTTGGGCATCGTCTTCTTCCTGCGCTGTCTGTTTTTGGTCACCTTTCTAATTGGGTCATTTGGGTCCTCTGATATGGGCACCTAGTTAAAAAGCGACCCAAATCACGTCCGGTTGACGCAACGTCAACATGGTCGAGCCCCAGAAGCGCAATATGTCGCCCGAGGAGACCAAGGAGCTCCTGCGGCTGCGCTCCGAGCGCCAGCAGCGCCACGACGCCACGGAGGACGAGAGCTCAGAAAATGAGAGCTATGGGGGCATTGGCGGCTTCAAACGCCGCACGTGGGCGCTCTTCAGCATCATGGGCGGCCTCATCTACGGCTACAACGTCAGGTGCGACTAGCTAGACTAGACAAAAGCTCAGCCAACTACTAAGTAAGTAGTGCTAACTCGTAGCTCTCCCGCCGGTTATTCCTCAGCCTGGCAGCCACGCTGCAGTACATGCGGGACGACCTGCAGCTCTCGTCGACGCACGAGGAGGCTCTGAGCGCCACGGCGACGCTCAGCGACGCCTGCTCCATGCTGGTGGGCGGCTGCCTGGCCGACCGCTTCGGTCGCAAGGCCACGGCCATGTTCGCGTGCTCGTGCTCCATTGTGGGCGCGTTGCTGGCGGGTATGGCTAGCACGAGCTTCTCGTGGCTCGTGCTGTGGAGACTGTGCTCCGGGGTGGGCAACGGGCTGTCCATACTGCTCATCCCGATGTACATTAGTGAGTGCGTGGACGCAACGAGTCGTGGGGCGTACCTCACGCTCTTTCAACTCGGGTGAGTGGCAGATGAAGGAGGATTGATAAGGCTGTGTGGCTGTGCTAACAGTGCTGTTGGATTGTAGAGTGAACTCGGGCGTGGCGGTGCCGTATCTGTTCATGATCGCGGTGAGCGAGAACTGGAGAGCGTGCCTGGCGTTCGGCAGCTTGCCGGCGCTCTACGTACTCTACAACTTCCATTTCCACTTCCCGGAGAGCATCAAGTGGCTTCGCTGGAAGGAGAACCCGACGACGGATCTGGAAGATGGAGCCACAGACCTCTCAGATGAAGAGAGCGTCGACAGTTCCAGTGCTGCTGCTGTTACTATCAAGCGCTCGAACGGGAACTACCGACGTCCGGCCGAGCAGGATTCTGCTGATGCTTCACCGTCGTCTGCGGAAGCCACAAGGACTCCAGCGCCTCCCAACCCGCACCTCGAGCTCGTGATCGGTATCCTGCTGGCCTATGTAAATAACTGCGTTGACGCGTCTCTCTTCTACGGGCCGGAGATCATCGCCAAGACCAGCTCGTCGTACTCACGTCGCGATGCCAACATTTTTGGGCTGCTTTGTTCGCTCGTGGCCGTGGTGTCGGTGCTTTTCGCTGGACGCTACGTCATTGCGAGGTTCTCACGGCGGCAAGTGTACTTGATCTGCCTTGCCGTCGTCTGCGCCTGCTTCGTTGTGAGCGGTGGAATTTTTGCGCGCTACTCCACCGACGATTTTGCACGCAGCTCGGCGGCGTCCGCGAGCATCATGATCACCTTCGCCGTGCTCAACGTGTTCGCCGCTGTCGGTCCCAGCATCCTCTTCGTTGTGATCCTGAGCGAGCTCTTCCAGGACAACAGCTACCGAGCGCGATACATGAGCTACTGCACGTTCACCATGTCACTCATCTCGCTGCTCGTGAACGGCTCTATGCTGACACTGTTTGAGTTCTTCGGCACCGCGGCCACTTTCCTCGCATATGGGGCCACGTACGTCGTGTGTCTGGTCTTCTTCTGGGCGTACCTCCCTGAAACAAAGCAGCGTCAACTAGTGTAAGCTAAGCAAGTGTACAGCCAATGGACTGAACTAGTAGAACACAATACACGACACACTGCAAGCAAGAGAACGTCAGTAAATATTGTTGAATGAGTGAGGACGCTGGATACGTCACAAGATGAGCGCCCTTATCTGTCTTGAGTTGGATTCTTCTACTGGGATCGAACGGCAGGCTGTTGCCGCTTGCGGCTGGGTACTCGGACACCTGAGTTGCCAATGACACCATTCGTGGTCGCACCATCCAGGGGGCCGAACTGGATCGCGTACTGCTCTGTACTATGCTGCAGCCGCATGTTCTCCGTCATAAGCCCCGTCAAGTGGTCGTTAAGCACCATGATCTTGTCCTCCTTCACCTGCAACGCAAGCAGCAAGTCCTTAGAACGGCGGGATCCAGTCGCAGCAGCTGAAGCACTGCTGCTCTTGAGTCCACGTTTACGAAGAGCCTGGAGCTGCATGTCCTTCTCCAACACCTGGTTCGTCAGACTTTCCACCTCCTTCACAAGCGCCTTCATGTCGGCCTTCGAGAAGCGACTTTCCTTGAGCTTCGCGTTCGCCTCCTTCAGCTCACGCACGCGGAGCTTGAGCTTGGCACACTTCTCTTCCCACTCACGAGCTACCTCGGCGCTGGCCTCGACGTTAGCATCAATTGTGGGATTCTCACGCAGCTCCTGGTTCTCCAGTTTCAGCTTCGAGACTTCTTCCCTCATAGTTTCCAGCTGCTGGTGGAACGACCGCTCCTTTTCTCGCTGCTTTCGTTCCGTGTGCTGCTTCATCTCGTCGTGGAACGAATGCTCGATCTCATCCAGCCGTGCCTTCAGGTCGTTGATCTGCTTTTCTTTGCGGTGAATCAGTGCGTCCTGTCGGGTCTCACGGTCTTGGTAACTCCGAAGAAGGGCTGACACTTCCGTAATGCCGCGGTGAAAGGCACTGTCGTCGACGTAGCCACTGCTTTGCGCACCAAACTCAATGTTCAGCTTCCTCATCTCGCGACGAAACTGGTCAAGCATCCCTGACTTGGCATCTTCGAGTTGAGCAATTTGTGATGAAAGCTCCTGTTCTCGCTGCACCGACTGCTCGTAGGCGTCCTCCAGTTCTTTCATAGCTGTTTCTCGGGCGGCAGCAGCAGCTTCAGCAGACTGCTTCGACGACAATTTGGTTTGAGCAACTCGCTTGAGTTGTTCACGGAACTTCGCGTTCTGTTCTTGAAGGGAGACAACTTCGTCCCCCTTCTCATTCAATTTGTCCTCAAGATGACGCTTCAGCTCTTCTTCAGCATCCCTGGCACGTTGAAGCTCTTCATCCTTCGCCGCCAATTCAGATTCATGCAGACGTAAGTCTTCCTCGCGTGCAGCCAACTCGTCCTGCATTTCCTCCAGTTTCATCGTAAGCTGCTCAGATACGTGGAGATGGCCCCTAGCGTTATCCATCTCAGCCGTGTTGTCACGAATCTCCTCGTGCAGCCGTTCGATTTCCTCGTGCAACTGGTCAATCTCCTTGTGAAGGTGGTTCACCTCCTCCACCTTTGCATCCATTTTCTCGAGAGTAGCCGCATTTTCAGCAGCTAGATTATCATACCGCGCTTGCAACGAACGGTATTCCCTCTCCTTCTGCAGCTTCTCGTGCATGGCATTCTGCTCCTTACCTGCCACAAACTGCTCACTAACTTGGAGCTTGTGTTGAAGCCTCTTCACTGACGCTTCTAACTCCTCCACCCGCGCCTGTTGCTCCTTTATCTCCGTTGCAGACTGTTCACTGGCATCAAGCTTGCGCTGTAGTCTGTTCACTGAGGCTTCCAACTCCACCACCTGCTCCGTCTTCTCTGTTGAAGACTGACCGCTGGACTCGAGCTTGCGCTGTAGTTTCTTCACTGAGGCTTCCAAATCCTCCACCTGTTCCGTCTTCTTTGCTGCAACCTGTTCACTAGCCTCAAGCTCGCGCCGCAGTTTCTTCACTGAAGCCTCTAGCTCCTTCATCCGTGGTAGTTGATCCATCATTTCTGCCACAGCCTGCTCGCTAGCTCTGAGCTTGCGCTGCAGTTCCTTCACCGAGGTTTCCAATTCTTTCACGCGGGCTTGATCCTGGGAAAGACCATCTGCGTGTTCTACTTTCTCAGCAGTAGAGCGATCCTTCACATGACGCGACACCTCCTTTTCTTGATCGAGCTTGGACTGCAAATGACGTGTCATTTCCTTCTCTTGATCGAGCTTGGACTGCAGTTCTGAGATATCATCTTCCAAGTCAGCCAGCTTGTTCTCTTTTTCTTTCAACTGGGCCATAATCTCCGTCTTGAACTGCTCGTGAGCTGCTTCCAACTCTTTATGCTCCGCGTTAAGGCGTTCAACATCACCATTCACAGCGCCTTGCCTCCAGTTTTCGTCCTCGCGCGCTGAAATGGCTTGTTGCATCTCTTCAATTGCACGCTCCTGCTCGTCGCGTTCGCGCTGCAAGTGCAGAAGCTCCGAGTCCAACTTCTCAAATTCGGTAGCATTATCCTCGAGTTGTCGTTGAAGCCTGGAAATCTCCTCCTCGAGCTCACGTTTTTCATTCGTCAAGTGCTGCTGCTCCGCGTCCAATTGGGAATCCATGACTGCTTGTAGATGGTTAGCCTTGTCGCTTTCTTCTTGGAGACGCTGGTCCATCTCGCGTATCATCTGCTCCAAACTTAGGGAAATATCCTCCACAGGCTGACCAGCGTGTAAGAACGATGAGCCGTGCTGACGCATAACCTGTTCCAACCTGTGCTTCTCGTTGAGAAGGGTCTCGATCTCCATAGTTAGTTGCTCGTTTTTGATCTGCAAACTCTCGTACTCATACTGCTGAGATCGGAGTTTATCTTCCAACGACTGAACCGTGTCTTGCAAAGTCCGCAGCTGCTGGTGGCCTTCGCTCATCTGCGCGTCACGCTGTACAAGCTGAGCCGTCAGTTTTTGTAGTTGCGTTCGGCCATCCTCATTGGCCATAGCTGCCGATTGCTTCTGTGATTCGATCTGCTCGGTCGCCTGCCGCATCAATTCCTGGAGTCGAAGTTCAAGCTCGCGCTTGTCGTTTTCCAGTTGCTGGACAGACGCCTTCCAGTGCTCAATCTCGGTACGGACCGACGTGATTTGAAACTCCAGCGTCGCCTTCTCTGATGCCAGTGCAAGCATGTTGCGGTTCATCTCTTCCTTCTCCGCGCACAACGAGCGGACCGTGTTTTCATGAGCCGTCTTCTCCTCGAGATAGCGACCGTGTACTTGCTGAGCTTCATTCAATCTAGCATCAGCCTCCACACGGATAGTCTCGATCTGTCCCTGCAGCTCCCGGTTTTGTTCTTCCAAACGCACACGCTCTCTCTGCAAGAGCTCCACTTCTTTCGTACGCTCGTTATCAGGGGACAAGAACTGCTCGATGTGCGCGTTCAGCTCAGAGATCTCCTTATTCTTCACTTCAATCTCTTGCAGACGATGCTCGATTTCCCGCTTCAAGGAGTCATTTTCACGCGCACCTTCGTGCAATTGGTGCTGAAGCTTCTCGCACTCCGTACGCCACTTGGTAAGTTCCTCCCCTCCTGCTGCTGACTGCCCCTCATACACTTGCAACTTGTTCGCTGCCTCGTCAATATCTGCTCGCAGCTGCTCATTCTCGCGAGTCAATTCATTGAACTGTTCTTCGACTTGAGCAACGAAGTCGTTATACTGGTTCTCGAATTCAGTCGACTGCGACTTCATCGCTTCAGCATGAGCAGCATCCTTAGCAGCAATTTCCTTCGACACGGCCTCCATCTGCTGCTTAGCACGAGCTACTTCCTCCGTCAGCTGCTGCATTCTTTGAGCCTCTGCAACGCGCGATTGCTGCTGCTGCTCGGCTTCCTGGGAGCTCTCCATTAATCGACCGATCTCTGTGCTCTTGCGTCGATTGATTTCTTTCAGACTCTCCACCTTTGCTCGTAACTCGATGTTCTCCTGGTTGATCTTACTGAACTGGTGTTGCAGTTCTTCTTCCACACGAGACTTCTCGTCCAGCAGTTGCTGTTCACGTTGCTTCATCGCAGACATAGCCTGCGCCTCAATCTGTGCACGCACCTCGGCGGCTTCCTTCTTGAGCTTCTGGAACCGCGCTGCCTCTTGCTGCAGAGCTTGGCTCAGCTTTTGGCGCTCTGCCTCAACGTCACTGCGATATTTGTGCTGATCCGCGAGCTGCTTCTCGTGCTCTTGCGCCATCCTGTCCACGTGCTCCTGTAACTTGCGGTTATCGGCCATCAAGCGCTCGAGATTTCCCTGGCGCTGCCCCATTTCTTGCCTTCCGTGATTAAGCGCATTCTCCAGCTCGCCCACCTGGTGCTCCTTCTCTTCATACTTGGCCTGCCAAGTCGCGACATCCTGCTCCAGTTCCGTCGCTTTACTAGCAACTGACTCATAATGTTCACGCAGCTCGTCGATTTGTTTTTCCAGAGCCCGCATCTCGTCGGACTGGTGCGCCCCTTGCTGTTTGAGCGTCGTGTTCTCCTGCACGACCACGGAGCTGTCATGCTCCATCTTCTGGAATTGCGACTTGAGCGTCTCATTGCTCTTCTGCAGCGAAGCAAAGGCAGCGTCGCGCTCCTTCAGCTTATTCTCCACGTCGACACCCGCCTGTCGCAGCATGGCCACCTCGGAGCGTAGCTGCTGGATCTGGTACGTTCCCTGCTTCTTGAGCGACTCGACCTCCTGCGCTGCAAGATGGTACTTCTCCTCCCACTGCTGCTTCTCCACCTTGTCCGACGCAATCTGCAGCTCCTGCTTCTGAATAGTCTGCAAACATGAACAACATTTGCATCAGTAAATAATTCTCCACTGCTTCACACACAAGTTCCCTATCATTAACTAACCTCGCCGAGCTCGCGGATGAGCTCCAGGTTCTGCTGCGCCTCCTCAATAGCCAAGTCCAGCTCTTTGCCCTAATAATTGCACCCCCACTATCATCAGCCCCCACTCTCTATCAGCCCAACACCCCCAGCTCAAGGTCCGCACCTTCCAGCGGTCAATGTGCCTCTTCTGGGACTCAATGACAGCCCCCAGCTCCGCGAACCTCTGGATAATGACCGGCATGAGCGTGTGCTCCTGCTGGTGCTCCTCCTGTTCCTCCAGACGCACAAAGAGACACGAAAAATTGGCTCTAAGTCCTCTTACAACCCTCACTTCCCCTCTCTGCGCGCTTCAAACCTACCAGAAAGTGCAAAAAGTCGGCGAACGAGCGCACCGCCGCCTTCACTTTGCTGGGCGAGTACCTGGCGGGGGATTCCTCCAGTCCGGCGGGCGGCTGGCGGCCTCTGGAGCTCGAGAGACGCCGCCGACTGGGCTCGGGCGTGACGCTGAACTCGAAGTTGCCGCTCGCCTGTTGCTGCCGCCGACGGGGCGTGGAGAAGCCCGCGGGCATGGGCGGCACCACGTCGCCCATCTCCTGCTCGTCCTCGCCCTCGTGCTTGGACTCGCCGCCCATGGACACGTCCGCCGCGCTCCGCATCATGGCCACGGTACGGTGGCTACCAACTGCCTGCTGCTCGAATTCAAACGCGGGAATGGAAACTGATACAAATTTTGGGAATTGTTTAGAGAGGGTTTGATTTGTGGACCACATAATATGGCCATGTTGAAGTTGGACTGTGCTGGACGCGCGCCATGAAGGGCGAGTTCATTTTTCATTTAGCTTTGGCTGGTTGTGTGTGTTCATATTAGCATCGTTATTCTTTATACACTGGTGAACGCGTGTCCTCGACGTGGTAGGTGGTTAGCTCTTCGCTCAAAAAGGGTGGGTCGCAAGCGCTAGCTGCGATGGGGTGGTCCTCTCGTTCGGTGACGATGGTGGGAAGGGGGCCTCTGCGTCCGAGAGCGAGAAGCTGTAGCCTGAGGCGTCATCGCCGGCTTCTAAGAAGCTCCGTCGCGCGTACGGGTCGTAGGACAGCGAGGAGGAGCGAGGCCTCATGTCCATGGGAGGCGACGGCTGCGCCTTCATGTACATGAAGTGGCCGGATTCGTCCGAGCAGTGCCCAGACGGCGAGTTGGTTGGGAGCTCGTTGGTGTTGGACAGCGGGCGGAAGCCGAAGAAGCTGTACCGGCGCTCCTTCTGCTGCGCGGCTTCTTGCTCTACACGACATCGACGCATGGCCACAAAACCGATGGCGGCAAGACCGACAACTGCAGCGCAACCCAGCGTCAGACCAAGTATGACACCAACGTGAGAATCGGAGCCACTGTCAGTAGCTGCCGACTTCGAAGACGCCGTGACCGTCATGCGCATGAACGTCGCTACGTCGAACCGGAAGTCGTCTCCGTTTGGCACCGCGACATGCGCCATGAGCGCGTAAGTTCCTTCATTCCCAATGCTGATCTTGGTGGCGAACAGGGCTTCGCCACTTGTACTCGAAAAGTTCATGGGCGCCGCAGAGTATGCCAACATCTTGTTCTCAGAGAACGGTGAGCACGTTGTGTCATCGCAGTAATAGATGTTCACCTGCGGCAGGTTCACGTACTTGCCAATGGATTCATTGTAGACCGTCGTCCTGTTCACCACAATTCCTTCCGAACCAGTGAATTCTGGCTGCGGCGCAACAATCCAGCTCACTAGGGCGCCTGCATCCACTGAGAACGTCCTAGTCGAAACAGTCATGTTCACGGTGTACGGGCAGTTGGTGCCGTTGCCCGCGTACGCAACACTGGAGGCATCGACATCCGTGTCATCAGCCGATGCAACAACAGCCCAGCAATAGGACTCACTGCCGTCGTCCGCGTACGTCGCACTCTCCACCTGCTCCGTTACGTTCTCCTCGGTCGCGAACATCTCGAAGTACTTGATAAAGTCGTATCTGTGCGAGTTCTTGTCGTCGCTGGCAAGTGTCACCTGAGCGAACCCAGAGTACCATCCAGGGGAAGGCATGATTATGCCATTGGCGCTAAATGTCGCTGTGCCTGCCGACGTGAAATTTGCAGAGAAGTCGGCGGATAACACGTCCACGGCGCTCGAGTACTCCGTACAGGCCTTGCTTCTTTCACAGAGCTTCACGACCGAGCCCACAATGGTGTAGTACCCGCTTTCGTTGGTGTCGTCGTCGTCCAGTACAAATACCGCTTCCAGCGGCGACGGCAGTTGAATGTCCTTGGACGAGTTACGCATCAGTGTGGCTGTCCACGTGATGTCGAGTGGCTGTTGGACCTGCACAACACTTGCCGCCTCAACAGCGATCTCAATCTCCGAGCTGGTGCTTCCTGTCAGCAGCTTAGTCGAGTCCAGTGTGTCTTCCAGCGGGTTCTGCGCCGTTACTCTACAGTAGGTTGTGTCGCTGTCGTATTCCACAGCCTCCAGTTGAACCTCCATGACCACAATGTCCGCGAACGTCTGGAAGTAGTACAACAGCGTCGGGTTGTCGGCGTTCCCCAGTACCGCGACGGCCGCCACCGTGTAGTTGCCCTCTTCAGCGAAGGACAGCTCGTCCAGCGTCTCAAAGTAGGTCGCTTCCGAGCTGGAGAAGTTGCCCGACTGCGCGGTCGTGAACGTGTCGCTGCCCAGGATGCTGGGCGTGCACTGATGCCGCGACGCGCAGGTGCGCACGTAGGTGGAGAGGATCTGCACGTGCCGGCCGGCGTTGTCCGCACTGAGCGTGGTCATGGCGTCAGGAGGCACAGGCACATCCATGGCGTTGCTTGAGTCGGCGTCGAGCTGCAAGCCCCAGAGCAGCGGCACGCTCTGGTTGGGCGCGTAGGACGCGGCCACGAGCGGGATCGTCACGTTCACGGCGCAGTCCTCGCCGTTGTAGGCGGCTAACGGTATTATGAGCGACGCGGAGCCGTCGATCTCCCAGCAACTGGTCTCCGCCGAGACTATAGAGAACAGCAGCGCCATGGCCGCCATTGCCACGAGGAAGCGCATGGCGAGCGTCCAGCAATGGCCAAAACTGGAAGTGGCTCGGGATCAGCTTTTCTCCATGAGACCGTGGCGAACTGCCGGGTCGAATGACTTGGCATTTGTATGGGCGTATCCATCACGTGCCAGAGAACGGACATTCCAGTCTCGAGCAAAAAACAGCAGGTCTCCGATGTCACTCCGCCGCCGCATGGGCTCCAGTCCAAAGTCTGGACCAGACTCGAGGCTCCAGTGTCTTTGGCTCGAGCCTGGATGCGGTGGTCGCAGCATCGATTGAAGCCTCCGAAGCCGCGAAGCAGCAGACGCGGCAGAGTCGCCTTGACTTGACTTGACTGGCGAAACTGGCGCACTGACAAGGACAGCGAACGACAGCAACTTCAATTCCATCGCCCAACGCCACCACCACAGCCGCCATCGCCATCACCAACGCGGTGCGGCATTAGCAGCTGGTTATGCCCAGAGCACCGAAGCTCGAAGCCGGAGCTCACGTTGTACCGTTCGGAGCGGTACACCAACTTCATTCTATGTTTTGGTGGAGTGGCAGCAGCACGACACACCGCGAACTGGCGTTCTTGGACAGTCAGCTCCTACACTGTAAGTCGCAAGGCGCCAGACCTCTCGCCCCCCAGTCGCCAACAGCTCCGCCGCCGCTGCTGCATTTCGTTCGCGCTTAGTAGCAAGGAAGGAAGTCAAGAGGCCTCGAGCTCGCTAGCGTCCAGCCACCATGTACGTTCACTACAGTCGACTAGCGCAAAGGCACACCGATGCTAGTCAATCGCTGGACTAACTAACGCTAATGCCAATGCCAATGCCAATGCAGGGTGACGTTCAAGATGGACGGCAGTACGACGTACTGCTACTACATCTCGGAGAAGTACTCGCAGGAGCAGCCCGTGGAGGACGACGTGCTGGTGCAGGACTCGGGCAGCGCGTGCCCCATCACCATCCGCGTGGACATCGCCGACGAGCTCGAGAAGAACGCGCTGATCCCGCTGCGCTACACCGCGACGCTGGACACGTCGTCGGCCGACGCCAACTTCGAGTTCCCCGACCCGATCGTCAAGGTGCCCGTGCCCGAGTACCTCATGGGCAACACGAACGCGTCCGCCGAGTCCTCGGGCAGCACCAACGAGACGACGTACGACGTGGCCGTGGCCAACGTCGTCATGTGCGACTGGCGCAGTTGCAACCTCTTCTCCACGGCTTCCGAGAGCGCTACCTACTACTCGTCCAGCAACAACCCGAACGACTTCACCGACAACGTGGCGGTGTTCGGCTCCCAGGAGCTCGTGATCCCCAAGGACGGAAAGTACACTGGCTACGTGCACCTCGTGGTCAACATTGCCGGTAACTCGCGCGCCGACTTTGTGACCTTCTTCCCCGTTCAGATTGGCGACGTGGCTGGTACAACGCCGAGCAGTATCACCACCGACGGTACGACCACGTACTGCTGGACATCCAAGGATGTGTCGGTGTTTGATCCCAGTGTTGCGGGCGACCTCACCATTCGAACGGGGGAGTACTGTCCTGGTTCAATGTCGATGTCGCTCTCGTCGACTGAAGTGTACGTCGGTGACACCATCGACATCGCCTGGATGCTCGACATGTCCGACTCAACCACCGACGACTCGACGTTGATTGCCGAGGTGTCCACTACGGATGCGATCCTAGACCCGCGTACCGACATCTACTCGGTTGTTCCAGTGTCGGTGTTTAGCGGCTGCCAGCGCAACTTGGCCGGCGCTAACTGCTCCACTTACACGGGTGAAGAATCGTCGACGTTTGCCATCGCGGAGTATGATGACATGAACCTCACGAGCGACGCCGTCAGCTACTCCACGAACTACACGTTTGATACGTCCGGGCAGTTTACGATGTTTGGCCGAGTGGCCATGGTGACCGTCGATGGCGAGCGTATCGACATGGCTATCTACTCGAGCGTGACAGTTTCGGTGCAGGGTGGCAGCAGCGGTAGCTACCTGTTCCTGTACGTTGGTATCGCCATTGGCGCTGTGATTCTGCTGGCTGGTGGCTTCTTCTGCTACATGAAGAAGCGCCGCAACAATGTGGACACGAAGGATATCCCCTTCCGCCAACCTGTCAGTGGGCTGGAGCGCTCGAGTGACTACACTATGGCGTCCTCGAACTTCCTGTCGCACAAGACGCCTGCACAGCTGCAGGGGCTGGACATGAGCGGCGACTACAGCACCAACAAGACGGCCCCGTCCTACCTTGCTGTGAACGCCGCGGATAGCGGCGTATTTGACAAAACAATTCACGCGGAGCCTGGCCAAATCCCTGCGTCTTTGGAAAGCAGCGAGTCTTTGTCGCTGAACCCGTTTGAGCGCGCTAGCTTTGCTGGATTGAGCGATGACGTTGCAAGCTCGCGGCCTTCGGAGATGACCAAGTTTTCGTTCCAGTCTGGATATTCCGATGAAACCGAGTGGGAGTACGACACGAGCGACCTCCGAGGCGGCAGCGACTTCAGTGACTTCTCGTCGGACCCAGGCACTAGCCTTCCTGCTTCCACCGATTTCGACATGGGCCGTGGTACCAATATGCCCATTCTGGAGGAGGACGACCTGGCCGGCAACAGCTTCAGCCACGACCACCACCCGTCCAGCTCCACTAACGACCCGCGCAGCTCGACCAGTTCCGGTTGGACTGTGCAGTAAATCACGCATTGACTTGTCGACTGCGGGATTTACAAGTAGCTTCGTGGATTTCGCAGCAGTAAGGATGACATCGCTTTGTTCCGCAAAGCACGTGGGTGAATGGAGTGTTCCGAGTTTTTATTATTATCAAGCGCAAGGACGATTTTGTAGGGGGTGCGAGCTTCGGTGAATTGGAAGAGGGGTAGTAGTGCGCGGAAGGCTGCAGGCCAAATGGAAGCCGGTGAGTGGCATCCCTAGCATGCTTCCATCCCCTTCATAAGTGTGAATCCGAAGCACAATAGAGATCATCAAGTCTAAATGAGAATATGCGTCTAGCAATTTCATCCAGCTTCATGTATTTACGCAAGCCTACTCCCAACTTCGCACAACTTCTCTTCAACTAACCCCTGCCCGACACCCTCACTAAACTAAACAGCGATGTGTGCGTGGCCATCAGACCCGTGCATAGCCGGAGGACTTGCCAGCTCGTCGTCAGCCTCTTCAATGGCGCCGTAGGCTTCTGGCTGAATTGACAGCAGTACAGCTCGATCAGTGGCCGATGTTGAAGACGGCGCAGCGTATTGAGACGGGCGTTCGTTGGAAGAGTACGACGAAGATACCGATCCGTGCCGTGTGCGGCCTCGATTGACAGAGTCTACGTCCACGGAGAGCAGCGACGACAGCGACGCCATGCGATCCTGCTCCTTGAACGAGTCCACATGACCCACAGAGTGGAAGTGCGCTTGCAGAATGACCTTGAGTTCGTCCTGGATGCAGAGGATGCGAGCTTCCAAGTCCACATCGTTCGCATCGGGGCCAAACGGACACTCAATGGAGGAAGCCACATTGTCCAGCGCAAAGAGCAGCACCGCCGCAATGCCCACGTACAGCGGCGTCATGAATCCAAACATCGGCGCCAACGTCGCCCCCATGAGCAGCAAATAGCCGACAAAGCACGCGTGCAAACACTGCGCCAAGTTGAATGCAATAGGCACATTGCACAGGTTGAAGATCCTCGTGTACATCTGGGGCAGCGTCGACACGATCTTGTTGAGCTCCATGGCCTGCTCCACCGTCACGTAGCTCTTCCTCCTGGCGCGGTTGATTGTGCGTCGCAGCCAGAGCTCCACGATCGCCGCGCGCATCTTGTTGGCCGAGCCCACGACGTTGCGCTCGCGGTTCCACGTGTGCTCTCCGAGCGTGAGCACTTCGGTGCTGGAGAACTCGTCCGCCTCCTTCTGCGTGAGCAGCGCGCGCAGCTCCAGCGGCGCGTCGCTCTCGTTGCAGTCATGGAACACCAGCGTCACGTACAGCAGGATGTAGCGCTTGACGTCGCGGATGAACTGGCACTTGTTACGGATCTGCGCGCGGTCGGCCACGCCCTTGCGCGAGAAGTGCACGAAGGCGCAGGCGGTGGCCGTCAGCGTGCGCGCAGCGTCGGCGAACGCGCTGACGTCCTCCACGCCGCGTTGCCACTGGCCCAGCGCCGCGAACACGCGCAGACCCACGAGCACCGCCAGGAACACCGACGCGCAGAGCAGCAGCGGCTGCAGCGCCTCCGTGGGCAGCAGCGTCGGCTTCTCACGCTGCAACGCGGCCAGCCCCGCCGCAAGCGCCGCTACCATGGCCGCGCGGCATAGTGTGGAGGGAGCGGCGATGGCCGACCCGTGCGAGTACAGCAGCAGCCGCCAGAGGATGTGGTTGCTGTAGTAGATCATCGCCCGGAACCTTGATGGGGAGCTGGTGCTTCGGCAACTGGATAATTTGGCTGCGTCGAGTACTGTGATAGGCAACTATACAAAAATCAAGTTGGTTTGCTGGGCGGAACGAAATGATTGTGCTCAAAGTGAATCAGGACCTGCGAAAGAGAGTAATCATGACGGGACGCAGTTTCCGCATTCTCTTCAAGGAGCGCAAGGTGCAATGCGCAGGTGCGAGCAGTGCCGCCGCTCGCTCGAGAGCGAGCTGCTCAGCGCGCCAGGTGCGGCCTCTGCGTGGATATGACACAACCCACCGTCTTCTCCTCGTTCTGAGCTTCGTTTTGGTGTGCTATTCTGTTCCTGACGCGCAGTATTGGGCGAGTCCTACGTGCTCCTGCCCACGGCCAGCGCCTCCCAGAGCATGTTGCTGCTGCAGAAGCTGCCCACGAACGCGGCGCCGCCGCCCGAGATGGACGAGTCCGGAGCCTTCGGGGAGGACCTGTACGCTAGTGCACGCTACAACCTGTCGCTGCAGCAGCAGCACCAGCAGGAGCAGAGGCGGCAGCAGGCGCAGCGTCGACAGAAGCTCCAGCAGCGCCAGCGACGCCAGCAGCAGAGGATGAAGGACAGCTTCACGGCCGCGGGGAGGCCCTTCGAGGCGCATGTGGGTCGAGCGAGCAACGAAGAGGAGAACGCAGAGCTGGAGGACAGCATGGTGGCTGTGCCCACGTACGCGGACGTGAGTCACCACGTTCAACTGCTCACGACGCAGCAGGCTCATTGGTACGGCTGCTGGATGATGGAGTGTAGGGTATTTTTGGGTCTCTGACGTGGCGGGTGCTATGTAGTGCTGGGCTGCCGGTGACAACGCCGGTGTGCAAGGAGTGCATGGATGGCATGGTCACGCTCATCGACGGGTGAGTGAGTCTACAGCTGGGCAATTTTGTTGCATTTTGTTGCTCACCTGGCTGTGTTTTTGCAGTCAAGCGGAGCGAGCGAGGTATGAGAAGCGGTGCTTTGCTGGTTTCCTGCACAATACGACGAGCTCTGTTGTTCACAGTGAGGATGTGGAGCAGATCGACGACAAGATTCGATTTGTACGTGGGATTGCATAGGCTCATGAGGTCTTGTTGGCTAACGTGACGGTGATGCTTATGCCAGTATGAAAACGAGCTAAACGCGCTGGAGGAAAGTCTAAAGCTTATGGAGCGCGAACGGGAAGTCATTGCTCAGCAGCAGGAAGCGATGCATGAGGAGGAGAAGGCTCTCATTTACGAAGAAGCTGGACTGTGGGAACAGTTTAACGGGCTGCAGTTGCAGGAGGCTGTATTTCGCGAGGTTCGAGATGCAGGCACTGCGCAGATCGACGCGATGGAGCGGAAAGGAGCGTCCGCCAAACACCTGAATATCCTGACCGACATGTTCGTCATCGGCTATGACGGCGCCTTTGGCACGATTAATCAGTTCCGCATGGGCCAGTCAGCGTCGTTTGCGGTCGAATGGAACGAGATAAACTCTGCCTTTGGTGAATGCGCTTTACTTCTGCAAACCTTGGCAAACATGGTTGGAATGGAGTTCTCTGAGTAAGTAAGCGTGTGCTAGCTGACATTCAATGCGTGCTTTGCTAACATATTTTTTCTCTTCGTAGCTTTAAGATCGTACCACTGGGCAGCTTCTCCAAAATGATCCGGACGAGCAACCTACGCATGGAGTACTGTCTGTAAGTCGTGTCATTGTGGAGACATATTGGTGCTTCGTGCTTGGAAGAATTAATTGTGTCGTGCCGCTGTGCATTGGTACTTTCTGCCTGCAGACACGGTTCGGACCAGCAGAATTTTGCTGAATCGCACTTCAACTTAGGCCTCGGTGCCTGGATCACGTGCTTGGGCCAGTTGATGGCGTTTGTTCGGGCTCGAGACGCGTCCATTCGATTGCCTTACAAAGTTGCGAAGCATTCTATCGGAGGCTACTCCATTCTCTTTCTGAAGAACAAGCACAAGGAGTGGACCAAGGCTCTCAAGTACGCGCTAACCAACTTGAAGTGGCTACTTACGTGGGTCACCGCCCGTGGTCACAGCATTTCTGCGCCAAACGTGGCAGCTTCTGTTGCTGTACCCGTTCCGAGCAAAGCTGCTCTCGCATTTGCTGCTCACCCTCCCGTAATGCGCACCAGTGGATCGAAGCAGAGTGTTGTCATCATGGAGCACTTCTCGTAAAGTTGTATTTTAGACCAAATGAATATGTACATGTGGCAGAAAGGTGTGCAGGAGAGTTCATGCGTCTAACATCTGCCTGTTTTTCTCTTCCATCTTCAGCTACGCTACAATTACCAGATCGGTAAGGTGCGCTGGGACAGCCCCCTTCTTCTCGTTCTTCCGTGTGGTTGTCTTGTAAATATGTGGAGGTTCGGCGTCGCTCTCTAGACCTTCGAGTAATCGCCTAAATAGTCTCGAAGTGCGGCGTGCACAGCTCATTCCGTGGGGTTGTCGATCTCGACTGTCCGCCGTTTTGACTGCGGAGAAGCAGCATCTTGCTGCTTAGGTTCCTTGGCGTCCTTGGCGTCCTTGGCCTCGTCTGGGCTACCCGCATCGGTGGATACGCTCAACAGAGGCCGCTTCTTGCCGAGTTTCGCACTCAGGTCCACCGTAAGGCTTCCGGGCTCGACTGTCTTCTTCTCGGATTCCTTCTCGGTCTTCTTCTCAGTGCTCTTTTCGGTCTCCTTCTCAGTTTCCTTCTCGTTCTTCTTTTCGGTCTTCTTGTCCGCCGTCTTCTCCGTCTTGTTCTCATCTTCCGGCTCCTCGTCACTGTTGTGAGCCTCAGAGAAGAAGTGCAGCAGCAGCTTCGCGTCTTCAGGCTTCGTTTTCGGCATGGGGGCGAGCGTGAGTTGCTGTGACGAGTTCGTGTTTGGCAGGATCTTGCGACCACGAACGGATACAGCGAGAGAAGAGGGCAGCGGCACAGATGGCACATGCTGCGAGCCCGGTCCAACGCCACCGGCACTGAGCGACTCAAGGAAGCGAGCCTCAACGACTGCAAGCTCTTCCCGTGCGCGACGAATGGCCTGGCGGTTGGCTGGTGTGTTCTCCATGGCGCGGAAGATCTGCTTGCCAATGGAGCTGTTGCCCTTGAGCTTCTTGGTCACGCGCATGGCCTCGCAGTTGAGACGCTTCGCCAGGTACCAGCGCAGCGAGGTGCCATCCTCAACGTCCAGCAGGCCGCGCTTGAAGAAGTGGATGATCATGTTCGTGAACGCCTCCTCCTCTGGCGTCCACTTACCGCTGCGAAGGCCTGGAGAGCACTTGGACTTGGTCGATCGCTTCTTGGGAGCGGCAGCCGCTGCAGCCGGCAGGCTGACGCGAGACACCGAGGTGAGCACCGCAGCGGCATTATTTGTGGCACTGATGTTCTGCTGATGCCGAGCCGCTTCTAGAGTCGCTGCTGTCGGGGGCTGCGGGAACGCGGGCTGCATGTTCATCATGTTGTACTGGTGTCCGAAGGTGGCTGGCTCCTGCGGGTTGTTGGCGCCGCTGTGAGCCAGGCTCGCGATGGCATGCGCCACGGACGCTCCTGTGCTCATGCTGGTGCTTGTGGATGTGGTGCTCGGGGTGGCGCTGACGCTGGCGCTGTTGCTGCTGCTGGTGGTGTTGGCGGTGCTGCCACCAGCGCCGTTCACGACGCTCTGGCTGTTATTCACCATGGACAACATTGTCTCGGACGCAATGGTGCTTGTGTTGCTCTTCTCGAAGGTCGATGGATGGGAGGAAGTTGAAGCTCGCGGTGGCACTGCAACTCCCGGCTTCGAGGTCACGCTTCAACTGGAGGAAGGGAGGAAGGATCGGAGAGCGAGGGAATATGATCCAGTGAGCCCTTGAAGCGAGGGTCTTGTCTTGCCGGACGCTGAATTGAAGTTGGTGGCTCCTAGAGATTCGGCAGTGAAGTGGCGAGGCCGGAGGCTTCAAGTAGAGCAACAGAGAAGAGAGTCAGCCGAGCCGGACGAACACACGTCCGCCATTCAAACGCGCAGGGCTTGGAGGATGCAGAAAAGGAGCACGCGCTCTTCCTGCTGCTTTGCCCTCCGCGGCTGGGATGGAGAGCTCACCTTTTCACTCGCGCTTTGTATGCTTCCTTGGCTGCTGTCCGTGCCGCTCGATTGGCCCAATGGTCCTGCAGCACCAAACCCGCCCAAATCACAGCACCAACATCAATCAGGTGGTCGGAACCAGCAAGCGAAGCAAGGCAAAACCAGCAAGACACGGTCTCCCAGGTGGCTGCACTGTAGCTGCGTTGCTGCCACTACCAAGGAGGAGACTGATGTCTTGGGACGGCTGCTCGCTCTCACTTCAACTTACCAGTCGCCGCTGAAGTTGGAGAGTTGACACGAGCGTCTCCAGGAGGGAGAAGCCAAAGTGACGCTCGCTACTTGGATCCTTGGACTGCCACAGTAGACTCGACTCGAGCCCGGAGCTGTTGATTGAAGCGCGGTCTTATCTCGTCGTGCTTCGTCTTCGACTTGGATAGTGGAGGTCTTTCTTCTTCTGGTTCTGGCCGAGCAGGACAGCGCTGTACCCTTTCGCAAAGTGGCTGTGATTGGCTGAAAAGTGGCAACTTCAACTTGGTGGAGAAACTGTGACCGTCGTCGTCGGGGCTGCCGCCAACGCGCCCAAGCGGGCCCAACACTGACTGGAGGCAGGCAGGAAAAGCGTCCAGAAGGACGGCGAACGCCGAGGGTATTTGCGGCTCGGGCGTGAGCTTGACCTGGGCCTATTGACTCAGACGGCTAATTTTGAGGCACGTGGTGGTAGCGCTGATTTTGCGAGCCGAGCCCACTTCAAGCTGCGCACTTGGAGTTTGTATGCCGCCAAAAATGATTGGCCGCGATTGCACAAGCGACAACGGGGCGATGTTTTACACATCATTTTTGGCCGGGGCTGGACCTAACCCGTCGCGGGTCGAGGCCATCACAATAACAATAATGGAGCGCGTCTAAATGTCCGTGAGCTGTCAATGATGGCCGCTGCAGTAGCGCAACGGGGTTCTTCAATACAGGCAAAGGAGACTTTAGCATGGCTTTCGTTGCTGCCCTTGATTTTGGCGCCAAAAACAGCGCGGGAACGATGGGACGAAGATCGTGTCACACCTTGAAGTTGCCTGCTTGAAGCGCTCATGGCTCGCGGACCGGGATTTGCCTTCGCCGCGCTCACTGCCCGCAAGATGAGAGCGTTCTCCAGCTGCTGTAGAGTGAGCGGCATTCTCTAGCCTGTGGTGACTCTGTCAGTTTGTTTGCTGTGGGGGAACTTTGACTCGCCAACTCCAACCTATCCGCCCGTTACGCGCGTCAACAGCAGCTATCTTCAACGCTGGTGTTGATCGGTCCCAAACTCGCCTTTCAGCCAGCACCCGCCGCAAATTAAGCCCTTGGGCATAGTATCCCTCGACTTGCACCGACACACAGCGCCCGATATTGGCGTACGCCGTCAAGCGGCGACTTCCGCGTTAGCTCACTTGCGGCACCGCGCTCTCCTGCCCGCAACTGTATACGGGCGGGCACAAGGTCGATTTTTCACCATGTGCCGACGGGGAAACTAAATCTGGTGCTCTGACTCCCTGCAGACGAGTGAAGCGGTTCAGATGGTTGCTGCATACGAAAAAAAATCGGACCTAGCGACAGACCGACACCAACACCTTCTGCTCGCGAGTGAAGTCGCGTACCAGGCTGTGGTGTTGTGCAAGTCTAGCGCAGCAACGTGCAGCCACAAACACGACAAGGTCCGAGGGGGGGGGCGCCTAACAACACGCAGTTGCCATGCACACTGGTTCTGCTGCCCGGTACGTCGGTATCAGCCAGCCCCCCATTATTTATCATCGCTCGCCATGCTCCACCGCATCCTCTCCGCTGGAGCTGCTACGGTGTGCGAGCGATGGTGGCGTCTCCCAAAGCACACCGCTCTGAACCTGTGAGTAGCTCTTTATTTCACCCGTCCACGCTCGCTGGCGCTTTTGGGGCGTTTTGCAGAAGGTTGCTTTGAAGTTGAAGTGATCGCAACCTTTATAGATCCACTCAGCCAATCGCTGATTTTACAGGAGACATTTCAGCCAATCAAAAGCAAGCGTCAGCGCGACTTGCACCCGGGTAGAACAAGGAAACCCGTCGTCAAGCGCCGTCTCTCTTCATGGAAGACGCCCTAGCGCCATGCCCGTCGATCCGAACTCCGTTCAACGTTTTCGGGCGACCTCACAATTCAATTGCTCGCGTCTCCTGCATCCAGTGGTCTGAACCACAGCTCAGCTCCCAGCGTTTCAAGGCCTAGAAGTTATCTGATCCCAGCACCTCATCGACTTCGCAACTCGTCCCCACTTCAGCTAACATCGGTACCCGCTCGACACCATGTCGTCGTCTCAAGGCGGCAGCGGGTCCTTCGCTTCCAACTCCTCGGTCGCTGATACCATCTCGCCCACGCCCAGTCCGGAGGATGCAGCCAAACTCGAGGCTCAGCAGGCCTTGATGGCGTATCTCTTGTCTCGGTTCCACACGCTGCAGCTCTTCCTGCTGCTCGGCTACGGCATCATGTGCCTGCTCTGCATCACTCTCGTGATCTACCTGCGGCACAACCGGTACACAGCTCTTCGAGGTGACGCCAACGCTGCTCGGAAGATCATCTTGCCGGCGTACGAGCCGCTGCTGTGGGTGCTCGGCTGCACCACCGGGATCTACACGGCCTTCTTCTGCTCCGCGCTGGCGACCGAACTCTACACGTACGACATCTCCAAGCTCGCGACCGAGGTGTTCTACTCCGGACGGCAGTTCGTCTTCCTCAGCGTTATCGTCTTCATGCTGCAGAAGAGCGTGTCTGGGCCAGCTCTTCGACGTACGTTGATGATCACACTGGTGCTCTCAACGTACACTATTCCGCTTGTGTGGGTCATCACGACGTACTACTCGGTATCTGACCTATACGTGCCGCTCACAGTTGCGCGCGCGCTGATGCTGTTGCTCTACTCGTACGTCTTTATTCGTCCACCGGCTCGGGCGAGCAAGCGCACGCTGCGAGAGTATTGCGTGTTCGCGTACGTTTACTACGCGCTGCTGTTTTCGTACAACGAGTGCTTCCGACGCGGCCACTTGGAGACGGGATTCTACCTCACGTACTCGAATCTACTCTGTGGTTCGCTCTGTCCGTTGGTTATCTGGCGCGTGCTGCGCGCGGACACGGAGCACTGGAGAGGAATGGGTCAGCGTGCCGTAGCACTCCAGCGATTGTTCTGTCAGACGCGAGGAATGCCAGAGCGGGTCTCGTCCAAGGGCCTTCACATTCTGATTGAGATGCATCGCCAGTTCATCATCGACTTTGCCTACCTGGAGCTACAGCAACGTATTGGCGTCGGGGCCAGCGCGGTCGTTTTCAAGGGATTATTGAGGTCTTCGACGGACGTAGCAGTCAAAGTCTACACCCCGACGGACTTTACGGAGGACACTGTCGCAGCGTTCTCACAGGAAGCAGCACTTTGCGGCGCACTGCACCACCCGAACATCGTCGCGTTCCACGGGATGTGCGTGTGTCCGCCCACGATTTGCCTGGTCAATGAGCTTTGCGTTGGAAGTCTGGAGGACGTGACCTGTGCTGCAGCGAGGCGGCGGTCAAGAGTGGGCGAGCACGATCACAACCGCCAGCAGCTGCTGCTCAACGTCGCCTACATGCTGGACGCAGCGCGTGCTGTGGCATATTTGCACAGCTTCCGACCTCCGTTCCTGCATCGCGACATCAAGCCGACCAACTTCCTCGTGGACGCGAACAGCACAGTCAAACTCACGGACTTTGGTGAATCTCGATCTCTTCCTCGCGCGCAGGTGGTGAGCAACGGACTCAGCAACGCTACTGCCACGACGCATCGGAGTAGTCTCGGGGGATACGGGAGCGAGAAAGCCTCGACGGTGGCCATGCTATCCAGCGAAGACGCGACTACTAAGGCTCCAGCTGACCGTGCCAGCATTGAGATCGCTGTCGTCGGAGCCGCTAACCTCCAGCAACTACGCGGATCGATTGTGTCTACTGGAGTAGATGGGGTGAAAACTAACAAGGATGGCAACCGGAGCAGCATTGACGCTAATGCTGTGCGTATGACGGTCAAGGGCACGGTAGACTATATGGCGCCAGAGGTTATCAACGGTCGGGCGGGTCTTGCAGCTTACGGTGAGGCAGCAGATGTGTATTCCCTGGGAATCACGATGTGGGACGTGCTGAATCCTGGTCAGGAGAAGTTCCCAGGCACAGGCAGCAACCATTTCCGTGTCTTCGATCTCGTCCTTGAGGGCCAACGCCCCGACATAGACGTTCGACTGCACCCCGGTATTCGCGCGATTATTGAGAGCTCCTGGCAGCACGATCCGCGCTTACGTCCGTCAGCACACAGTGTTGTGAGCACTCTGGAGAGCATTCAGGAGGAACTCAGCGCCGCGTTCGCCCTGGAGCTAGCGGACGAGCTTGAAGACGCGATGCGCTTAGCCAAGCCGATTGTCGCTTCGAGTGCCCCATTGGTGGCACCGCGAGGGTTCTCCGGCGAGGAAGCTATCTCGCACATGCGCCAGTTTCAGTACGTGGACAACTCAAGTGAAGCTGTTCGTCTGGGCAACGCGCTCATGGACTCCGGCTTGCTCCATCACAGCAAACACGCGCGTCCATTCGAGGAATCTGAGGAAGTATACTTCTTCGACGATGACAACATCAACTTGTGCCAGCCCTTAGTGGTGGGCGCATACACGCAGGACCAGAGAGACAAGGTCGACGCGGAGAGCGCGACGGTAATCAGCTCGTCCACGCGCCCATCGCGGCGCGCCTCACATCGCTCCGGTTCCACCAACCTATACACCAGTTCGGCTCGAGTGCGCAGCGACAGCTCCCAGTCTCAATCTGACCGAACACTTCTCGAGAACGGAGTTTGTGCTTGCCGTAAGTTGGGACAGCGCCTCAAACTACCCAAGACCTCCAAGACTCGCCACAGGTTTCGTCGAAGAGGGAAGGGCAAGGGAAAACCGTCGCCTGCCATGGTAGCAAGCGATGCCGCGGAGCAGCTACAAACGAGACTTCTCCTGGAGTCTCCACATGAATCGAATGAGTTTGACGGCTTCGATGCGAGCCCAACAGTGGTGTAGGCGGCAGTTGAACTTGTACACTTTCATTTGTACTTCCATAAGTATACGTTTGTATACTTTCGCAAGTAATAAATATATCGTTTTGAACGGTACATGGTCTCGTTCTTGCGGTATACAGGACCCCGCTAAAGCACACTCCTCAGTAGTAAAGGGGATCTAGCCAGCTATAGCAACATCGATCAACATCAACGAAGTCGAATACTTCATGAGAATGCTTTAGTGAGCTGAGCGCAGCTACGAGTTCCATTCTTCCATGGCGAATCGACTCGACTGATCGATTGCTTCGCTCAAGCCTAAGCGCTCTGATGGCTCGAATGCACACAGTGCATGCACAAAGTCCCAGTTTTCGTCGCTCACAAACGCTTTCGGTCGGGACATGAAAATGCCATGGGTCAAGTTGTAAATCACCGAGTCATTAGGCAGATGCGTCCCCCATGGCACATTTCCACTCACAGCCTCCACAACGCACATGCCGAACGAGTACACGTCCGATTCAAACGTCAGAGAACAGCTCTCGCTTCGCAGTAATTCTGGCGCCTTCCACCGCACAGCACCTGTTGACGTCGTCGGCTTGGACTCCATCAAGGCGAAGCTGAACCCGAAATCCGTCAGCTTGGCCGTCTTCTCCTCCGTCACGAGGATCTGGTTGCACTTGAGGTCTCCGTGCACGATCTTCTTCTCGTGGAGAAACTGCAGCCCCAAGGCTGCGCCGTGCAACAATCGCCACACTAAAGCCTGATTGTCGTGCTTGTTCTTTTGCAGGAAGTCCACGAGGATGCCGTTCGTGGCCTCTTCGCACACGAAGAAGCACGGCTGGCTCACGTGGAACGCGCCGAACAGCCTCACGACGTTCGGGTGCTGCGCTCGAAACCAGAGTCGAGCCTCGCGCTTGAACGCGCGCATCTCGTCCCCAATCACGGCGTTGACGCACTTGACCACCACCTTCTGGCCGTACCAAGTTCCGTGGTAGACCTTGCCAAAGGAGCCAAGTGCGAAGTGCTGCTCCTCTCTCTGGACCTCGTACTCGGGGAGGAACCAGTCTGGAACGGCCTGCACGGAGGCCCCTGACAGGCGGATGATGCTCTGCTTCACTGACCTCATCATGGTTCTCGAGTCGGCATTGTAGCCGCTCTTCTTTCGGGTGGTCTCACTACTGAGCAGCGTCAGTGCGTCTTCCTGCGACTTCTGGCTGGACAGCGAGTCGAGGATTCGCATGGGGCTGGTCTTCCACAGACGAACGAGGGACGTCTCCACTTCTTGAGTGTCACGGTCCCAGGTCTCCATCCAGCTTGACTGAGGATCTCCTTCCGAGACTTCTGCTAACACAGCATCAAGACGAACGTGAAATTCTCTCAGCAGGCTGACCACCATTCGAGTGCTCACGAGTCGCTCGAACGGGTTTCTCTGCTTGTACCTCACTAGGAATTGGTGGAACCGAGCTCGGACTGAAGCGAGATCAGATTGGACATTGAGAGGAACGATTTCCTTTTGCTCGTTGATCAGAATTTGCGCACGCTGCAGTCGTTCGAGAACATTTTCGCACATGTTGCGGGTCTCTTCCATTTGGGCGCACATCGAAAGCAAATCCGAGATTTGTGCCGTTGCATCATGCAGGGTGAACGTGCTATCTTGCTCGGTTTTGTGAAGTTCTTGGTTGGACACCGTCGAAGGCGAACCAATTGCATCAAAGCCTTTGTGTACCCGACGACCTTGCTGCCGGGGTTCCATCGCCGTCCTACAGGTTTGCGGGCGGGTGGCACCACCACCAGACAACATTTCGACAATTGCACTGTGGTTGTTGTTTTGGGCCAGCTTGAGTGCGTTGTCTCCTTGGTAGTTTCTTGCATTGACGTGGGCGTTCTTGGCCACAAATAAGCGTGCGATGTCCGTGTGTCCTTCTTGGGCTGCCCACATCAATGGACTTTGTCCGTCATCCTTCGAGAGCTCCGTATTCGCGCCGTGGTCCAGCAGTATCTTGACATTATTGGTAAATCCCTTCCAAGCTGCCAGTAGTAAAGCCGTATCTCCATCATTCGACTGCGAGTTTACGTCAGCACCATCCTCCAGCAGTAGTTCCGCGATGCTAGAGTCATCCCAAAGAGCTGCAGCCATGAGTGGGGTAAAGCCCGAGAAGTCGGACATGTTCACTTGTGCTCCAGCATCGATCAACGCAGTAACAGCGCTCACTCTTCGGGAAATTATTGCGAGAAGCAGCGCTGTTCACCTTTGGTGTTTCGCGCATGAACGTCCGCTTCTGAGCTTAGAAGCAGACGGAGAGTGCCGATATCCCCGTTTTGAGCTGCAAACATGAGTGCCGTGTGGTTGTCCTCTTTCGCTAGAGTGGTGTCTGCTTTATTCTCTAGCAAGAGCGAAGCAGCATCCAGTTGTTGCCAAGCTGCAGCAAGAAGCAGCGCCGTGTCACCATTCGTAGCTTGCCTGTCGATATCCACACCTCTCTCAAGCAGCAAACGCATGCTCTCGACCTGATTCCGCCTAGCTGCAGCCATGAGGGGGACTTCACCAATGTCGTCAGTCAACTCGACTGCTGCTCCAGCATCAAGTAGTAGCTTCACCAAATCCACGTGGCCCTCCTCCGCCGCAACATGCAGAGCAGATCGACCTCGTTTGTTCTGAGCGTTTAGATCCACCCCTCGAGCTAGTAGAAGACGCGCGATCTCCACATTCCCAGCCTGAGCCGCTTTGATCAAGGCTGTGTAGCCATCCTCGTCCGTGGATTCCACATCCGCCCCAGCGTTCAATGCAGCCTCGAACTCTACCAGGTTGCCACTAGCGGCAGCACTCAACAAGTCCATCGTCTTCACCCGAGGGATTTTTTTTATTGAGTGGAATCTGTCAACACCCACTTGCGTCTCCACGCGCTCAGGATTTTCGTATCCTTCGGTCAGAAATGTCAGAAGTGCGTGTACCCATCGAAGACGCAATGCTTCAATGCGGTCATTCATCGTTTATCCAGATCACGCGCACTTGAACGTCCCAACATGGAATAAGCTGTTTGGACGGAGCCAGAGGTGCGGATGGACACGAAACCAGCCCTCTTGCAGCCTGCTGGCACCTCCCAGACCCTGCGGTCGTCCCTGGAATCGATGAAGCGCCGACTAAGTGAGATCGCTCGTGCTGCCGAACCCCTTGCCGCCATACGCGAAGAGATCGAGGAGCGCGTTGAGAAGGCCCAAGACCTCTTACGTGAGGTGCAGCTACGAGTCGAGGAGGGTCGTGTGTCGGTCTTGGTGACTGGCACTATGAACGCTGGCAAGAGCTCATTAATCGACGCACTGATGGTGTGCCCGATCGGAGACCAAGCTACGACCGCCAGTATTCTGACAATTGAACGTAGCTCTAGCGACTACTTTGAGCTACTATTACTCAATCCCGGCGGGCCCCAGCAGGATCAAGAAACCATCCTGAGAACCAAGTCGGCAGCTGTAGTGAGTTCCAAGCTAAAAGAGCTGAATGCAGCCGCACGAGGGGGAGGAGACAATCAAGCGCCGGAGGCCGACTTCGAGCTGAGACTTCGAGTGCCCGAACATGTCATGGCTCACGCAGGTCAGACCGCTCTGGAGATAGTCGACTCGCCTGGCTCGAACGAAGCTCTGTCGCCTCGTATCAACGAAAAGTGGGCGGAAGCCATCGCGCACAGCGACATCGTGGTGTTGGTGGTCGCCTACTCTCAGCTCGAGACCAAGGACGTCGCGGACTTCTGGACGAGGTACGCCCGAGAATTACCAAGCCAGGCGTCATCGCGCAACCTCCTCGTGTTCGTGAACAAGTACGACCAGGCCGATTCAAGCAACGAATTCGCCGAAGAGGGCGAGAAAACTGACGCTATTCGTCGCCGGTGTGCGCAACTCGTGCAGGATTCGACTGATGGCAAGGTCAATTTGCTGGTAGATCAAGTATTTGTGGGGTCAGCGCGAGACGCTTTGCTGTCCCAGCTCGCGACGAGCATCGACGTCGAACTTCCAAACGAAGTCTTTCAACAAGAGTATGGAGAGATTAGCGCGTTGACAGGTCGAGTCTTCGGGAGACGACGAGAACCTCCGCCGGCTTCTGCAAGAGCGTTGAAACAACTGGTGAACTGGCACGACGTTCTTGACGATAGCAGAATGGACGCGTTTGTATCTTGCTTCGGAGCCAAGGCTCGTTCTGCGGAGGTCGCGCACGTGTACAAGCTCGTCGCTGCTGTTGATGCGGCCGCTTTGGCGATACGAGCATCGAATTCTACTCAAGTTTACCACTTTCAACAGGAGATAACCAAGCTGCGGGCTGAAGAGGAGGAGCTATCTTCGATGGAGAAGAGGGTCGAGGATTATTTTACTGCCGGCGTCGAGCCTGACGATACCGTGGCAGAAGATGAAAGCCGGCGATTACTTGTGGAGTGGGTCTCAGAGACGGACGATGCCGTAGTGGACGCACTCGACTCAGTGTCGAGCCAAATGCCGCTTTTACTCAATGCCACGGATAAGGAGCTTCCCGTACGCACAATAGCGCGTTTTGAACAGTCTGCACGGGAAGCGATACGCCTAAGCGCAGAGAGTTACAAGCCCAGCATCGTTGGAATGACTGAGGCCCGATGGCTAGGAGTTGGTAGCTGCAACGACGACGTCCTGCGGTTGCTTGCAGGTACGAAAGGATCATTTTCAATGGAGGTGGGTCGATCTCCAGTTGCCACGGCATCCACGATTGATGCAACGCTGACGGAGCTGACCGAATTCATGATGAACGCTGCCCGGGTTGACATGGAGGAAGCTACAGCGCAACTGATGCCCACAGCACGCACGGAATACGACTCTGGCGCCATGTACAGATCGGAAATCGACTTCGCTCGCCCCCTTAACAGACGTCGCCTCAATGGTGACTTCTACCACGACAGTGACAGTGGTCATATCAAGCTGGGGCCTGCAGCGAACCCCTTTATGGCAACATTCCAAGTTGACGGACGATTTAAAGGCCACACTTTCGTGCTAGAGCTGAGTCACCTCGCTAGTGACGGCGGGCCAGCGAGTCGAGCTCCCGTGACGGTGCTCGTCAATGGCCACGTGGTCCGCGAGAACTTTTGCCCACGCGCCGAGCACGGAAGCCAGGACGACCATATCGGACTCTGGGACTACGTGCTCGATCGGTGGCACCTCGACCCGTTGATGGTGCAGAGCGGAGAGAATCATGTGCAGATTCGGTACTGCGAGGGAGGCACCACCCTCTATTGGCTTCGCAGTATCTGCTTGCAGTGCGAAGTGCCACCAAGCTCAACCACGGTGATCGACACGTCAAACGTCAAGGATTTGGTGCAAACCTCCATTCTTTCGCGTCTTCGAGAAGGTCTTGACACAGGAGAAGGGGTGTTGACCCGCGCGCAGCACGAGTTATCGTCGCCACGCTCACCGCTTGAGGCGATTCGGAGTCACTACAACCGCGCGCTCATTGCTGTCAAGGAAGACAAAAGTCAAAGCTGGAAAATCAACAGCGAGCGCTTGCAACGGTTCTATCGTCCTGCGAGGAGCTATCTACAACCTGCCAGGCACTAGGCGACAAGGTTTCAACCCCTGTCGAATGCGCTGTTGTGCCGAAGTTGAGAGAGTAGAAGTATGAAGAAACTGTACTGGCAGCACTCTGCCGATATTCGAGCAAACTTACTGAGGCATAGTACCAACTCTCCTAGCTCAGGAACGATACTTACCTTGAGTAGCTCTAGTGAAGAAGAATCAAGTGCTTTACCATGGACAAAAGTATCCATTATTGCATGACGAGAACGATCTGGGAACAAGGCGGTCAGGCACACTCGTATCAGTTGGGAATTAGCGCTGGAGATGATTCTACTAAAGACTGCTGAAGCCGGGGACTTGGAAGCCCTTCAAGCTGACCTAGACACTGTGGCCGTATCTGCCTTTTCATCCGGACCCGGTCTTATACTAGGCTTTGTATAAGGTCGGACCCCTGGGACATATTCGAAATACGAGGGAACGACGGCTTGCATATTAACTCGACCTCCCTCCATTGCAGATTAAGTCGACCCCTGACTTGCATAATAACTCGACCTCCTTTCTATTGCATAATAACTCGACCTCCTCTCTATTGCAGATTAACTCGACCATAGGATCAAACGTAGGGCAGATACGCGGTTGGCAAAGAAAAAACTGACGGAGTTTATTCAATCACAGTTACTGCAACCTTATCCTTCTGTAGTGCTTCGAGTAGTGCCGAGCGCGAGCGTCCTGCCTTAGTCACATTGAAGCTGCCGCTTGTAAGTGATTTCATCTTCTCCGCTACTGAGTCTGGTCTTTTTTCAGAGATGAACCGGGCTACTTTGTGCATGTAGTGTAACATGTACACCCCGCAGTCCAATGAATTCGATTGAAGAGGGCTTGTCTTGTACGCTAACAGTTGTGGCGCCACACTGGTTTCTCTGCCACATCGTTTCGCCTCGCGTGCTAAAAACCACATCAGCGCATCCAAAACAGACGCCGAGTTGTGATAACCGCGTAGCGAGTTGATGTGGTAGCAGATCGTTCCAGCAGGTTTCAGCGGATTCTCAATGATGACGAAGCAGTAGTGATCTGCACCACTAATAGGCAGTAACACAAACTTGTGTGCCGCCCACTCAAAGCTACTGGTCACTTCATCTGGAACATCTTCACCATCTCTTTCACGGCGATACGCGTTTTGGATCTCCAGATAGAACGAGGTCCCAAGCGGTAAAGCCAATCCATCCACCTTAATCATGTGCTTGTAAATGAGGCAATCTACCACGCGAGTCGTCAGCCATTCCCCGGACAATAAACTGTCCAAGTCTTCTTGGTACAGCGGAATTCGAATAATTTCACCGTGCTTGTTTCCTGCAAGCTGGTGCACCACAGTCATAATTGGCTCGTCCCGATTTTTTCTTTTAGCGATCCTTTGGGGACGTGCCGTGCCTTTCGGCTCATTGCCTGACTGGGGTTTAACTTGTTCTTGGCTCTCGTCGATAGCCGCATCGCCAACGTCCTCCTCGCTGATATCAGACCCGTCTTCAACGTCGTTATTTCCGGAATTCCCGTGCAAATTTTTTGTGGCACCCGAACCCTTATTTACGGGTTCGTTCGCGGATGGCTCGGCTGATTTATCGTTGCTTGAGTCTTCACTGGGGCCATTTTCGTCTTCACTTGCCTGTTCGTCTTCACTTGCCCTGTCGTCTTCACTTGCCTCGTCGTCTTCACTTGCCTCGTCGTCTTCACTTGGCTCGTCGTCCTCACTTGACGCCACACCCCCACTTGGCTGCCCGACCTGGCTTTGCTGTCCCGTTTGGCTTGGCTGGCCGACGGGTTTATTCTTATAATTGCTAATAAAACGTGATATCCACGACTCTTGCGTTCCCTTCTTCAGTATTGCGAACTCAGGGATATTATTTCTCGCGTAGCTTAGAAGCTCGGAGAAGTTGCACGTGCCGCCATCCTCGTGACACGAATAATAGAACTTAAGGGCGCGTAACTCGTAGGGCTTAAGGCGCTTCTTCTTGCCGGCCCCCTTCTTGCGAAATGCATCTCCAAGGGTTTCCAAAGCAGCAGGATCGTCCAGCAGATGCCACAGCGCCTTCTTCCAGCCCATCAACATCCCATTCGCTACACCAAGCTACTTTGCAGCCCCTTTGCAGTCCACTTAGGGTTATCTCTACACTCCTTGAGCTTGCTGACCTTCGTGGCGATAGGCACTTGGTTAAGGCGCCGTCTCTCCTTCTCCATTGTGCGCGAGGTCGTGTATTTTTAAAGTACGATTGATGACTAAACCCTCAAGCCGGTCGGCTTATACTGCGAGTAGGTCGAGTTATCCTGCAAGTAGGTCGAGTTATACTGCAAGTAGGTCGAGTTATACTGCAAGTAGGTCGAGTTATACTGCAAGTAGGTTGACTTATACTGCAAGTAGGTCGAGTTATACTGCAAGTAGGTCGAGTTATACTGCAAGTAGGTCGAGTTATTCTGCAATACAGGATGTATATGGATTTTGTATGTATGTGTGTTACAGTGAGTTAGAAGCTCTCACTTGCCTTACGAATTCTGAACGACTCTACGTACGATCTTTCCGAATCGATTGAGAGATTCTCCTGCCTCTTTGCGCTTCTTCTCCAGCTCTTCAGCAGCTACCCCTTCGGTTATCTGATGTTTTGCAGCAAATGCCTGGATCGCATCGTAGAATACCTTACGACGTGAGAAGAACCGATTCTCTGTCGGATCTTTTCGCCACTTGCTTCCAAATCGTTGCTCAGCCTCGCAGACGGACATTTGACCAGCTATTCCACGAGTATATTCAGTCCACACTTCATTCACTGTCTGCAGCGAGCGACTTAGACGCAATTCAGATCTTGTTGAGCGCTCACCGATTGCCTGGGAGTCCAATGGCTCACGAGCGGCGACAACACCACGTCGATGGGGAGCATCAACGTCATCTGCCAATGAGATTACAAGTTTCTTGTTCGCAGAAAATTATCCTTGTTCTTTCAGCTGTCGAACTTCACTAACGAGACTGTCGATTTTCCCGTGAAGTGCCTGGAATCCGTCTTTCATTGTTGATGCAACTAACGGAATTGCAGCTTCGATGCGTGTATCCTGAGGCTGGGTAGTCGATTGCAAAGATATCGTGACCTCTGTTTCAAACTTCTCGTAAGCCTCTGTACTAAAAAGCGGGTCTCTCCACAAGCAGTGCTCCGGGAACTTTCGACGTAGTAGTACCGAGTCCTGGAGAAACACAACTCTCAATACGTGTAGCAACCCTATAAACCCGCCTGCCGCTATCTCCCGGTTTCCATTTTCCTGAAGATCGTCTTCAGCGGAGCCTAAATCAGGGAAAACCATTTTCTGGAGATCTGGTGATGGAGTGATTGTGGCACGGTCAATCCAATAACCACTCCGTTTCGTAGGGAAACCAGCCAAAGCGCGCATAGCTTTTCGAGGAAGTGTAGTCAGGTAGCATGCCTCCATTCGTTCTCCATTCCATCTACCAGCCCGTCTAATCTGGTTTTCATCCGCACCCTGTAGCTCAGCCAACTTAGCGCCTGAACCGCGGTTGGCGTGTGTCCAAACCGATGAGTCAATGCCGCAGGCAGTGAACGCACTCTTCACGTGTTCTAGTAGCGTGTTGTAGGCAATATCACGTGTTGCACATTTGCCTTTCAGCAACCGGATGTCGTACCACAACTTTCGGCCCGTAAAGATAGGAAAGGGCTCCAAATCCACATACCACCGCCAAAACAGGTACAATGCCACAGCATTTAACGGGCACAACATAACATCTTTGCATCGCATCGCAGCTCCATACTCTACCCGCCCGACTTGATTTGATTTGCCTTTTCTCATAATGACCACGAGAGGGCTGCATACTTGGGGGCCTTCGTCGGTTAGCTCTAGCAACAGCATATCTGGAAACTGAATAAATCTTCGCGATTCTCCGCGAGCTAGAAGAGCTTGTCCAACTAGAAAGTCCACTCGACTTCGTAAAGCAACCCCTGTAGGCTGCTTGAGCCAGAATTGGCTTAGCGCTCGCATATCTTCCAGGTTGTAGCCGTCTAAAACGGTTCCTAAACCACGGTCAGCGTATGTATCCACATTCCGCTTGTTCTCTCCACGCTTCAGCATGTCCATCAAGCCTTTTAAAGCCTTGCCACGCGGGTGGGAGTGCTGATTCATACTAATAGACTTCTGAAACTGATACAAATCGATTATAGCTTTGACGTACGCGTCCACCGCCTCATATCCGAGTCGGACGGCGCTTCCATCGTCGTTTTTCTTGCGCAGTTTCCTCGGGTACCACAAAATTATCGATATAGTCTACTAGCTTCGACTCATACACCAGTGAACCATCAAAGAACTTCCTGTCGGCGCACCAGCTGGCAAAGTCATCCTCCTTGTTCTTGTACTGCTTTATCGTGTTTTGCGGTCTTGTTCTAGCGTGTCGCGTCATCACGTTCACCACAGCTTGCTGCAGCTCGTTGGCATTGGCCGCATCGGCCGGTAGCGCCCCCGACATGCCGGCTAAGCGGCAAAGCGTGCAGAGGTCCGGGAAGGCGATACGAAACTGCGGTATGACTGAACGAGAAGAGAGGGGAGGCTTCTTCTCTACCATACGACTGGCTCTCCCGCTGTATGCATTTTTTGCTAAGTATGGATTATTGAAGGAGCGACCTAGGGGGAGATACTTTTCAGATACGTCGCGTTTACGCTCGGGTTTTAGCGATTGGGTCGTCCGACGCGGTCCAGACCTGCTGGTAGATACTGGGGTGGATGTGAACTTTCGGGACGAGAATGGCTGGACCCCGTTGATGAAGGCGTCATCTAGCGGACATGAGGCTGTGGCGCAGTGTCTTCTAGATAGAGGGGCGTCTGTCGATGCGAGCAATAAAAGACGGGAGACGGCGCTGGCCCTTGCAGCTGCTGGTGGCCACGTGTCCGTGATGAAGATGCTGATCGAAGCTGGAGCCACTACTGAATCGGTGGATGAAAGTGGCGAGGTTCCTCTCATGGCTGCTGCTCGGAAGGACCAAGCGGATGCAGTGCGGTATCTGGTGGAGTGTGGAGCGAACGTCAACCTTCAGGCGCGTAACGGATACACGGCATTGCTGTTGGCCTCGTGGAAGGGGCAAGTGAACGCTCTCCGAGTTTTGCTCGAGTATAGCACCGATGTCCACATCGCGAAATCCGATAACAAAGCGGCTCTCATGTTTGCAGCTCAAAGTGGGCGAGTGGATGCGCTCCATTTGCTACTGGACCATGGTGCCGATATTCACGGGACGGATTGTGACGGGTATACAACGTTGATGTGGGCATCGTTTGGGGACAGCAAGGAGGTGGTGTGTGAACTGCTTGCCCTAGGTGCCGATATTGGCGCGCGCAACTTGAATGGGGGGACCGCGTTGACTGCTGTGGCATCGAATGGGAGCGTCAACGCTGCTGAGACTTTAATTCAGAGTGGGGAGCGTGTTGACACGACGGATCTGTGTGGCATTACCCCCCTCATGTTAGCTGCGCTGTATGGTCACAAGGATATGATTGGCTTTCTTCTGGATAAAGGGGCCTGTGTGAATAAGCAGTCTCAAGACGGAGATACGGCTCTGATGTTTTCGGCGTGGAGGGGACACGCAGACGCGGTCAAAGTTCTACTGTGTAACGGGGTACAATCAAGTGTACCCATTACATGAAGAGTGACGGGTGTCACTCTCCCGAGTACATGGTACATGGTACCAGTAGCTCCGCAAGCCAACCATTTGAGTTTGTGTGGGCTTTTGTATAGTTAACTTGTAGTTTGTATTACGACCAAGTTAACCTCTACCAAAATACAGTCAGTCTTATAACCTACTCGTTTGTAGCAAACCGTTCCTATTGAGGCCGGGAACTGGTGAACTGCTGTTCACCTGGATAGTAATATCCGCACGCACTTCCTCTGTGTATTGTGCTGTGTGACCCCGTCACACTTGGTAGCAATTGTAGTCAATCCTACGCCTACGCGGGTAGCTAGGTCTACCTGAATCCTCGGTGGCTCAGGTCTGTGAGCCACGATGGACCGAAGTGAGTTTCCTCACTTGACTGACTCGCAGTTCGAGTCGGTGCGGAAGATGGCGGGCATCTTCGGAAGAGATGCCCTCCGGAGCTTGGCGACGGCGACGCCAGCCGAGCAGGTCGAGCGGGTGAGCGCGTTTGACGAGTACGAACGCGGGCTCATCGCTCATGTGCAGGGAAACCTGCTGGCTCAGATGAGTGAGCCCAAACGGGTGCAGCCTAAGCCTCTGCGGCTAGCTGTGCCTCCGTTCGAAGGGAAGGAAGGTGAGAACCTTCACTTCTGGATCCGGGAGACCGAGAATGCAATGATCGCAGGTCTCATCTCGGCCGAGAACCTTCGAGTCGCCTTTGCGCTCTCCAATCTTGGCGGACGTGCCAGGACTTGGACGTATACGCGCGAAGCGATGTCGCCTGGATGTTTCACATCCTGGGCTCAGCTGTGTGAGCAGCTTAGAGCCGCTTTTCTCCCGGCGAACAACGAGTTCCGCCAGCGCTCGCGCTTCCTTGCCTGCAAACAAGGGGAGCGCGAGCTGTACGCGTACGTACAGGAGATGCGCACGTTGGCAGCCTCGCTGGTGGGGAACCCACTGTCGGAGGACGTCAAGATGACAGTCTTCGGGGACGGCCTGAATGTCGGTCCTGCGCGTACGCAGTTGTTCCGCGTGCGCACCGCCACTATGGAGGAGGCTATCCAAGTCGTCCTCCAGGAGGAGTACAGCCACAAGCAGGCTGGTGCTCTGGCTGTTGTACAGCCTGTGGTCGCTGACAGCGAACCAGAACCCATGGATCTGAGTTCAGCTGAACAGTATTCTGTCCGCTGCTATGGTTGCGGCGGACTTGGACACTACCAACGTGTCTGCCCATCGCCAGGGTCTGTGAAGAAGACCTACCCGAAGACCAGAGGGTCAAGGGGGCGCCGACGCCATGCACCGTCAGGTGCTCAAGGGGGACACAACGACCAGTAAGGACGAGGACCTTGCTGGGGTTGGCCCGAGTCTTTGTGATGGGTGTACGGAAGGCGTACACCACAGAGACCCGGGGTCCCTTGCGAGCACTGACGCTCGCATTGGTGAAGGACAACGGTGGGTTGTCGGTAGTACACGTGAGTGTACGGGGGTAATGGTATCCCTAGACATGATTGAGTCTGGGACGTCGCGTGGATGTTCGCACGTCGCCAGATGTGTCGGTTGGAATAACGACACAAGTGCCGAGACTCTGCGAGAGAGTCTAAGCACAAGGTCAGGTCTCATTGACTGAGGCTGGGCCGAAGAAGAACCTTGGGGTCCGCTGTGACCCTGGCTGCCGCGCTCGAGGGCGCTGACAGCAATGGAACCGCACATGGTCCCGGACATGGAACCGTACATCGTCCCGGACATCGTGCCGAAGCCGGCCCTGAGCATGGAACCGTATATGCCCTCGGCTTGAGCAAGTATGACTTGGCCCTGAGTGCGCCGTGCAAGCTGCACAGGCTCCCGGTCGAGTAGCGCGACAACGCCATGAGGCTAAGTCGGCCCTCTGTGTCTGACAGAGCATTGGTGAGTCATGTTCCCACCTCTGGACAGACACAAGGGCGTCCGATGGGACCGCCAGGGCGCTGGATGTGTCCGACAAGACGAAGAAGAAGAGGGTCGTGTCAGAGTAATTTGGAGCAGATTCAGCGTGGCGAGTTGTACGTGGGCTCAAGCACTAACGAGGAAGGCGGTCATCGAGTTCGCGTGGTATCTACTAGCCAACTTGAGGGCTTTCACTCTTCCTCAAAAAACCTGCTTACCAGAAATGTATCCATTGATGTTGGCTTGCGGATCTTAGATTGGTTTATCGTCAAGCACAATTTGTCTATCGGTGCTAAGTTCGGGCGCAATCCGCCCATGAATGGCGTTGATTTGATGTCGGCGGGCCATACTGCATTACTCTGTGGAACGATGGTCCCTACTTCGCCTCAGATGCAGTATGTGATGCAGCTTTTCTCTTCGCCGCTTGTACCCCCGCAGTATAGAACGGAGACCGAGCGGGACTTTGACTTTGACTCCTGAGCACAGGTATTTCTAAGTGCAAGAGTGAACACAACATGTCTCGAAGGAAATCTTAATCGCTCCCGGCAACACCGCTCAACAGTAGCGGAACTGCTGTTGAAAAGTGCCGTTACTCCAATCGGCCAAGCTGAAGCGTGACGAGGTTTTTTTTTAACTCGATTCGACTGGCAAGTACCGAGTGTGAAGGCGACCAGGGCTTCTCTACGGAGGAACACGAGCTGCTCAGGCAGCTGCGCAGCGAGCAGGCTGCTAGTAAGCGTGAATGGTGCACGTGTGAAATGATAACAACGATGATGTTCAATATTGTTGTTTGCAACAACACGAACCCTAAAATACGGCTACAACAGCGGAGCTATGCTACGATGGTCTCAAAAATTAAATCACTTGGTGATGGTCCTGAAAGTACAAGCTCCGCTCGAAAACAAGCAAAAATATTCCATTTTGATCCTCAAGAAGTTGTTTCCCTGGTTTTGCGTTCACCGATAGACTGCGAGGCTGATTTGATGCGCGATGTCTTCAAGATTCTGCAAAAGTTCAAGGCCGGCACAGCTCGTAAACGATTATCCCACCGTATCTACGACTTTGCAAGTTGTGTCTGCGCTGGAATTGGTCAACGTGATGAATCGGTGCGGGAGAAGCGCTGGGAAGCGCTGAAGGCGGCCCAAAACCGTAAAAAAAAGAGGAAACTAGCGATGGTCACGAACCCCACAGACGCTCCATTATCTTGTCCAGCCCGTGATGAAGAAGAAAAACGAGCCGAGCCATTAATTACTCTGCTTACAGATCAAGAAACTGCAGCGAACGATGACATCGATGCATCGACCACTACAACTAGCGGAAATGCAGACGACGCACCTCCAGCAAGACTACAACCGCTGGATATTCGTCGTGACACTGTTGGGATTGGTGAAGATGCAGGACAATCAAGTATTCCAGCAAAACGGCCTCGGCTATCTACTATCGCACCAGAGCACTTGGCTGAGTTGCGTAAACTGTCTGGTTCGCTGGTGTATACTCGTGGAAAATATATATTGCTGCAGCAGGAGCTGAAGAAATATTACCCTGACGCAAACCTCACGGATAAGCAACTACGCTGCCGCCTTAAACGACGTCGAACAGCAGAAAAAATGGCCCCAAGCCAGCGAGTAGCGGCAACGAGATATCTGACAGCATTGCTCCACCTCTCGCTCCAGCTAGCAAGGCGACTTCGTGTTCGAGCTACCGCCAGAAGCACTTAAAGTGCGGTGAAGGGTCTCAAAATCCTGCGTGTTTGCTAGCGAAGAAGAATACTACTCGTACGATAACAGAGTTCTTTAGCGTATAGCAATAAAAATCTAACTTTCATAGCACATCTGTTTTTCCACCAGCATCGAGACATACAATCGAGACAACATTGTGGTCAAATGTGGTCGAATGTGGTCAAATGTGGTCACAGTGGTCGCGAGACAAATCCCACCATCTCCCATGCGCCCCCCCCCCCAAACGCCACTCATGTGGGCAGCCCAAGGCGGCTACACTGAGATTGTGCGTTTACTGGTGCCAAAGAACGCTAACCTTAACGCGACAAACGATGAAGGCGACACCGCACTGAAAATGGCAGACAAGAATCGTAACGCAGTGGTCGCGTTGTTGTCTGCTCATACCACCGGCCGCACGAGGGCGATGGACTCCCGAAAGTCAGGTTGTGATGCACTTCGTCCCTCCTCGTCGGCTTCAAACCAAGAATTTCATGATGATGGTGCTGTCAGGTCACTGTCCTCACACGATGTCATGGCGCAGTTCGCGGATCTGTTCTCAATGTGTGCCCAAATGGAAGAGACCCGCAACATGTGCGAAAATGTTCTCGAACGACTGCAGCGTGCGCAAATTCTGATCAACGAGCAAAAGGAAATCGTTCCTCGCAATGTCCAATCTGATCTCGCTTCAGTCCCAGCTCGGTTCCACCAATTCCTAGTGAGGTACAAGCAGAGAAACCCGTTCGAGCGACTCGTGAGCACTCGAATGGTGGTCAGCCTGCTGAGAGAATTTCACGTTCGTCTTGATGCTGTGTTAGCAGAAGTCTCGGAAGGAGATCCTCAGTCAAGCTGGATGGAGACCTGGGACCGTGACACTCAAGAAGTGGAGACGTCCCTCGTTCGTCTGTGGAAGACCAGCCCCATGCGAATCCTCGACTCGCTGTCCAGCCAGAAGTCGCAGGAAGACGCACTGACGCTGCTCAGTAGTGAGACCACCCGAAAGAAGAGCGGCTACAATGCCGACTCGAGAACCATGATGAGGTCAGTGAAGCAGAGCATCATCCGCCTGTCAGGGGCCTCCGTGCAGGCCGTTCCAGACTGGTTCCTCCCCGAGTACGAGGTCCAGAGAGAGGAGCAGCACTTCGCACTTGGCTCCTTTGGCAAGGTCTACCACGGAACTTGGTACGGCCAGAAGGTGGTGGTCAAGTGCGTCAACGCCGTGATTGGGGACGAGATGCGCGCGTTCAAGCGCGAGGCTCGACTCTGGTTTCGAGCGCAGCACCCGAACGTCGTGAGGCTGTTCGGCGCGTTCCACGTGAGCCAGCCGTGCTTCTTCGTGTGCGAAGAGGCCACGAACGGCATCCTCGTGGACTTCCTGCAAAAGAACAAGCACGACAATCAGGCTTTAGTGTGGCGATTGTTGCACGGCGCAGCCTTGGGGCTGCAGTTTCTCCACGAGAAGAAGATCGTGCACGGAGACCTCAAGTGCAACCAGATCCTCGTGACGGAGGAGAAGACGGCCAAGCTGACGGATTTCGGGTTCAGCTTCGCCTTGATGGAGTCCAAGCCGACGACGTCAACAGGTGCTGTGCGGTGGAAGGCGCCAGAATTACTGCGAAGCGAGAGCTGTTCTCTGACGTTTGAATCGGACGTGTACTCGTTCGGCATGTGCGTTGTGGAGGCTGTGAGTGGAAATGTGCCATGGGGGACGCATCTGCCGAATGACTCGGTGATTTACAACTTGACCCATGGCATTTTCATGTCCCGACCGAAAGCGTTTGTGAGCGACGAAAACTGGGACTTTGTGCGTGCTCTGTGTGCATTCGAGCCGTCTGAAAGACCGGAGTTGCCACTTGCTATCCAGAAGCTGGAACAGTTCGCAGATGCCGAAGCAAACATGAATCCATAAAGGAAGGAAGAAAGGCTAGAATATCAGGATTTCGACCTGAGGACTGGTTCTACGATCAAAAAGTTCTCCACTGATATGCGCGCAATTGACATGTTGTAGTTACGACTTCAAGGGATGGCGTTAGGGATATAATTTCTCATTATAACACCACTCTTAGAATGAAGTAGCCCTTTGGATGTTGTGGATTCCCCCGTTTACTAAGTCGGCATGACCACCTGCTCCGCGGAGTTCTTCATCATCAACAAAGATCTTGAGCTGCTTTATCGCGCCAGCGAGGCCCAAGCATTCAGTTGGCTCAAACGCGCAAAGCTTTCGCACAAACTCCCACTGCTCATCGCTCGTAAACTCCTTCGGTCGAGACGGCAGCTCCCCATGCGTTAAGTGATACACCACTGCGATGTCGGGTAGATGAACTTGCCAAGGCACCCTGCCGCTCACAGCCTCGACAACGCACAGCCCAAACGAGTACACATCCGATGCAAATGTTGGAGCTGTTGCCTTGTTTGATAGCAATTCCGGAGCCTTCCTCCGCACAGCTCCGGTCGTAGCGGCAGGTCTTGACTCGAGTGACACGAAACTCATTCCGAAATCCGTCAGTTTGGCCGTCAAATCTTCGCTCACCAGGATCTGGTTGCACTTGAGGTCGCCGTGGACGATGTTATTGTTGTGTAAGAACTGCAAACCCACAGCTGCTCCATGCAGCAAGCGCCACACCAGCGCTCGATCGTTGTTTTTCGCCAAGAAGTCCACCAAGTCGCCGTTCCTGGCCTCTTCACACACAAAAAAGCATGGCGTCGTCAAATGACACGCGCCCATGAATCGTACAACGTTCGGGTGCTGAGCTCGGAGCCAAATCCGCGCTTCTCTTGAGAAATCTCGCTCATCATCAGCGGTCACTACATCCACACACTTGATCACCACCTTCTCGCCTCGCCATCTCCCACGGTACACTTTGCCAAAGGAGCCACGTGCAAGATGGGATCGCTCTCTTTGCACTTCGTGGTCTGGGATGAACCACCCCGGAACAACAGGGACGGCAGCTCCAGACAAATGGGCTAGATGTTGCGTCATCGACCGTAGTAGCTCCGTTGATTGCACACTGGAGGAATCCCAACTGGTAGATGAATTAGCCTCACAGTTTAGCAAGAGTAAGGCGTTTTCCTGTGACGTCTGGTCTGGCAACGCGTCGAGGATACTCATGGCGTTGGTGTGCCACAAGCGTACTAACTGTTTCTCCACTTCTTGTCGTTCCCGCTCCCATTGTTCCATCCAACTTGGGTTGGAGGAACTAATTGACGGACCTGCAACATTGGTTTCGATCAAATCGAGTGACTCGTGAAACTCTCGCAGAAGGTCAACGACAGTCCGAGCACTGACAAGTCGCTCGAACGCTGGTGCTAGCTTGTATTGTACGAGAAACGCGTGAAAACGAGATCGGAGGACTCGAAAGTCATGCCGCACCGATGAACGGTTGTCTTTTTGCTCGTTAATCTGCAGTTGAATCGTGACGAATCGCTCCAGGACACATTTGCCCATTGCGGAAGTCTCGTGCATCTCTCCACACATCGTCAACAAAGTTTCATAGCACGCAGCAACCGTATCACCGCCCTCTGTCGAGATTAGCCTAGAAATTGGGCCTATTTCCAGTTGGTTTGAGTGTTGGCAATGATCTTCATCATGGTCAGGATCGTCAGCGGTAGCTACCTCCTCTTCCGGCAAAAGACACAACTCTCCATCACTTGGTTTGTTGTCATTTTGCAGATATGACGCTTGTCTCGATCCAAGATTGCCTTCGTGTCGCCGCCGACGACTAGCTGCGTAAACGCAAGTGGATTACAGTCCATCGCATCGATAAGCTGAGGGAATTTTGTTAGCACAAGCTCCGTCAGCAACAGCTCAGCGCCCCTCATGCGTTTCTGCACAGCGCACGACTGGAGCTGACGGAGTAATGATCCGTGAGGGGAACGTTTAACTCCAAACGCTGCATCAACCGCCGAATTGAGACTGTCATCGGTTGGGGGAGTGCTTTCACACGTGTCTCGCACAGGAATTTCTCAAGACGCGCAACTTCCTGTAGCTCGTCTGCCGAGTAGATGTACGTCCCGGGTAATTCCACTGACAGCATTTTACTTGGTAGCTCGGCAAGGATGGTAGAAGCCACTGGTGATGACAACACGCCTTTATCAAAGCTTGGTAAAGAATTCATGTCCGTCTTTATCGTGTCGACGGTACCGTAGGCAGAATGAACGCCTATCGCTCGAATCCAAGCGACGAGATGCTGTTCGGCCTCGGCACCGAAAACCAATGTACGCTGGCCAGTACTTGGGAGGAAAACCTTGAAAAAGTGAGCACGTTTGCTCGATTCACTGGTATCGCAAGCCTCACAGACTTCCACACTCACACCTCGTAAATCAACGGCCTCTAGCGCGGGTGTAACATCCAACAGTCCGTGGTAACACATCAGTTTGCCCTCATGTGCCACGACCCACCACTTTTTCCAGTTCTTGAACAATCCGCCCGGCTTGTACAGCAGCCAACCTTGCATCGTTGGTGTTACCAGGTCCTGCTCCGCATTAATCTCTTTGACGCCCCCACTCTCCGGTGCAGGTTCCGGTACATCGTCTTGCACTTGTATATCACAAAGACTTGGCGTGGAAGCACCTCAGCAACACGTCGCCCTGCACCTCCACGTTTACCTGAATCCTCAACAATTACGCCGGTCATTTAAACGAAACTCATCCTGTATTCCAACAATCCGAACGCACCTCAAAGACGATGGACCCTTTCGGGTCCGCCTTGTAAGTTTCAAACCGAGGTCTTTGCCACGAACTGTTGTACAACAGCGGAGTCGATTGCTGGTGTTGCGAGGGCGCCGGTAGAATCTGCAAGAACGGCGTGCAGCCTCCTCTCGGTGCTGCGTCAAAGTCCGGGATGCCGTTGAGCGCGATACTGCGGATGAAAATCTTTTTGGATGACATCAGCGGCGGTATCTGGGTGGGCACTCGACCCAATTTCCACACCACCTTAACAAAGTAATATATGTAGAGCGCCTAGCTGGGGAAGTGCACACCCTGGCCTCTGGCGTTCCAGAAGTCTCGGATACTGGAGTTGGCGATCTCTCGCAGCTCGCGCTCTTTGGTGAGATTGAACACATTGCCATAGTAACCGGTGAGCAGCAAGTAGCACGAGCACACGAGGCCCGTGCGGCCTTTGCCGTCCACACAGTGTACGATGGCGACGTGGTTGAAGCCCTCGGAGATCCACCGGAGCATGTCTTCACTATGCCTAGCAGTAATTGCAACGGAGGAGGGTGGTTGTCTGGGAAGCCGAACTCGACGACGCGATCCTCAAATTTGCTGTAGTCGTAGTTCCTCTCGCTCAGGTTGTAGACTTTGTAGTCTTCTCGATCCCCGAGGCGGGGAACGCCATGGCGATGAGCCTGGGCGTGATGTACGTCAGGTCCAGGTCGAAACCATCCTGCACGAAGCGTACGCACGAGCCCGACACGGCGGAGCGTAGCGCATTCATAGAGACTGAGGGCCGCCGAATCGGGAGTGAGTTTATCCGGACAAGGATGGATTTCAATATTCCTCCCTCTCTGGCCCAAAAGCTCAGAAGACTTCGGGTTCAGCTTTGAGTATAACTGTGCCACAGTGTATTTCTCCGACATTGTGCTACATCACCACGTTCGCATCCACCAGCGGTAATCTGCAGGCCGCCACCGGGAGGAGCGTCATGGGTAGCTTCTACAGCGACCACTCGGGCTGGTGCCACAAGTAGAGTGGCCTCTTCAAGCGCTGGAAGCTCCTCTACTTCGTGCTCACAGGCTCCCTCATCTACTTCGCCGAGCGCTCTCCGAGCGGCAAGGGCATCACTGAGAAGGGCAGGCTACGCATCAGTACCGTCAATTTCTCAACCGAGTTTACCGATGTGCTCGTGGCACACGGTCAGGAAAAGAACCAGACCGTCACAATGCAGATGCACTTCGGCCAAGCAGTGGTTTGACAAGATCGTCGAGACACTGCGTACTAGGACTAGTAGCGTGGCCATGGAGAGCTGGCTCATGATGGAGGGGCCGTCCTTTAAGAGGTGGGATCGACGCTACGCGACGCTCACAGGCAGAACCATCGAATACCGATCCCACCGCGCGGGGATACCCCTGGTGGAGATCACGGTCAACGCTGTGGACATGAACACGTCAAAACCTTTCTCACTCGTTATTTACTCGGAAAGCAACCGGATCTTGAGGGTCTCAGTTGGTGCTTTTACGGATATCAAGGAATGGGACATCGCCCTCGCGAGAGCAACCAGAAAGGGACCGTGCTTTGGTAACTCGGACGAGGAGAACGATGCTCGAGAAGTGACAATCTTGGATCGAGATGAGGCGTCGTGTCTGCAAAATAACAATAAACCAAGCGATGGGAAGTTGTGTCTTTTGCCGGAGGAGGAGGTAGCTACCGCTGACGATCCTGACCATGATGAAGATCATCATTGCCAACCAACTGGAAATAGGCCCAATTTCTAGCTCAATCTCGACAGAGGGCGTGCTGCGTACTAGGAAGCTTTGCTGACGATGTGTGGATAGATGCACGAGACTTCCGCGATGAGCAAATGCGTCCTGGAGCGATTCCACACAATACAGCTGCAAATTAACGAGCAAAATGACAACAATTCATCGGTGCGAGTTGATTTTCGAGTGCTCCGAGCTCGTTTTCACGCGTTTTTCGTGCAATACAAACAAGCACCAGCGTTCGAGCGATATCTGAGCGCACGGACCGTCGTTGGTCTTCTGAGAGAATTTCACGAGTCACTCGACTCAATCGAAACTGAGGGTTCAAGTGGGTCGATAGATTCTTTAAAGCCGAGTTGGGTGGAGCTATGGGAACGAGAACGACAAGAAGCGGAGAAACAGTTAGTACGCTTGTGGCACACCAACGCCATGGACATTCTCGATGCGTTGCCAGACCAGACGTCACCAGAAAACGCGCTACTCTTGCTAAACTGTGAGGCTAACTTATGTAGCAGTTGTGATTCCTCCAGTGTGCAATCAACGGAGCTACTACGGTCGATGACGCAACATCTAGCCCATTTGTCCGGTGCTACCATCCCCGTCGCTCCAGACTGGTTTATCCCAGACCACGAAGTGCAAAGAGAGCGATCCCATCTTGCACGTGGCTCCTTTGGCAAAGTGTACCGTGGGAGATGGCGAGGCGAGAAGGTGGTGATCAAGTGTGTGGATGTAGTGACCGCTGATGATGAGCGAGATTTCTCAAGAGAAGCGCGGATTTGGCTCCGAGCTCAGCACCCGAACGTTGTACGATTCATGGGCGCGTGTCATTTGACGACGCCATGCTTTTTTGTGTGTGAAGAGGCCAGGAACGGCGACTTGGTGGACTTCTTGGCGAAAAACAACGATCGAGCGCTGGTGTGGCGCTTGCTGCATGGAGCAGCTGTGGGTTTGCGCTTCCTACACCAGAACAACATCGTCCACGGCGATCTCAAGTGCAACCAGATCCTGGTGAGCGAAGATTTGACGGCCAAACTGACGGATTTCGGAATGAGTTTCGTGTCACTCGAGTCAAGACCTGCCGCTACGACCGGAGCTGTGCGGAGGAAGGCTCCGGAATTGCTATCAAACAAGGCAACAGCTCCAACATTTGCATCGGATGTGTACTCGTTTGGGATGTGCGTTGTCGAGGCTGTGAGCGGCAGGGTGCCTTGGCAAGTTCATCTACCCGACATCGCAGTGGTGTATCACTTAACGCATGGGGAGCTGCCGTCTCGACCGAAGGAGTTTACGAGCGATGAGCAGTGGGAGTTTGTGCGAAAGCTTTGCGCGTTTGAGCGAACTGAACGCTTGGGCCTCGCTGACGCAATAGAAAAACTCGAGATGTTTACTCAGGAAGAAGTACGTCTTACTGCAGCTCACCACAACGGGTTTGCCACGACAGGGATCGACACCACCGGAAACGCTGATGCCTTCTGAAAAGGTTCCTGGCGGTCGAAATGGTCGCTGTTTCATTTCCTTCCTGCGCTTCACCAACAAAGTCGAGGCTACGATATACTCGTATGGGAGGTAGTTTATGGCAAAGTACAATCGATGTGGACTAACTAGTTATGGTCAACAGTGGTTATTGACTGTTACATAAGGTTAGTTGCTGTGCCGAGGTTCTGTAGTCTAGCGAGAAATCCGCGCCTTGTTCATGCTGCAATAGTGTCGTTCATGCTCTACCCGGTCCTTCTCTCGGAGCTCCTCGCCACAGCCATTCCCACACACGACGAATCGCATGGGGCATGAACGCTGATGTCTCTTGAGCGTATTGCAGACAAACACTTCTCCACAACCAAGAGGACACCAAATCGGTCGAAAAGTGCACTCCCACATTTCGTGTCGCTCTTTTTCATGGGCCAGCAGAAGCTTGACGAAGCACTGGTACTTGCACGTCACTTGGCGCATCCTGCACTCCTCCTTCCGGTGGTGGGCCATTTGTGCGTGCGATAGGTTCGACTGGCCGCACAGTCCACACACGGTCAGCCGATTGGGACATTGACTGCTCTGGTGCGTTACTCGATCTTCCTCCAGCATTGTTTGCTGACACTGAGCACAAGTAACAGTACGCTTACGACACTCCTGAGCTGCGTGAGTGTCCATAGTATGTAGTGGTACGCGGCGTCCACAGCCTAACGGACAAACCATCAGTCGACGAGAACAAGTATTCGCTATATGCTCATCCAGTTGCAAGATGGGGACATTATTCCTTCCGCAGCGGTTCGGACACATTAGTTGACGCAAGTCGCACTCGTCTTGCTCGTGAATGGCTTGAGTGTTGGCTATCACCGTCTCGTTGCAGCCCCATTTGCATTGAACACGACGTAGTAGACAGACATTTGTCTCGTGGTGAGGACGATTCTTGAGTAACAGATCATTGATCATGCATCCATTGCGACAACGCACGTTGCGGTGAGGACAATCTCCCGTCACGTGAGCCTTTACGTCTTGCCACCGAAGCCGGAATATCCGAGGCTCTGAGCTGTTGTTCTTTTCCGATTCTGCCAGTAGACACTGCAATGGACAGGGAACGAATCGCATCGGACACTGCGTTTTCGCATGTTGCACGTGCCGCTGGTAGGTCATACTCTCGCCACATTCGCACACCACGAGTCGGAACTCGCACTCGTCTTGGAGATGTTTAGCGCGGTGCTGGAATGGGTATCGGACGATGCACTTCTGGTTGGTACAGTTGACAAGCCGAAGCGCGCAGGAATGGTTGAGGTGGTCTTTCAACTCTTCTGCCCAGAGCTTCTCGATGCCGCAGCCATTTGGACACACCACATGACGCTTAGGACAGTGATGCAACTCGTGGGTCTCCAGAGGGTTCGTGTCCTTCATCACCTTCGCGTGCTTCACCAAATGATCCTCGAATTGCGCCATGAAGCCACAGCCCCACTTGCAAACTCCATACAACCCCGATATCGTGCTCACTACACGCCCACGCTTCCCACCCATCGCTGCCTGTAGTATACCCGCGATCTTCACGAAGCCTTGACTCTGAGCGTAGTCCAATGCTGTTCTACCCTTGGAGTCGCGATGGAAGACGTCCACTTCTCGGTATGCCAAAAGGAAGTGCATAACGTCCTCTTTCCCGTTGTTCGCAGCTACCATGAGCGCTGTACGTCCGTTCAAACGTGCAGCAAAGTTTGGGTTTGCTCCTCGCTCGATCAACACCTGAGCGCATTTCAACGTGCCATAAAACGCCGCAGTTCCCAACGCCGTGACACCGGTGGAGCTCTCGTAATTGACCAGCGGGCGATTCATTACGCGGTCCAGTAAATATTCCACCGCCAGCACGTCTTTCCCATCTTCGTTCTCCACGTAAACTTCTTCAACACACGCTGCCATCAGAGCGGACAATCCACCGCCACCCGTCTCAAAGTCTGCAAATGCTCCGTCATCCAGTAGACGAGAAACTTCAATGAAATCCCGCGCGATAATAGCAGACTCCAATGCTGCGTGCTTTTCTTTCAGCTCGGCAGTCTTGCGCATGACGTTTCTTCTTATCGCCAGCTCTTTTTGCCACTGATGACTTGCAGTCTCCATCGTTGCTAGAGAATTATTCACGAACTCGGCTGTGTAGGAGTAAAGCGTGACGTCAGGTGGCTCCCAACCCGTTGATGGCTTGAACAAGCGACTGTCGTAGTATTTCAGAGCACAATTCAGCGTATCTTTCACTGTCATGGGTCTTCGATAGTCGATGTCATCTGCGTCTCCCTGTGTCTTCTTTTGCTCCGACGCTAGTGGCTGGAGCTTCCACTTCCCCCTTTTCTTCACCATTTCCTGAGCTTCCGATGATATTGGAGCAATATTCTCCAGAAGAGCTCCAGGGTACACTCGTTCGGGTAGAACGTACGTCTTGTGCCACAACTTCGCCTCCTTCGATAGCAGAATCGCAGCGATTTCTGGATACCCATTGAGAATCGCCTCGTGTAGCGCAACTCGATGCGTTTGTCGGAAGTGAACGAGTTTGCGCTTGTAATGGCCGACCATAAACGCATGCGCCACGTCGCGAACCAACGCTTCAGTTGCTGCATCTGAGCGAAGTTTGACACCCCCAGCGCTCATTTCGTGCATCTTCCTCATCCGTTCAACCTTCTTCCTGAACTGGTAGTCACGGACGAGAACTTGGATGAAGGACGCACACAGAGACTGTTCCTCGAACTGGTGGCCGCTATTGGCGCCGTGCGAGATGAGCATGTGAACTATGGCTTCATTCCCTACAGCACAGGCGAAGGTAAGTGGCGTGTGGCCACTCAGCGCTGCATAATTCAGCAACTTGTAAGTGTTAAGACGTTTCTTGGCCACTTCAAGTTCTTTCTCAGCGGCTGCACTCTCAACTCGAACAGCTTCGACTTCTTCTTGCCGTGCAGGAAGAGATCGCGCTTCCACTTTAGCCGCGAAGGTGACGTGTTGCTGCTTCTCCCGGGCCACGGTAAGAGCAACAGTTAGCTGGCGTTTACGCTCGACGAGTGCCTGCCGCTCGGATCGAGCTTTGTACTCGATTCCCACCCCCTGCACCCATGTCGCCAAAATCCCCACGATATTACCCCGAAGACTCTCTGCTGGGGGGATTCGACTGTTCAAACTACGCTCTCCTTCCTCGTTATCATTGATAAAAGCTGCTCGACTCTCCTTGAATGCCGCTGAGCACGCAGCAAAAGCCGATGTTTTCAGGCATTCTCGACGAACTTTTGCCATGACATCGGGGGATATGGTTTGTTGTCGATAGCCACGTAATCTTCGTAAGAGGCTGCGATCCATGAGTAAAGCTTGAGCAGTCTTCCACCACTCCACGTCGGTGTACTCAGTCGCGTTGCGTCTTCCACGGGGCACCACTCCACACAACAACGAGAGAGCTTTCACTACGACGAGAGACGTCTCGGATGGGACGTGGGAGTTCAGCAGCGTCGCGATGTCTTGTGCCGTGATCTCTCTGATCATCGCTAGCATGTCAGCTTCAAGCGCGCTCGAGTTGATATCGGACGCTTCTTCAGCCTTTTCAACGTTCTGCAAGCGGCGACAGCTATCGTCTACTTGGGAGGATAGTTGAGCTGCTTCGACTCGCTTTGCCTCCGTCTCAGCGATACATGCGTTGAATACGTGGATAGCTTCGTCCAATTCTGCGCGTACGAGTTCAGCTTGTTTTTCCTTCACATTAACTTGCTCTTCCAGAGCCTCCAAGGGGTTTGCAACTGGAAGAGAAGAATGGTTCGGCGCTTTGGCCGAGTATTTCAAGCACTGGATCAAGTGGTCGTAGTTGGAGCACGCAATGGCGATAAAGAGCTCGCGCTGGGCACGCTCAAGCTCCGCCTGTTCTTCCAGTAAATGAATAATCTCTTTCCATGTCGACGCGGAGTTTTGCTCCTCTCGTTCAGAATCTGCGTATTCGTGAACCATTTCGAGCAGATTTCTACCCTGTCGATTGGTGTGCGAAACATTGGCTCTGCTTTCAATCAGTAACTTTACAACGACCGGGTCTTGAGTGATACAAGCTTCAGAGAGTGGCGTTCTGCCACGAGATGTCTCCAGGTTCACATCGGCTCCGAACCGGAGCAGCAATTGAATCAAGTCCACATTTCCAAGTGAAGATGCCAACACGAGCGGTGAAAATCCATTGGCAAATTCTTCATTCACAACGGTGAAGGCGTCAACGTTCTGCAACAAATAGGTGGCGAGATCGAGATCTTGCGTCTTCAACGCCCACATTAGCGCATTCTCACTGTGGACAGCACAGCGAACGAGCTTGTTCCCCATATGCCAGACCCGAATCGGCCGAGCGCACAACTTCCCGCCGACGCCGCACGGAACAACTCGTTGACGACAGCGTTTCCAGTGGTCTTCATAGAGATAGGCGAAAATCCTCTCTCGGCATCCTGTAGGGCACTCCATGGTACGCATCAAACACTTGGACTTGAGGTGCTCCTCCATTTCGCAGTACGGTACGTGCAACCCGCACTGATTCTCACAAAACAGCAACCGCTTGGAGCATTCGTCGCTCTCATGAGCACCAGCGTCGATATCTTTGAGTTGCATCCCGCAACCTTTTCTACACTTTACAACACGTTCAGGGCAGAGAAGATGGCGATGTTCTTGAAAAGCATCGAAAGGCATCCGCAGCTTGCACTCCTTGCAGTCGACAAGGCGCTTTGTGCAGCTGTAGAGAAGGTGGTGAGCGATCTCGTTGTGACGTAAAGTTTCTCCGCAGCCAGCTTCACATTTACCTTGAACGCGTAGTGGACACTCATCCTTCTCGTGCTTATCACGCTCACAAAACCAGATTTCTCCGTCACAAATTCTGCAGTTTATCAAACGTTTGGGGCATTGAGAAGACTCGTGCTCAATTTTGTCAGCCCAAGCGACTTTTATGGAGCAGCCAAGTTGGCAACCTCGTGGACGTTGCTGGCATTCTTTATCTAGATGAGTTTCTAGCAGTTTCACAGGAACATTGGAGTGGCAATGCTCACAGAAGACGGATCGTAGCACGCAACGCTCGGTCTCATGCTCTGCCAGAAGCGAGAAAGCCATGACGTCTCCACATCCAAGTCGGCATTTACTGTTGCGATTGTTACAACGCTTTGCCAGATGAAATTCAACGGTATGCGCCGGAAGTCGCTGTCCACAGTTGAGAGGGCATGGAACTAATCGATGGCAGCAGTCTTCTTCAATGTGAGTTGTAATTGTGTTGGCGGTGAGAAGCCCACATCGAAAGTACTCGGAGCTTAGGTCCACAGCAGTGATATCACCGGGTAGTATGATGTCGTATTCACGCAGATCAAGTGACAACCAAACCGAGTGACCGTCCGGAAACTCGAGTAAATGCTGCGCTTTTATCGAATCGAATGTAAGAATACGACAAATGCGAGCGGAGGCGTTCTTCTGCGTTTCAAGTTGATCGCAGGTCTCTTGGAGTTTACTGTGGAGTGTTTGAAGCCACTCTACCAGGAATTTCATCGTTGCTGGCTTCTGGAAGCCCATTGGTACTGCTTCCAGCTCGTTCATAGCTAATGCGGACCCAAAAGTCTGATGCTGCACGCTCTTCATCCTGGCAAGAAGCTCTTTATACTTTAGAAGGCGTTGTTTTATCACGTTCGCGTTCATAATTCTTCCATCACTTCGTGCAATCTTCTCGTCCCCACTCATCAGAGAATCTACACGTTCAAGCTCACTGTCGAAGAGCCGAATGTGTTTGCCGCACAAATCCAGTGGACAATACGTCTTCCTCAAAGGGCAAGCGCCGGCATCTTGTAGCGCATGCACCATCATAAGATGTTCAGGCAACTTCACCTCTTGGCCCGCGGAATCATGGCAATGATTAGAACAGCCTTTCTTTTCCAGCATACACTGCCAGCGATAGTGTTCTTCAGCAAAACATGCCAATATCCGTCCACTCAACTCGCATCCATTTCTACAGGACACCAGTCGATAGGGGCATTCATTAGTCTCATGGTGATGTCGCGCCTCAGCAGCACCCGCAACTCTTTCTTCACAGCCGTAGGACGCCCACTTACACGAGAGCCCTCGCAGTTTGCACAGTGTAGACAAGTGAAACTCCATATCCTCACATCTCACCAGTATCCCACATCCTCCGTTCACAGAGTTTTTACCCGAGCAAGGAACCATTCGTTTCGGACATTCACGCATTCTGTGGGTCTTGCCGGAATTCGCAGTGAAAGTGGCAGCACATCCCTGATCACACGACACAATTCGTAGTGGACATTGAGCGCTCTCGTGGCCGTCCAGTTCATCAAAGCGCACCACAGCTCCACACAAGAGACGACATTGTATATCTCGCTTCCGACAGTGGTGAGTGAGGTGGTGCTCGCGGTCTCGGAACAGCATTTGATCCTGACATCCATACTCAAAATTCGTACAGGAAACCCGGCGCATTGGACAAACATGGGCATCGTGCCGGCTTCGCTCTTCGAAAATGAACGAGGCCTCACAGTTGTCACATTTGATCAGGCGCTTGACGCAGTGATGATGCTCATGTGTTGGCAGTACGTCATTGGGGGCCATGAAGCTGCAGCCGTCGTTGTGACACACAGTGAGTTTCGTGCGCTCTGCGTGTGTACTAACGTATAGTTTGTGGTCTCCCGCCTCCTTGATGGCCTTTTGGACTTGGCGAAGGACATGAATCGCCGGGGCCAACGCGTCACCTCGGTCTGAACTGGGTTCGTCTTGCAAGTCGGTACAGATCAAATGAGCCTGCTCCACAACGTCTTGTGCCTGCTTGAGTGCGTCCTTCCCAGTTTGATCCTGCCACCCCATCTTCTTCAGGAATGTTTCATGCCATTCTGCCTCAACAGGAACGTCTTTGGGCTTCAAGCCGCCTTTGAATGTCTTGTAGGCTTTAGGGTCGACTTCAGATGAGAAAGTTTCAATTGGTTTGGCGGGGAAGCACAGGTCACGCGTGGCGATAAGCAGGTGGTGCACGATCTTGGCTTGAGAGTTGCTAATCGCATGCAATAGCGCCGTCTTCCCGTCCCTCGTCTTTTGATCCACGTCCACTCCAACGCGCAGCAAATGCAATACCACAGCCTCATGGCCGCAATATGACGCCCAAGTCATCGCAGTGTGTCGGAGCCTCGTTTCATAATGAAGATCAGCACCCAACCCGAGTAATTCCTGTACGGCCGCAACGTATCCGAAAGCTGCACACTTCGCCAACGGGGTCCAGCCTTCTCGTGTTTCAACATTCACGAAATACTGAGATCGGAACGGAATTTCTGTCGGTTTGTCGGTCGTTGCCTTGAAATCGTTAAGAGCGCTGGTAAACTCAGTCGATGAGATCGTCGTCGACTTGAGGAAGCGGATCACCTCTTCTTCGTTAAAGAACTGTGGTGCAATCAGGCTTTCGATGCGTTGGATATATCCTTCATGGCGATTCAACAGCTCTTGACACTGGGCTACTCGTTCTTGACGGTTAGCAAGACTCTGAAACTGGATGGACTTCTCTCGCTGGCGCTGCTCCATCCACTCGAGCGCCAGTGTGTTACCCGTCAGCTTGGCCCAGTCGAAGGCGGTTCTTCCTGATTGATCCGTCTGAAGCAGATTCGGCTCGAATGTGAGCACACTCTCAACGATGTCGTTCTCATAACTGCAGGGGTCGAATGTTTTCACTCGAGCGCTTAGGATCGGGAGATCTTCGCCAATGTTGTTTGATATCGGAGGGGTATCCGATACGGGCGCCAGCTTAACCGAAGGCCTATGCTGCGGCACTGCCACGGCAAGAGCTTTCATGAGTGGAGTGTACCCCTTTCGATTGGAAGTATTGATAGAGACACCGCTAAATAAGCATACAATTCACCACAATATCGTCATTAATTCATATCTTTAAGGCCAGATCACATTTGACGTCGTACCTCTTCATCAGTATCTCCAGAGCATACAGGTTCTTGGCCGACACAGCAGCAAGCAAAGCGGTCTCCCCAGTCTTTGTTTCGTAATTGGCTGGTATGTCGCCGTTTGTGATCATCCACAGAACCTGCCGAAAGTCACGTCTTCGCAAAGCCTCTTCATACTGGTGGCACAACTTTGGATCAGCGACGCGCGAGTTATCCGCGCTATCAACACCGATGCCAGCCTGTTTCTTCTTCTTTTTCTTCCGTGGCTTAGCTCCTCCGAGGGACCCATAAGGACTCGGGTCGTCGAAGTCTCGCTCACTAGCGACGTACTTCTTGGATTTGGCCCGTTGCTTCTTGGAGAAGGGAGTCAACAGTGGCGCCAACTTGGGCATTGTCTGAGTCGCACCCTCATACACCTTTGTCTCCTACAACAACCTTCCTGGCGTGAGCATTTGCTAATTCCGTTTTAGCCCTCAGCATTCGCGGCAGTATTTTTAGGCGAGGGTTGGTTGTCTTCAACCTGTCGTCGAACCAATTCAGCCTCGCATTGGCGTTGTCAGCTCATGCTGCGGCAATCGCTCTAAATTGCTCAAGGCGCAGCTATTGTCGAGGTTGTCACCCATCGAGACCAGTCCGCGGCGCGGGAGTCGGCGAAAAATGAGGCGTCGGTCTGGTCTCGCGCCTGCCCCGATCGAGTTCCTGCCTCGACGATTCTACCTGGTGGTGATTCGGGAGCGAACGGCGTGCTCAATTCATCGCTTGAAGGACTCAAATCGTGATACGTTGCCATCATTATCGAACTCACCAGAGCGGCATCTCTTCCCAAGAACACCAGGCATCCACTATGTATCACTCCAGGAACAGCTTTTACCCAGTACCCCAAGTAGCAGCGATTTCGTGCTTGGCATCCCTCAGACTATGCGATTCAACTCTTTCCTGACGGGCATCTTAAGTGCAACGACGGCATCACCACTCGTCGGAGACTCCGCTACATTACGACATCCGACCAGTCTTAGCCCCGAAAAAGTGCACTATTTCTTCTTGCGAAGACGACATCTTCGCGAAGAGATCCAAGCGATTCACCTCATTTGCAGATGGCGGCTTCTGTACCTCCAGCTTCCGCCCCATGAAGCGCTGGCTCCGTTCGAACACCTGCCCTATCTTTTCTCATCATATCTCTCGTCTTCAGACCCATTTGACCCGCCAAATCTGCTGGTGTCACTTGTAGGAATAGCCAAAGGTCTGGAGAAGGAACTCTTGGGTCAACTTGGTGGCGACAGGGCGAGTGGCGCATCAATACCGAGTTACGGCGAAGAGCCGAATCTCTGGGTGATTTGTCAGCGATTCATTGTATACGACGGATACGTACGAAATAGTGCCGAGCCCAAGCAAGATGAACAACTTGAAGCCTTAAAAAGCACGATGTCAGCTCTCAGGCAGCGAAAAGTTTCACTGGTGGTGAATCTCGGGAAATCCAGCACAGAGCTGAGTACTTTCACTGCGGAAGGGCTGGAAGCGCTCGACATTTCATCATCTTCCACGCCGGTATCCTCGATGCCACTAACTGACAAGCTTCCACCATCGGATGAAGCACTGGTAAATCGATTTCTCGAAGCTTGCGAAGGTACCGAAGGTCTCATCGCAGTCAACACCTCAAGTGGTTCTGGTTGCGTGTCAGCGGCTACGTGTATCGGGTGCTACTTGATGAAGCACTCGAACTTCACCTCGCAGGAAGCAATAGGATGGCTTCGTTTTTGTCTTCCTGTGAGAATCCCCTTAGCTTGGGAGCTCTTTCTTGGCCAGATGCAGTCACAAATGTGGTTGGAGGGGGAAAGATTCCGACGAGCTAGAGAAGGCGACTTCCGCGACGAAATAGCCGACACGTTGTTCAGCGACGCGATGCATATCAACATCGGGAAGATCAGTCTTGGACGTGTATCGCTTCTCGGCACAAGAGATCGAGACAGACATCGAGCCGACCCTCACGCCGCGAACATCCCCGTCACCACGTGTCTCTCCAGTCGCGCGCAGGAGCCTCACCAGTCCCCAACAGCAGCAACAACCACGGCCCAACTCAAACGGCGACCGCTTACCCAAGGCAGCGCTGGTAGTCGACGGTATCACCGCAGCACAGACGGCACCAGCTTACGCGCCGACTTCGCGCTAATGCACAAATTCCTCCACCAAACGCCCTCAACAAGCACTCGATCATCAGCAACAAGCTCAACCTTCACTACAACTCCTCTCCACGCCGTCCCATCCCGTCCGAAAGCTTCTGCTCGGTCACCCGACGGTTCTCCAGCCAACTGTACTGAAGCTCTTGCATGACCCACATCAAGAATCCACAAGATAAAATAAAAAACAAGACCCACTTTAGAAAAACTCTTCCCCTTCCTTACCATTTTCAACTTTCTCACAACTTTTCAAAGTGGTTAAGCGGCGTCTCGGCGTACTTTGCAATGGTGTCTTTGGTGATGGCCATGACCTCGTCGTGCACCTGTTCGATGGTGCCCGTGGCGTCCACGACGTGCCACTTGGGCGTCGTGCGCTCCATGATGTCGTGGAAGTTCTGGTACACCTTTTCCTGGAACGCCGTGGTCTCGTACCGCTCCTGGCCAAAGTCGGCGCGGGTCGACGCCTGCGTGACCGGCACGTCCAGGAAGATGACGGCGTCGGGCTTGGGCAGGCCGATCTCGGGCGCCCAGCACCAGTCGAGCGACATGCCGCTCTTGGCGGCCGAGAAGGCCACGCCGCTGAACGAGTAGCGGTCCATGATGATGTGCTGGCCGCTGGCCAAGAGGCTCTCGATCTTGCTGGCGGCCTCCCAGCGGTTGGCCGAGAAGAGCAGGTGGATGGCGTGGTCGTCCATGGCCTCGGAGCTCGTGAGGTACGAGTGGATGCTCTGGCCGATGGCCGTGCTGCGGTCCGGGAAGTGCAGCAGCGCCGAGGGCTGCGCAGGGGACGAGGCGTTCAGCGCCTCATGCAGCAGCTTGGTCTGCGTCGTCTTGCCGCAGCGATCCACGCCCTCGAAGAGCACGAAGATGCCGCGTCGAGTCATGCTTGGCTACTTCTTTGGTGTTGGGTGTTGGTTTGTCGTGCACTTCGGATGTGGTAAAATGACACAGACGGATAGAGACCGACCAGGTTTTGAGGACGTCAAAAGACCATGTATTATCCAAGCTTATTGCCGCGATTAGATGCTTGTGGGGCAGGCATGCCGAAAATACGATATATATCTATTTTCTCAAGTTAACGAAATACGTATTTGTTTGTATACCAAGGAGAGAAGAAATAAATAATCTGAAGACCCCGTGCTGACGCAGGACATCATTCAGTAAATTGCTGCAATCGTGTTACCTTCATGGGTTCTTACAGACACTGCCCACGGTCGCCACATCCGTGTTAAAGTTGCTGAACAACATCATTTTGGCATAAAGGGAAAATTTGATGGCGTTAACACAATGAAAATTAGGGGAAAAAACTTCTCAATCATGAAGGATAAATTCAACCGCAGAAATAAAATCTAGAAGTTTTGATCTAAGCTGGAATAAATACCGGATAAACCAAGGAGGTATACCTACAATAAAATATTGATTCCGAAAATACAAATATTTCCGGGCGTATTTATTTTTCGGGATCCCTGCTTGTGGCTACCGTACTACACTCCTCTTCACTCTTCACTTCATGTTCCACAGTCCGTTGGGGCGTGGGCGCATCGCGTGCTCCAGCTTGTTCGTGCGAGGCTTGGGCGCGTACAGATCGGCAACGTGCAGGACATTGCCAGCCCCTCCAACAGCGATGATATGCTGCGTACACGGATGCCCGTTCAAACGACCAAGGCATTCGACCGCGCGGGTTGCCTCATCACAATCGCAGGACTGGCAGGTTGTGCCCAGAGGGTTCGCCTCCCCGTCGTTGGCGTAGGCGAGCAGCGCTAACTTAAACGAGTGTGTCGTAAGCAGGTCGGGGATCGGAAATGGAGGCGAGGGGACAGCGGCGCCTCCTTTTGCAGCTCGGCTGTTGGCTGCAACGATTGCTTGAACGAACTCTTCCACGTGTTTCTGAGGTGGAGTGGATCCGCTGGAATTAGCAGGGATCCCACACTCAGACACTGCGCCCAGACACCGACTAACGGAGGGGGTACTCCGATAACCGCAGATTGCTGAGTGGCACACCTTGTGTACCCGTCGGCGGGCTGGATCTGCTCTCTCGTTGACACGGAATGCGCAGCGGGTGAACTTGAATGTCCTTGGCGGGGACTTAGGGAGATGTTGGGGTAATTCGGCAGTGGGGGTCCTTCACGCGGGTCTGAGTAGGTTGATCCTTGGTCTTGGCCGTAGATCTTGTGGATCCGATAAGTAATGATCCGGCGTTTTTGCCTTGTTGGGGGTGTTGTATCCTTTTCCTTTACGTTGCTTGCCGCCTCCTATTAGCGGGGGAGTTGGGGGGCGAAGGCCGAAGGGCGCGAGCTGCTGGCCAAGCTATCCAGCAGTCTGCCACGTGTGCGGGGGGCAAATCACTTGATTAAAGTATGGGCCAATACTAATCCCAATACTAAGGACCAAGTGTGTGGTTCCCAAGCAAATTCGACTCTCATTTATGTTAGCCTATGCCCTGCCTTCCCATCCGACTTGGATCCTATCCATGACTGGCTCTCCTTCCTGCCTAATTATCCAACATAGCCACTGTACCAATAAACTGGTACGGATCCGCACCTAATCTAGGGGGTCCTAATGTAGATGACCGGATCCGTGGGCACCACACCACTCGCACCTGATCCAACTTCAACTGTCCGGATCCAGCAACCGTACCCCCATCCTGCAACCATGGCGTCATCTGAGGGACTGGGCACCGTCACCAACTGCCGGATCCCATTACCTGGTCAACTGGCGGATCCAGTTCCATCAAGACCATTCTTGAGCGGATCTTCTTACCACATTTCCAGTTGAAGATAACAGGGGGGGGGGTCCACGGCGGCATGCCTCGCCAGCTTCAGGACTTCGTCGTATAAGTGTTCTTCCCCGTTGCGTCGGAGAACGTCCTTCAATAGCACATCGCGATTCATCTTCGCGCTGAGACGTGTAAAGAAGAAAGAAGAATGGGGCGATTGAATCGACAGACCGACTCACACAAGATCGCGATTAACTCGATCATGTACGAAATACCGGTATGTTAAAGGGTGTATATTTCTGGAAAACCCGGATTGAACAGCACTGAGAGGGCTGACTAAAAAAAAAACAGTCAAGATGACACATGCTGGGCAGTATTTAAACTGTCACTTTCTTCAAGTCGCTGCCAACAAAATACCTTCGACCGAAAATTCGCTGCACGTCGTCGCGTTTGACACGTTCGCAACTGACTAAAGTAACTGGACAGAGTCCATCAGCCAGTGGGCAGGCCTCCCTGGACCAACCATTTTTGAGCGGGCAACACCGCGTCGCACCCTCACACTTTGTTCTCTCGCTTCTTCGAGAAGTCGCAGCTTCCGCGGCCGACCGATGTACAACAGTACGGCTTCGAAGGCACCACCGCCCAAGGCTGGCGATCTGGTAAAGATATCCCCCCCTGCTTCGTTCTCCCGTGGTCTCAGCTCTCTCTTGGAACATCCGGTGTCACAGGCTGTGGAGTGGTCGCGGGACTTGGAGTCCCCCGTCAAGCAGAAAGGCGAGCCGAAGACGGATCCTGTGCTCCTAAGGGACGTGCTGTACCACAATGGGAAAGAAGAGTTCTACAACCAAATCATGAAGCTGGTTCATGCCGATGACGACCCCCCTGTGATCTTCGAATGGCTGCACGTCCACGAGTTTGTGCAGGCTATTCTCCGAGCGAGAATCCAAGCTGCTGTCCCTGGAGGCCACCCTGTCCCTCCGCCCCCATTCGCTATTCCGAACCCTCTAAACTGGATGTCGTTCAGAGCGGCGATACTTACCTATGCTCGGGATGGTAGGTCGGACCCGGTGGGCTCAATCTGTCTTCCTTGCAGTCCTGCTGAATCAATGCGATCCGTCGAAGCTCTCGGTCAGCTTAACACTCATGCGTGCGTGGACGCGACATGTCATCCGCTTTGGAGGTGCTGGCAATGTGCTACCCATTGCCAATCTGTACGTGCCCAGACCTCGCTCGGATACGTTGGACTCCGCGATCCGCCCACGCCCAAACGGATTGTGGAATACCCAGTGAAGAAGACTCGGCACAAACGAACCGCCGAATACAGAAGCAGCCCATCGTCGTGCATTCTCAACCACAAACAACTGGTCGTCATGCGTACTCAACCACAAGCAATTCGTCGTCAAGCGTGAAACAACTCTCCGTAGCCAGCATCTCGTCGTCATGCGTTGCGCCATGCCATCAATTCGTTGCCATTCGCATTAATTACGGTGAACATTGCAAGTCCCCATAAACGCTTTCCAGGGTCGTAGCCTTTTGTTCGAACTGTTAACCCCCCCCAGCGCGATTGCGCCTATTTGCCAAAACCCTATACACGTTATGGTTTTATCCCATGCTGGGCACCTACTAGTATAGTTTAGTTCATACTAATACAATCGTGTACTGTATCTACCAAAGCCAGTCCATATCCCTCACCCTGACTTGACATCTATCGTCTAACGTGTATTAATATCAAGTGGCACTGATTATTGCAACACTACGGTGTTGGGCATGGTAACACTGTGGCATCAGTGTTACTGGTACGCAACACTACCGTGGCAATTTATTGCACTGCAGAATGCATGTAGCGTTATTTTACCGTATGTAGAGACACATAAGTTTTTGTGGAGTCAACACCAACGATGTCAGAGGCGCTGCAGCTTTACCAAGGCTTGAAGCTCACTAGCAGCAAGGCAGAAGTGATGATCACCAGGCAGCAACACCCACTTCAATGCAGCGTGTACGCTTTCGACCGAGCATCTTAATGTTTCTGTCTTATACTCCAAAGTATTTTGCAGTGGCCAACCTCATAAGGATAATTCCACCAGTGTGGGGAAAGCTCAGTGCCGCCATAGACCAAACAACCCACAAGTGCAATATGTACACAATGCATGCACCGAAGTGACTACTGAAGCTTCTACATGTAGAGATCAGTGAATTCAGCTCAAAAAGAAGGCCACTTTACCACCGTAGCGATTACTGTAGGAATCGGTACATATCCTCAACACTAAGTACTTCGATGTAAGAACTCCTCTCCCTTCCCACCACAATAGCTTACTCATGGTACAGTATACATGTAATACACGTAAAGAGTCTGTAGCACTTCGTTCTGGTTCTACATACTGTTCGGTTCGTCCAGCTTGGACGCAGCGGCACTCAGCATACAACAGTCCATAACTACTAGTACTAATAGAGCAGTGTAGCAACAAGAAGACGAATTGCCTTCTTTCGAGAACAAAACTCTCCTCATTGCCGGGGCATGTCAGCTAATATGTAGCCGGTAGAGCTCGCAATATAATGTACAGTATCGCGAAGGATACATGATCAACCAAGTGTCTGATTCGGTTTCGGTCGTTATTGACGGCGTAACATTCCAAACTAATCAGATCCATGAGAATGTCAATGCTACCCTAAAGGCTCTAACTGAGTGGGATCTTCAGGATCTGCAACGACATGGTTCGACTAGCAACTTTGCCCTCGATGCGTACGACCCTCCTGCTACTTATTGCCCTCAAAGCCTTGATAATCTTCTAACGAGTGCTTTCATTAGTGTTAATCAAAATGGCGGCGAGTTTGGTCTATCGAATACTTACACTAATGCTGGAGATAAGGAGCGCGCTCTATGCACGAGTGTTGCTACTGCGGCGGGCAAAACCGATTACACTGGAACGCTTGCTGCTGATATTACCGGATCGGTTTCTAATGCATCCGCGGTCGCAAAGCCCCAGGTGCATGTTGCGAGTGGGGTAGATGTCGGTGTTGTCGAGCCGTTCTATGCTGCGCACTACGATTCGCTTTGTAAATATCTGCGACTATTTCAAGAAATGACCGATGAGCAAAAACGTTAAGGGTTTCATTTATCTGAACTACAACAGTTCCTTGACGGGCATGACGACGAGCATCGCCGGTCAGCTCAAGCCATCAAATCTCGCGAATTTCCTGCCCAACATGCGTGTTGGTAATACCTGCCCAGTTCTATATAATATTGCTTCGTCGGCAAGTGGTGCTGTCATTTCTCAGTCTGGTGCCTTCTCGACTACGACGGGCCTCAGTCTTCCACTCGGTGCATCGGTTACAGTCAAGGCTGATGTTGATGGAGGAGTGCACGCGAAGTCTGGTTTGACTCCTCCTCAGGCCTTCTGTCGGTTGCTTGTCCCGACGTACATGCCTAATCCGACGGCTGACCATGCTGTCGTTCAGAAGAAAAGCTTCCGCTACTTTGAGCGCATGACTAATAAATTCACTGTCCAGGCTGGTCAAGCATTTACCTATACGCTAACCAATGGTTTGGCTAGTCCTAAGAAAATCTTCCTGCAGCCGATTGTCACCAATACGGCGTTCGGCCAAGCTGCTATGCCCGATGTCATCAACCCTCTTCGTTCTCCGTTCGCGACGATTCCTGCTACCACCAGTCTGTTTGCGAGTCTGCGCAATCGTCAGCCGACTGTTGGTAATATCCCGATCTGGAACAATCCTGTAAATTTCGGTTACGATATGTACGTACAGGAAATGCGTGATCCGGTGTAGATGGCGGTCTTGACGATGACAGCAAATCTGGTCTGTTGAGTCAGCGTCAGTGGGAGTCAGGGTATGGCTTTGTGGCTGTTGATATTGGTCGTCGTCTGCCTTCGGAAGACGGTACTAGTAAGGCTATCGTGATTTCCGGCACGAACAACACTAATATGCCTCTAACGGTCTATTACCAAACCTGGCGCGATGCCGTGGCTACGGTCGACACCGCGATGGGCACGGTGAGCCAGGTCGCTACTCAGGTTTAAATATTTAAAAATAATCTAGATCGTAATATAAATCAACCATGTCGCTATCATCTTATTTCAGTGATAACAAAACCAAGCTGAAGGATTATGATCAGTACTATGATCATAAATCGCGTAGCGACTTTGTCCAGCGTCAGAAGCTGAGAGCACTAATTGCTCAAGAGGCCGCAGACGATGCGATGACTGAAAAGCTAGCTCAACTATATATGAGCTCCGTCAGTAAACTCCTGATTACGAATACGATGCAGTTCTGGAAAAAAAAATCAGAAATCAGCCCCTAAAGTGGCTCCTGCTGTAAATTTACCACCTCCCGGTTCAAGATTTGCTGAAAATATGCGCGATAAGACTCGCGCAGGGTCCGAAACGCCTGCTACTGCTGCCAGAAATCCTGGTAGAAGTACAAGCTATAACTACTTCATGGGAGATAGCGACCTCAAAGATATGATCACCTCTGTCCGGAGCGAAACATTTAAAGCAAGGCCATTTGGGGATGCTTAAAAAATTTGCCGATGAGCAAGCCAAGAAATACGTCAATGATTATCAGAAGTATGCGAGGGTCCACAAGGTTAACTCGTACCGTGTTCTGAATTACGCTGAGATTAAGGAAGCTAAGGCGTATATTGTTAAAAATATCATGGTTGGCCACAAACACGATCGTAAAGAATCTGATGTTGGCAAATCAGCTAAGCCTCCTCCAAAGCGGTCTCGTTCGAGAAAGCTCAATTATCATGATGCGGAAGATGTATCCGATGCCGAAAGTGTGGATGAGAATATGTCTCCATCGGAAATCAAGAGAGAGCGTCTACGCAAGGCAAATCCCGATATTCGTGGTGAGTACACTCATCTCTTAAGGATGCGGACTGCTCAAAAGGATTTTAGCCAGCCTAAAATGATAATGCACTTTCAAGACCTTTTTAAGAAGAAGTTGATGAGCGAGAGGGCAAAGGCTACTTCGATAGGCATTATCCAACTGTCAGCGATACTGCCTCTAGCAAATCCGCTTTCGATAAGCACAAAAAGGAATCCTCGATCGCGTATTCCAAAAATAAAAAATTACGCGATTCCAGATCTTACTGCTCTGCTCACCATTCCGCGATAAATGGATATTTTTTATCGGCAACATGGATCTCCATTATCGCATCTTCGCCAGTCTGGGGCGTCTCTAATAGGCACAAATGCGCTATCTCCGAGCGCGATGATCTGATCGGCTCGCATGCCCATTGAGCCAATGATTTGACTGGGGTCATCAGCCGTCAGATTTGATTTAAGCTTCGATGGTTTACAGCCCATATATATACTAGAATGTATATTCTTCTAGCTCGACCAGAAAGTACAACGTCCCGTCAATATAATCAACCTGCCTAACAACGATCATGTCCTCGTCAAAAATGAGCTGAGCCGGATCGGTAGTGAAAACACAAAGAATTAGAATCGATCGTTTCAACTCGCAAAAAACCATGATTATAGTTGACAAGATATGTTTTCAATCATTAGATTATCTAGTTCAATTTCTGCTTCAGTTCATCCACTTCCGATTTGAGTTCTTGGATAGCTTTACACAGTACCGAGGTTAAACTGGCGAGGTCGATTCCCCATGGACTCACTGGAAACCCATCCGGATTAAGCTCATCGTTTGCTCCAATATCTACTGCTTCTGGTATGACCTCATCCAGCTCCTGCGCGATATATACAACATGAACAGTCTGATCTTGGGTCATCCTGAATCGTCTAGGTCTCATCATCATAAGGGTTGCCAAACCTTAGGGACAGTCTACGATGCCCGCCTTCAGTCTCACGTCCGAAGCGTTTGTATACAAGCCGCCACGAACCGGGACATAGGCTGTCCACGCGTAAGTAGCATCACATTTTCCCAACCTGATTGCTCCTACCGTAGAGTCAGTTCCGATCGCCGGATAGTCAGTCTGGCTCCAATTAAACCGATACCTAGCGAATCCATCTCCGTTTCCCTTGCAATGATAGAAATTGTTAGCCCAAACTTCGCCCCCAGAATGGATAGTTGCTTCAGGCGACCAACTAGGGCCTAGATCGACTCCTAAGCGCCCCGAGTTATAAAGATACGCCTTAGTCATGTTTCCAACCATAAACCGAAGAGGGTCGCTCGTACTAGTGCCTATAGCTACTCCTGAGCTGCCTCCAGAAACATCATTGTAGATTTGTAGCTCGAATTCGATAGGGGTCGATTGATCATTTGCTATACGCAACGCACGTTGCCAAGACCCGCTTAGTAAATTCGCTGTCGATGTAATATCTAACTTCGCTGTACTCGAAGTCGATCCAAAGCGGACGTAGCCAGCCTGGGTAATGCGCATGCGTTTCGTCATTGGCGACAAAGCGTTAGAGCTACTACGAGTACTAATTACAAAATCGGCAATACTGTATTGAACTGAAGTAGCTGTTCTCGTGCAATATAGATTCACAGAAGGCGTATAAGTAGTCATATCACTAGTTCCTTCAATCGTGAACAATAATCCAGCCTGAGCGCCCACCGTGTTCGATTGGTTTCTGATAATGAGGTTGAAATCGCTTGCCCTCGTTGTCGATGTAAAAGAAGTACCAGCAGCAATCTGACATTGAGTAGCAGAAGTCGATATCAGATTGGTCGACGGTAAAGATGAGATACCTGATGAAATGGTGCTATTAGAGTCTAGTACAAGAGCTTTCGACGCTTCCCCCGTTCCGGAACCTGTTATAAGCTCCAGGTAGTTCAACTCAGCCGTAGTTGCTGTTAATCCTGAGAGTTTGTTCAGCTCCGCGCCAGTAGCGTTGAGCGTAGTACCCTAAATCTGAAGCGTAGTAAGATTGATATTCAGAATCGTTGCATTCATAGTTTGAGTACCTGACTTACTGATCGTATCACACGTCAGCGTTGGTGATGATATTGAAGTCGAAGCCGTAAAGTTGCGTGATATGGTTAGATCTCGGATGCCGGAGTAGTCTTTCGTACTATTGAGAACGACCACACCACTATTGGACGCACCTCCTTCGATTACATTAAGAAAGTAAGCATGATTGAAATTTATCCAAGAACTGACTCCATCCCAGAACTTGAGATTTGGAATGAACAGACCTGTTCCACTTGGATTAAGAGTAAGATTGCTTAGTGCTCCTACCGATGTGATATTTGGCTGTGAGGCGGTCTGTAGGGTACCATAAATATTAGTTGCGATCAAACTAGTAATCGTTCCGATTTCTCTTGATGATCAAAGTACGAGGGCTTTGTTGAGAGCTGCTGTACCAGGTGTAACGCCAACAACATAGCAAGGCGGAGGCACAACAATGTCTCCAGCTACCGTTAGCGTACCACCAATATTTAAAGATTCAGATATGAGGCCTCCGCCTAAGTTGAGGTATCGTTTATCCGCTGATTCAATAGTTAGAGCATCTGTATTCGCGCTGAAGAAGGTCGAATTGAAGATTGGTGTCTGGATTGCTGGAGGTTGAGACATTATTGATTGATTATATAATATAGACCTAAAAAATCATGTCGATTCATAATTTTTACGAAACGATTGACAAGATAATCCTTGGACGACGTTACCGTCACACAGACTGAACATAGAAAAGCCAATATGTGGTTGGTTTGTGGTTCGAATTGCCACACACTCGCCACACTTAGAAACATATTTCAACCTGGATTGATTGGTCATTTGTTTAAACGGGATAACGTTTTGTTTGCCATAGCTACATGCCTCGACGGTAAAGCCTGTTTACAGTATCACCAACAAAGGCGAACACAATCATTTTTTTTACTGAATGCACGTTCCGGTGAGATCCTCATCGGTATTCTAAATACTGACCGGTGACGCTGTGTTTCTCAACCTAATGCAGTCTGACAATGTTCCACTTGATGCCTTAAGTACTTCGTACCTGTGACAACCCGAGAACATCTCCGTCTACATGATAAGTATGCATTGGAATCATGGTCACACGACCAGCGACCAAGTTAAGGTACATGGCCGTGACCAGGTAAAGCGTGTGGATAAATCATACAAGAAACTAACCACACCAATACAGTCTGCATGACTGCCTTGAGAAGCTGTGTGGTGTGAATTTGACGTAGTTGTAGGGCGACTTAAGCAAAGCAAATCTACCTCATTAATCATTGTTTTTACCTATTCCGAATCGATTAGGCTAATGCTATAAGCAGGGTGAGACGAGCGGAGCACTTGCATGAAGAGTGTCAGTCGGAGCGAATTCAAATTTGCATTTGTAGTGGCCGGAATGGATATTTGCTTGATGTGCTTCATTGCGAACAGAAGAATGAAAATTCCGCAATTGTAGTCGTCGGTCTGGTGCAGGTCAATAATTCACTCTTGTTTGTATGAATCATACTCGCTTCTAAGGCCCGCTTTTAAATACGATCGGCAAATTTGATCAAGTCGATTGTAGTAGCACTGCAAGTGGAGAGGATCAAACTGATAAGTCCTTCTGCAGCCTACTCGTCGGTCGACCAGTACCATGCACCAGTGGAAGTTATCGAAACAAATTGGAAGAACCAAATCCGGGATACACCTAGGAAAGATGTAGCAAATGCATCATGCAACAACGCGTGCTCTGGTTTCGTATAACTGAAGAAGGATGTGTCGATAAAACAAGTGTCTTTGCGGTATCCAAGAGAAACATGGAGCGCCATCTTGATGCACAAGTCGTTCATCCAGTTTCCGTCCATAAAGGCAAACAGATCATAGAAAAACGCATCCTACATGTTACAATGGCGGTTTAGTATCAACATGTACATTAAAAGTTAAAATGTTGTACTCACATGATTGCCAAGCGCTAGGCGGCTGAACACGGACGTTGTTCGAAGTACATCCACAATTTTTTGCACGACTTCTTGATTAATCTGAATCTCGTCAGCATGACTTTGAAACCAATTCAAGCATGAGGAAGCTGCTGCTAGATATTGAAGACGCTGGTGGAACATTTGCATTGCTGTAATAGCGGAAGAGTGGAAGCAATATCCAGCATTCCCAGCCTCCACACAAATATTATCAATGCCTTCTCCATCCACATCTACGTCATGAACAATTTCCCCGTTGACGCGGCTTGCATCGCGTTTCTCAATCATCGCCGCCTCCAACATAATAATGTTATCGTAGGCTGTATCCACAATCGCTTTGTCGAATACAAATCATAGATTCATTGGCTGTTTACCGTGTATTGAACTGTACTTTGTATTAAAAGCAACGATCGATTTTTATCCACATTTCAAACCATTTCAAACGAAAACATTTTTGGTAGAGAGAGATCAATACTGAAGTAGTCGTAGGAATGTCAATAATGCTGGCAAGCGAAGTAATCTCTTCTGCATGATCGCGGTGCTGCCTCAACCCGCCTGCCTCTTGATGCGAAGCAGTGCTCAACTGTGCATTGTCATCCACGAGGTTATCACTGTCATCATCTTCGCTGTCTTCAAATTCAGCGGCGCTACTTTTGCGATCCGACTTGGCTTTTTGTTTTTTTCGATCTTTTCGGGTACCACGCACGGGTTGCCTTCGTCGAACGGACTCGCCCCGACACGTGAACCTTTTTGGTAAATGTGAGTCAGCGGCACTGAACGTACTCGGAGTAAGATTTAAATATTTCTTGCTCGACACACCAACTCTATTTGGCTTCAATAAGTCCGACCTGGTCCGCCTTATACCTGAATGTTGCAGTTGGGGCCCTGTGACAATTGCACCGCGTTTCGTGGGGGTAGATGCGCCCGAATTCATCGCACCTTGGGGGAGGCCCTTTTCAGGTGGCGTCGCTAACTGCGGTATATGTCCATCTACAACCAGGTCGACAAACTGCTCCAATGTGCGAAAAATACTTTCGAAATGGCTGGTGCCATGCGCCACCACAGCTTCCGTAAGTCGCGCTTGCAATACGGACAGTCTACTAAACGTTTCTTGTTCAGTAAGAGCCTTTTGCCTGGTGTTAATCCGCGTGACAAAGGGGAGTCGAGCTTGAGGAACGTCAATGGATATCGATATATCAGACCGTAATAACCACCGCTTATGAATACTGTTTAGCGGGATGACGCTCTGGTTTGGCAGCGTCTAGTAACACAACAATATATTAGCTATCGTTCAAACGTGAATATTGTAAATGTAGAGGCTACCTGTCTTCTTAAATACATTGCGTGATAGCACGATAGTAATAGCGTTCTTGAAAACGAGCAGGAACACGTCCAGCTGATGGTATCTAGTGCGTACTTGTATTCCCCGGCACTATCTCGCGACACAAGGTAATGACCTGGGCGATCTTCTATGAAATCGACTTGTGTCGAATGCTGATTGCTTTGTTAGATCTGGTCCAAAGTGATATGGTCGTGCAGTAAATATGACCCACCTTTAGTGCGTGTAGATATTGCTCTTGAATAAGTTCTGCGGCATGCTGGGACGCAATGCGTAGCACGTTCAACATTTCACTGTCGTAAGATCTGTTCACGACAGTCCCGATGTCCTATTCAAGTACAACTTTAGATGCATTCATGATTTTGTTGTCATACTACTAAAGGTTACTTAAAGCCATTTGCCGGGAGAATTCTTTCTCTTTGAGAAGCTGTAGAGTGAGGACCGTAGAGATACTCTCATCCAGCGGCATCTGCATGTTTAACTCAGGCTTTAACTTTCCCCATCCGGACTCCAAGCGGTTGTTAGTGTGATTTCCCAGGTGCGGGCAATCATTGCGGTAACAAGTCACCCAGCGTTTCTTACATTCGTCCCAATTTGCTATGAAGTAGGCCTCAAACGGGTGAACGTCATCATCATCCTTCACAGTCTGTCCATCATCCCTCACAGTCTGTCCTTGCACTTGTGCGTTTTTGGTTTTGCGTGACTGCTTGTCGAGATGAATTTGTTTTTTTCTTCTTCCGCGAAGACGCGGCCGGCCATTCGTGCTTTGGAATAGCTCGAATCATGGATAACATCGAATCACGAGCTTCGACGTACGTATAATCATCCTTGGCGTATACCATGTCTTGAACGGCTAATAAGACTTCACTCTGTCTTTGTTGATTGAGGCCGTATTTCGCATTCGCTGCACATACAAATATTGAAATGAGCCTTGGAAAGCAACTACAATTACTTTCACAACTACTAGAGCTTTACGAACCTGTAACGGTCCGAAAGTATTTGAGGACATGGAAGTGGCAGATTAGTACACGAGCTCGGGGAAATTCGTCTTCGAGGACCTTGATTTCAGTTAAATCCTTATCTACCTGTAAACAGTACTGCAATTAATACTAATGCCTTTCAGCGCGTAGAAATAGCAACAGCACGTACCATGATCACTTGCACACGTTCCCACTCCTCGTTGTTCTTCTTAAACGTCGAGATCGCATTCAGCATGTTTTCTTTTGTCTCGGCATCTACGAATGCGTGTTGTACAAATTGGCCAGCTCCAAACGTGTCATGAACCATGAAACCGAACAGTTTGTACTTCAGGTCATTCGTTTTGTGCGTGGTATCAACCAGCAGCATTTCTGGAAAAAGATGGAACAGACGTCGCATTCCCGAGGTCTGCAGCGTTAAGCACCGCGCAATTCCACCGTCATCCACGAAAAGTTGGGATGTATTGCCCGCATCGCTCTCCCTGAAGTCGTTCAAGATACGGGCAACTCGAACTTCAACAGCGTCTGGCTTGTACTCTTTGTAATCTCGTTGATCATGTTGCGCACATCTTGCCGGATCACGTCCTTGCCTTTGAATTTGGGAAGGTTACTTTTGATCGCGGTATAATTTCGGTAATACGCAAAGCTACAGTACCCGGGGACTTGAGGACGTACTGATAAATCTGTTTAAATGGCGATTTAGCTTTATTAGCTGTTGAACCATCGCCAAGACGACTGGGTCTTTCACGCGCCGGTTTTCAGCATACATTCGCCATATCGTCTCGTTCACAGGATGTGTATGGATAGGTTCCGATTGATTCACTCGGTAGTAGTATTCCCACCTTCGAGTAGTCTTGTTTAACACTCTCGTGAGAGTCACAGACAAGCTTGCTTCACATGCTGTACCGCGCAAGTGCTGAACAGGTCTCGTTCCGTTTCCTAAAGAAAATAGAAAACTTAGCCACAGTATATAATAATGCACTGCAGGTAAGCCTCGTATACCTCGGTTGCGGTCCTTCCACCCGTGCGTACAGATAAACAAGACGGAGTAAAACCGGCCATACTCGCTGCTGTACTGCACGTCTTCTTGTCTTGATTTATTAAAGTACTCAATAGAGACTGAACTCTTTTTCCTGTAAAAAGAACATTGAATAAAGGTAAGTTTGACTAGACCTCATAGGGAATGATAACCCAACGTCGCGAACGTACTTGTACATCTGGTAAGTACTCTCACAATACTCCCCTGAAGCTGCCTCGAAGTCGTCCCAACAAAGAACTGATGTGCGCTCCATCCGTCGAGACTCCGACTCTCCGTGCGTACCCGTGCCGGTTGTACTGTCATGCTCATCCGTCCCAACTCCGCGGATTCCTGCACCACCCTCCGTTGCAGCTAAACCAGGGCGACGCCAACTCCCGGCGCCGCCGACACCGCCGTCACCGCCGGCCGCCAGGCCCCGCTCCATCGATGTCGTTCTGTATCCGTGTGAACTGCCAACGCTTGTCTCCTCTCCCGAAAATAAACCACATGTTGATTTTTGTGGGGCAACTCACCAGCGACTTAAGCGACTTCAACGATTTAACTGCACACGTACAACAGCGCGCCAAGAACGCAGCGTAAATCGTACAACTACATCTAATATATCATCACTGCAGGTGGAGGCTCCACGCCTACACAACTTTTACCCGCCACTACATTCAACTGATCTACAGCCGACAACAGTGAGTATGACGAAGGTGGTTTCACAATGAGAAATACCGTAGATTGGTAACGGCTAGCTTAAAAGTTGCAGTACGCTGCAAAACGCGTTCACTTGCTTTCACACTACTCTACGTTTTAGGGTTCCAAGAGCCGATTTCGTTGGGTTAAGTGCCAGAAGGCGCTACGACAGCTAGATTAGCTAAAAGGTCAGCGCCCGCCACTAGGCTTAGCTGATGCTCGTGAAGATCGACGCCCAAACAGTAGCTCCCAAAGAGCATTTTAAAGGATCAAAACAGTTAGTTGGGCACACCCACAGCTGAGGATGCTTTATCGAGTGGATGAGCGTGCTCATCTGCGCATTCGGATTCACACCCGGGTATCCGTTGATGCTCTTGGTCGCCTTATCGGTGAACACGTCAAGGAACTGCCCCGCGGCTCCACCTCTCAGTTATCATGTATATAGCACTTCTGAACTTGAACACATTACATATCTTCTCATGCTTAAACGTGTCGAAGCTTTGTGATGCCTTGACGCTGGGTGCACGCTCAAGTATGGACGAGCGACTCAAAGCATGATGTTTGAACCACTCCTGGGCACGACCGACACGGGTTCGATATCGTAGAGCACTAGTATTACCGTCTCCTTCCCCTGTTAACGAGGCTGTCCTCAAGCGATAGAAAGCGGAAGTCGTTCGGGTCATGCATGTACGATATCGACTATCTTGCACGACATTGGAGTCGTACTAGATATACATCCCAGTGCTCTGACGCGTGGTGCTGGTCGCGGCAAGAGCGGTGCCCTGTTCCAGCTTAGCCCTCTGCCTCCTACTTATCCTCCTAGTGCTGATTAGGCTGAAGAGCCTGACGCAGACGCCGATTAAGGAAGACGCGACAGAGGCGATACGCAAAGTAGGAGCCCCAACCTGTAGATGAAGCGTTACCATCTGCGGGACAGGTCGTTGTAGTCGTTAGGAAGAACTAATGTACCTCAATTCAAAACAAACAAAAACAAAATCCAGCGGCAATAGCCACCAGGTCTTGACACTATCTCTGGGTAGGTAGTTAGTTGACAATAGCCACCAATCGGTTACTACGGGTTATAGGTATCAATGGGTCAGTGTCGCACCACTTGTCATGCACGTCTCGACCGGACGTTCTGGTAAAGCTGTGCTATATCAATTGGGTTCTACAAGCTCCGAGTATCTCCTCACTGCATATTTACCAGCGATGGTATCAGCTACGTAAGCCGCCGCACCAAGCCGCCAACGTCTCGTGGAAAACAGCAGCCCCAGATTCGTTGGATGCAGCCTCAAGTTCGCCGAGGCGATGTCGTGCTGCTTCTTCTCGCGGGTTATTACGCTTAGGAAACAAGATAACCGTACCGTGCGCAATCTCCTATTCATATTACAGCCATATGAAAATGGCAACCACAAATGCGCCAGATACGAAGCAACATACGCTCCACACACGTGTGTGGATATAATCACTCCGAAAATCCTTAAGAAGTACCCTAAGAACGAGTTCTTCGATCTGCCGTTTCGAGGAACGTTCTCGGCTCCATCAGGGGCTGGGAAATCAAACACAGTGCTAAACCTGATCGCTTTGCTTTTTAAGTGCTTCACACGCATTGTCATTGTCACCAAGGAAATGGAACCGTTATACGAGAATCTAAAGGCAAAAATACCACGTGTTGAGATTCACGAGAACGGCGCTATGCCCAACATCAACGAATATGATAAGGATACTTCAAAACTGATGATCCTCGATGATTTGGTCCTTGAAAAAAAAATCTTCGCTTTTTTTGGGCCTCACGAGCAGTCTGATACACAGATTGGGGTCCGTAATCTGAAGAGGAAGCATATCTTGGGAGTAGAAGCTTACGAGTAGCTCGTTCGTCGTACCCTGCACAGGAGTGAATGCAATGCCTTGCCCCTGAGAAGTTGTGATAAGGCCGCCGAAATCAACGCCGGCGCTTGTGAAAGAGTGTAGTACTTGGTTGTTATTTGCCAGAGGATTCGCCAGATTGCTCACTCCTACAATGACAGACGCGACATGGTCGATTTGAGGCACTAGATTACTCGAGACGCTGTATAGAATCGCCTGTTGTGCGGGAGGATACGTAGCCTGGCTCAGTCCTACAATCGATCCGAACGAGTTCGATCCCGAGTCAATGATCTGGATCTGCGGAGTGTATCCACTCGTGCTCACAGCCAATGCACCATTCGCGGCCGTATATCCAGCCTGCGCTACATACGGCGACATCGTGAATTGCAGAGCGTATGCAGATGGGTTTTCAGCGCAGCTGATAAAGTACTTGTACTGACCAGTGGTATTATTGATGTAATATAGATTGTTTTGGATTGACCAATATTGCAAATAATTATTGATATCCGATGCTGTGTATGTACCATCGGGGAGAGTAATTGTGAAGCTCTGAGTCGTGCTTCCAGTTGGCCAAATGATTTTGAATTTGTTATTGCCTCGAGCAGAAGTAAATGTCTTCCAACTGTAATACATACTCACGCTACCGAGCGCGACCTTGAACTTAGAGAGATCGACAGGGCGTGAGAACGTGTATTTGTACTGGTGAGTGCTCACCTGGTTGTTGATATTGAGCATAATCGGAAACGGCATTTCTATCTGGAATGTTATATATTATCGATTGATAAAAAAATGCATCGACGGAAGAGAATGCGCATAGCCAGGTTGCCAAAACCGATGGAAATCTATGGCGGCGAACTAAGCGGAATTAACAAACCTCTTCAGGCTACTACCCACGAACACAAGGCAACAAATATCCAAACGCTCAAAGATCAACTAGAGAATATCACAGTCAAAGAAATCGTGAAGGAACATAAAATGAAACGAAAGCCTAAATACATTGATACAAGCTCTCTGCTTCGCTTTACGCGTTAGGATCAAAATAGTTTTTGAAGCTAGCGTAGAATTGATGGGAGAAGACGCCTTTCTGGTATAGCTTATCGAGAATTTCCTTCATCTCAGCCCTAAGGGCTGGTGCATCGTTTCCGATTGTGATCGCCGACTGGATCATATTCAATCGATCGACATGACGGCTAATTGTGAGATTGTAGGTTCGCTCAAACTCACGAGAATCGACCTTGCATTTCTTGATGGCATAAGCCATTAAATCACGCTCACTCTCGCTCAGCTGGTTGAATAGGGTTTTGTCGAAGCTTCTATCATCCTCTATGATGCGCCATAGCTCAACGAAAACGTGTTAGACCAGCAGAGAGTGCACAATTCGCGTCTTCGCGTGCTTGGATCTGATGGTGGCATACAAGCCATCGAAATGCATTGAAAAGGGTCCGTTTGGTGATTTGAAACGTGTCGACATGGTTATATTAGTCTCTATATATTTCGTTTAGTATCAAAAAATAAAAGGGCTCCTAGAATGCACGTTTTATATTTTTAGGAAATATGAATTAATTTTATCAGTTCAGCTAATATAATAAAATGTACAAGCCATTCAAGCTCGATTTATCTCATGCACAAGCTCAGAAAGTACTTGATGGAAAAACGATTCGGCTTCGCGCTGATCATCTTGGTAGCGGCAATGAGCATATGTTTCATCCCGAAAACTACAAACGACTCGTGCGCGCTAGGGGCGCCCACAAGGGTTTAACGCTCGCTATGGCTCACGGCGAAGTTGCGGCCACCTATCACTCCGGTTTAACCGGAAGCGGTTTTTGGGGCGATCTGTGGGAGGAATTAAGAAAGGAGCAAAATTTCTCAAGGATTCAGGAATTTTGTCGAGGCTACTAGATGCCGGCGTTCCAGCTGCGGCTACGGCTCTTGGTGCTCCTGACGCCGGCGTGGTCGCAAGAAGTGGAATCAAGCAGCTGGCGGGCGTTGGTCTCAAGGAAGATGTAGCAAAGGTTGCCAAGGTAGCTAAACGCGGCTTCGAGTACGCTAAAAAGAAGGGCATCGTCACCGATGCTCTTGATCATGGAGAGAAGTTTCTGCTGAGCAAGAGCGATCGACGAGAGCACCAGGAAAAGATTCGCTATGTCCGTAGAGGTATCCGACGAAAGTACGGCGTAGGCACGGCCGGAGGCTCTTTCCGCCTCGGATGAGCGACAAAAAATCAACCATGACAGTTTTTTATGTCTATTTGGCATCGGAAGATATTGATTTATATGATATATAGTAAACAAATGTCTTCTGATATTCAATATATTGACTTCGATCTGGCAGACACTGCAGGCGTATATGACAACAGCTCTGATCATCAGGAGGGAGAGAGACTCGCTCGACAAAATGCTGAGCTCGCTAAACGGCGAGCCAGTGCGAAATCTGAGCTTCGAAACCTATGCATGCGCTCTGAGCCACCTCGTGCAGCTAAATGCCCAAGAGATCTGAGATCGCTAATGTTATAAAAAAAATATGTTTTTGCTTAGCTCGAGAAGCCTCGACGCTGCCAGTTGTATAGCTGACCTGTGAAGACTCCGTGAACAGCTTGTGGTGCAGAGCTTGACGCTCGGCTTGAGTCATTCGCTGATACGCTGGATCCTCCTGAATTTTTTTCTTCCAAGCATGACGGAAGCTGTTGGCCGTCTGGGGTCGGTTGAAGATCTTATCAGAGTTTCTAGCAACAGCCTTTGAGAATGCTTCTCGCGTAGTACTGATCAAGATGACATCCTTGACTGGAGATAGCTGATAGATGAATAGATGCTCAGGCTTGCTACCGAGCAATCGCCCGAGTAGATCAGTCCAGTACTTGAGATATCGCTTCAGGTGGACGTTTTCAACCTCGATAATGTGCTTCCCGAATGATTTCGCGTTTTTGAAATCGTTCATGAGCAATCTGATACGTCCTCCGCGAAGAACATGGATCCAGTTCTGCTTCGGGTCGAGCCTATTCACGGCAGCAGATGTGATTTTGAGAGTGCTCCAATCCGATCGTAGAGCTGGTTGATAAACATAGCAAGCTAGCATCATAGCACGCTGTAGATCACGAGCGAACGACTGAATGTTCTTGCGATCACTAGCGATGTCCCATCTGGTGAAATCATCATTGCTGTTTTTGATGGCCTTGTGGCTGAGATCATAATCAGCAAACAGCTCGTGAATATATTCTCCAGCTGGAGAGTCATTCCATCAATGCTGAGATATGTTTGTCCGTTGCTACGTTATCCAGCGACTGCTTTTTAGATTTGTTGCGCGCTCGCACAGCGGCTGCCTGAAACTTCTGACGAGCATCGGCTTCGACAATCTTGCCGGCCTTCGTGTTGATCAGCGCGATAACGTGAAACAGATACGTCTTGCGGGCCTCGTCGCTCTTGGATTCGTTGATGTGTCGAATTTATCTTGCTGTAGCTGTTCAGATAACTAAGTTCGTCAGCGTTTCCACCGATATCACGGTACTGCTTGAACAGGAACGCAACTCGATTCTTCAGGGTGGACGCAGCCACCTGCTTGCGGGTAGAAAAGAACTTCACAAAATCGTCGCGGGTGAGCATGGTTAATCGGACAGGAATATATATATATATATTAGTAGAAGAAATGTTTAACCCCTCTAACCTCGTATTCTGTATCCTACAGAATAAGCATTGTCACAGGACATATATCCAGCAAACTTGACCTCTCTTTCGAACTTCGCATATGGATGTTTGTATAGCCGGTATTCTGCACATCTTCCTGTTAGATTAGCGATGGGAAGATAGACGGGATTTATTCCGCGGCAATAGACGGACGAGTATAAACCACCAACAGGTTTGCAAATTCTGGTGGAAGTCTAAAACCGCCGCGTGTCAGCCACTCGTACTTTCCTTCATTCCGAAACTGCGCTGTTCAAGACGTCGCAATGCAAGCTTTGTTGGGGCCCGTCGAGCGCGCCCAAGTGGCCAAGGACCATGGCCGAAGACGATCATGATGAGCGCCATTGTGATCTACAGGTAAGCCAGAGCGTGTACTTTGCTCTGTAACATTGTACTAGTGGTATATTGATTCTACGTTGCGATGTTGATTACCAGACCTGGTGATCCGACCCAGACGACGCTATGAACTCTCGCGTGTGGCCCGATTGGCAGATCGATTGCGGAGTCAGCGCACAACCTCATCGGTTCCTACGAATCCGGCTACAGCCGGGTCTACGGCTATATTGTAGCTGATGCAGTGGCTACTCAAGAGGCTACAGAAGAAGCGCTCCTCATGGTGTGGCTACACCGGAGATTACAGAAGAAGCGGTAGATGCTACGACGGATGCTACAGAAGAAGCTCTCCGCGTGATGAGGTTACACCGGAGATTACAGAAGAAGGGACAGAGGCTACGACGGATGCTACCGATGAAAGCGGCAGGAATGGAGCGGCAGTGCCGGAGGCTACAGAGCAAAGCGGAGGCTGCCAAAATGGCGAAGATGACCCACGGCTGGCGCGAACATTGAAGAGCGTGCGCATGTAAAGGAAAAATTAGACGTTGGCATGAATATCATATATTGTCCTGTTTCTTACAAGAGGAACCGTGTGTAGTGCGTGTCATTACGGGCTATTGAGCATGCAAGCTCCCTGGTGTTGTTAGAGAGACAATCATAACAAGCTTGTTAGGTGGGGTAAAGAAATCTAATGATGCGCTAATGTCAAGCACAAGGAAAAATTCGCCCAGTTCCTCCTCACTACGTCAGTTAGGAACTGGACGATTTCTTCCTCCGCGTTTATCGCGACGTGCCGAAGATGGGTGGCTGGAGCCGAAGTATGCTGCCTTAGCAGCCTTGCACGGTATTACCACGTAGCAGGTTTTGAGCGTCTCTACGCTCGCCACGACCAATAGAAGCTCGCCATTTCGGCATATGGTGGATACATTGAACATGTTTTGTTCACTTTCGTAGCTCTTCTGTGCACAATGTACCCAGCGTTTGACCACAAGATGCGAAAGGGCTTCCAACAGCAAATCTTTGACAGGCTTTGAAGTATAGTTTAATCAAGTCTAATGCTTATTCTGTTGGATACAGAATAAGGTCTGGGGCTAGAAGGGTTAAATAGGGACAAAAAATATCCGCTCGTTTGCTCGGTTAGACAAAAAAATATATGTAGTGATGCTTGTTTTTTTTTAGTTTAGACTCACTCGCGAATGATCTGCCAAAATCTAGCGGTCTTGCTTCTCTTGTCCTTAATAAATCGAATTCCTTTGGTATTTGAGCCAAACAATGCCTGACGCATCGGTTGCTCGCCTTGAGTCTCACACCAGCGAGTATAATTCGAATATGCATCAGGCTTGCACCATTCATCTACGCCGACAAATCAGTATGAACATGATTCCAGAAGCGAGCTACGTTGTCTTCGGTTGTCTATCGGAACTCTTGCTGAGCCTCCGTTTGAACAATTCCATCCATAGGACCTCTCTTGACCTTGATCTCGTGCTTCAGATATGTGTAGAAATCATTAATGACCGCGGAATTGTTAATCGAGTTTTCATACAATTTTTTGAAATAAACCTTGTCTTGACAGCGCTTATCGTTCAGCTGAAAGATCTGAAGACGGCGAGCTCCACGACCAGAAGGAATCGTTGCGAGGTTGTTCGTAGTGATAATGACCTTAAGAACATTCATGACAGTAATTTTATTTGCGTAAAGCGGACGAGCAGACATGAGCTTGTCAGTCAGTAGCGACTTTAGTGCTTCGTGATTCTGTCCGAAAGAGTTCTTCATCTCACGGACCTCGTTGACGATGCAGAATTTCTTACCGATCAAATGGGATCAGCGCACATTCACAAGCGAATCGATAGAGCCGGCAGATACATCGACAGAGTGAATGCCGAAAATAGCAAGCAGCAAATCGGTGAAACAGGTCTTACCGCATCCTTCTAAGGCCGAGTAGTTGGAAGCATTTCAGTTTTCGAATCAGGGTATTGAATCAATTTAGCCAACCATGCCACCATCTGATTGTTCATCGCTTCGTCATTATCACAGATGATCTCTTTGATAAATATGAAAATGTCATCGCAAACTGAGTAATCAGCATCGCATTCAACCATCTGAGCCTTAAATGGAACGCATGAGTTAAAAACACTAGTATCGCTGTTGTCTCCAAGCTTCTCGACGCTGACAATTAATGATTTATACATATGAAAGAATGGTAATTGCTGAACCATCAGAGCGGATGCGCTAATTGGTTTATCACGCGAATTGATGTGGAAGAGCATCGACTTAAGCGGATCTACAAGCTCCTTAGTCATTTCAGCGTTAGACTCATCCTTTGTCAGATCGACGCGGTGATATCGCTCACCATCGACCATAATAACAAAGTAGAGATCAATTACCATAACAAGCATCTTGGCGGCGGTTTCGTCATCGGGAAACTTGTAGCAATGCATGTACTTGACAATTAGTCTCCATTTATGAAAATCGTCAACAATAGGACGGTTAGTGGGCTTGATATATCTCTCGCACCACTCAAACGCAAAATCGATGCTATCGTCGGTGATTGCAGCCTTGAGCTCTTCGGCCGGGATAGATGTAGCCTTTGCAATGAGCTCTAGTAGCTTGGAGTTTCGCAATGTGTCATTGTCAGATACGCGAGCATCCTTCTACTTTTTAAGCTTGTCCATCTTAATTGGCTCTGGCTCATGCTTAGCCTTCCAAGCGCGGTAGCCATCTTGGTTGGAGCCTCCGGCAACAGCCTTTAGCGAACCAATGCTAATCTTGTTGTGGTATTTGGTCTCGGGTCCTTCCAGATCATACGATGTCATAGCCATCCGCTCGTTGAAGCTCTCGCCGAACCAATTTGCAAGGATAACTCCATACGTGCGGCGATACAAGCCCGAATCACCCTGCATCTGATAGACCATACGAGTGAATCCCCAAATGTTATCGCGGTCCCGGAACCAGTTTGGGCTGATCAGCTGGCATAGCTTGTACAGATAATCGTCGTGATCTTTTGACTGCAGCAAGAGCTCTGATGTCCTCAAACTATTAATCATATCATTCGCCTTAGCTACAACAGCTTCATACGTCGGCAAATTTTCAGCAACAACGAACAAACTCCTATACTTGATATCATTTTCGGACTCAGCGTTTTCCAGAGCTTCTTAGAGCAGTTATAGAATAAAGCCTCAGCTTTAATGCTCATATCAGTAGTGTCGACATCATCTCGCGTCTTATATATGCGAAGCATATGACCTTGGCTAATTAGAATTTTGAAAGTCATGCGGTATCGATGAGCATCGGTGCATACTGTATGAGCATCTTTGGCATTCAGCGGACAGTCGAATACTTCCGAGTGGAACGACTCGACAGTCGAATTATTTTCAACCGATTCAGACTTTGAATCCTGTACTATAGCAGGTTCAGGCTAAGTGGTGATAGCGGTAGTTGCGTTCGGAAACATGGGTGAGACTATATTTTCTGAAACAATTTCCTCATCAGCCACAATTAATTCCGGCTCAGCATTGTTTTGCTCAACGACAGGCTCCTCGACGACAGCCTAGTTGACTGGCTCGGCAGGCTTCAAGTGCAGGTGCTCCTTGCACCAGTCGGCCTTACGAGTGCACTGAGTGCCCTTGGCGGTCAATGCGTTGCACATGATGTTATCGGTTGTACTGTATGGGTATGGGGTATATACCTATATGGCACTTCGCTTAAATATGATTTTTTTTGGGAAAGGGTCGGTCGTCGCATGCATCACACAAAAAAATAACCAGCGCTTACAACTCATCGATCTTCTCAATGAGCCATGCCTGATCCCCCTTCACAAACTTGGACTTGTGAAGCCAGTCGAGGTATCTGGCATCGAGTAGCTTGATCGTCTTCAGCGACTTGCCTTTGTGTCGTCCCCAGTTCATGATATAAGATCCATCATCAGCAGCCTTGAATTTGCTGTCAATGAAATCTGTGATCTCCGACTTGAGGTTTATCGATTTCTGAAAGCTCACCCAGCGACAGTAGTTGGGATCGATATCGAATACATGCTCAACGCACAAATTGCGATACTTGCCGAAGCCGATAATGGTAGCTGTGTTCGTAGTACTCATGGGTATGTATGTATGTATGTATGTATGTATGTATATATCTATGATCTAACCTCAAAATAGACTCAAAAAATTTTTGGTAGTCTACGGAAGATATTGAACGAACGGATATTTCCAGGTTCGCTTCAGCCAGTTGTAATAGCTGATATCGCGAGATTTCACATCATAGAATTTGAATCCCCTATATTTCCCAATCTGAACCTCAGTGCTCGGCAATATTTCAGCAAGTCGATTTTTCTGAGTTTGTGTTAATTCAGACGAGTCGAAGAGATCTTGAATATGCCTATCGCTATAATAAGCAAATTCGGGACCAACTTTCACGATTCGCTTATGCGTGGCGTTATTGTCATGGTATTGATTATGAAGCATGCACTTCACCCGGCATTTCTGACAATGAACTGTTTTACATCGATTAACAATCAAGCATTTGGGGCAGCGGCGTTTATTATCGAAATACTTCATGCACGTCGATCCAACAAACTCAAGTCGCCCAGTCAGAACATTCTTGATAAGGCAGTTCCGAACTATGGGAGTCGAGCATGGGCACGCCGTTCGCGGAGTAGGTATATCGCTAATCCTGAACGATTCAAAGGCATAGATTGGCGTTTTCCACTGGCATATCCAAAATCTACGATCGGATAAATCATGAAACGCGTTGCTAAACATCGAGCCAGTGAAGATATATTCATCGAAGTTGCGAAGATGTTGCTTGAGCAGTCTCTTCTTCAAAGCCTGTTCAACTTCTCCGTTCATGCTGTATACGTTGCTCGTCCGCGGTTGCAGTGTAGTGGTATGGTGTATATACCTATATGTATCATGGCTTAAAAATAGGTCGATAAAGTCGACGACACGACTAATGTCATCTCGCTTTCGATACGCAGAGTCCCTCTCGTGCTCGTTTCAATCAAATACGGAATGATTGAAACGAATCGATGACACTACTTTTTGAGTGATGGCATCAGTGATGTCATCTCACTTTCGATGCTTACTACTCCTCTCGATGTATTCAGGTCAGTCAAATGTATATTTGATGACATAACTCTATCTTTTATTAATCATAGAAAATATATATTGAAGGGGGGAGGGGGGTGGTGCCCTAAAGAGAGAGAAAATATAGGAGTTTTGCGAAGATGACAATGTCATCTGTCATCTCGCGCACCATGCCTGATATTAAGTAGTAGAATGTCTGTGAGTATCGATATCCAGGTGTCATTAGTAATGTCATCACTTAATAGTGCTGTCATCTTTTTTTATCGCATCTGATAAGATTTGAGGCGATCGGATAAGCTTTGAGGCGATCCTAAAAGATTGGAGGCGATTTCATATGAATTCATGCGAAATGACTCGATTTGATTATGACTATACCTCAATTCACATGAATTCATCGCATACCGCAGTGATTCGACCTATTTGAGTTCATTTTCGTTTCGACGATGAGCAGCAACAGCAACACATCTACTTCGACTGCCGAGGAGGAGCTCGTGCCGGTGTTCGGCTCCAACCCGCTCCGATACGCGCCTCGGCCTCGGCCTCCCGCCGCTACGATCCCCTCGTTGACCGAGCTCCTCCGCCCAAGACTTCCAGAGGGCAAGCTGTACCTGAACGCCGCCAAGGCCCCGCTTGCGCCATGCCCGAGATGCGGCAAGGGCGCTCGATCTGGCATTTGTCCGGACCACTGCAAGAGCCACCGAAACAACATCGACCCTGAGTTCAGGTGGGTTCACATAACCAATTACGAGTTGGAGCTCATCAACACTATCCGACACTATCGATTCCACGAACGAGTGGCCGACCTGCTCGACGCAATTGCAATAACCGAAGACGGCGCCAGCACCATCGACGACAGCGAGTCTGTAGCCATGCTGACCGACTCTGCTCGCGCGATGGCACTCGACAGCGGAGACGAGTTGTAGGCGAGTCTAAGGAGGAGTAGCTTGCCCGCGTTAGCGGGTATGCAGCAGACAGCGGGAGAGTTAGATTTGTTGCACTAATACATCACGCTTGCTTTCTTATCCCTTCGCTCCAGTATTGTCCGCGTTGGGAAGACGTACTTAGAGTTTGTATAGTAGAGAGTTTCTGTAAGGAATCGACTATTGAACAAGAAGCACTAAGAGATCCTATAGTAGAGTATCATGCCGATCCAGTATTGTCCAGCCAGGAAGATAAATTACTTCAGACTCTATAGAGAACTCTAGAGAGTCTGTAGAACCCGTTTAATTTCCCGTCCAGGATGGTCGTATTCCACGTGGATGAGTACGCAGAGCGATTGGCCTTCGCGATCAACACGGCTCAAGATCGAGTCCGTGGAGACTCCCCTTTTTATCTGGTGCATGGTTGGGATCCTCGATCGACGCTCGAGGCGACGATACCTTTGGGTAGTACTCGGACTCGGGATCGGATTCCTCGACGGTGGCGTTATCGGATCCAGAGGCATTACGATCAGGCTCGAAGTCAGGTGAATGCTCGCCTACGCGAGGCGATCGCGGATCGGGCCGATCGACACAATGAAGAAGTTCGACCGCACTCGATCGAGGCTGGATCTCAGGTGTGGCTGTACGAGGATCGTGTGAAAGAGGGGTATGCCCGGAAGCTGGCTCACCTGTGGCACGGCCCGTTCCGTGTTGCGGAGAAGGTGAACGAGTACACGATGAAGCTTCAGATCGCTGGTACGGACTATCACCTGTTCCCGATCGTGCATGTTTCAAAGCTGAAGTTGGTCAGGGACTTCCCCGATCGACCGCAGATCGCGCTCACGGTGGACGAAGCAGATCGACTTGATTTCGAAGAAGTCTTACTTCCGGAGGACAGCTGGGCCCCAGATCGGGACTCGAACGAGTACGAAGTGGAGAAGATCACGGATATGCGGACGGGCCGAAGGACGCGGTACGGCCGGACTTATCGAGAATTCCTGGTACACTGGACGGGTTACGACGAGCCTGACTGGGTCGACAAAGCTGATCTCAACTGTGGAGCTTTATTACACGAGTTCCTTCGAGATCGCGTGAACTGGACCCGATTCAGCGCGATGCAGTCTCACGAGGAGGAGTGAGATCGGGCCACCAGGGTGAGCGAGATGGATGACGGATCGACGGGGAGGTCGTCGATCAGAGGAAGGGGTTGTATATGAATGAATGTGTGTATGTGAGTGCAGATCAGATGGTTATGGAGCGAGTACAGGTAGGTACGAGGACGGATCTTGGTCGATCGAGGTGTTGAATGAGTCGATCGTGGCGAGCCGCGCGTCGAACCGTCGTCGTCCGACGGACCGGACGGATGCGCAGGTGGGTTGGGCGGCGGTGTGCTCATCTGGAATGATCTGCGTTTGGTCCGGCGAATTGGAGAATGCCCAAGGTCGAACCGTCCGAAGTGATCCGCCGTGCGACACAACTTGCAGCCAGGGGGCGGATGTGGATAAGTGCTGAACAAGAATTGTTCTCCGAGAAAGGCGGCAGGGCCGATCGACTGGAAGCATGGGAGATCAGCGATCGAGAGACAGGCAGCGAGGATCTACGGATCAGAGGGAGTTCTTCGGGAGATCTCAAGCAGGACATGTGGCAAGCCGGATTGTGAATGGTCGTGCTCGAACCACGGCGTGATTCGGGGCCGACCCAAGCCCAGATCGACGGCAGATCTCGCAGATCTAGGATGGCTGAGGACAGAAGGTGATGGATCGGCGGCGCACGGCAACCGGCACAAGTCATCGATCGGGAGTTGATCGCCGATCGCCGATCGAGATCGATCGTGGATCAGGAGTCGATCATGGATCGCGGATCGGGAGCCGATCGGGGATCGGGGATCGACCAGGATGGATGCACATGGAGGACGAAGTCGGGGCAAGAATCCAGTAATCGTTTGGTTGTAGGATGGTAGATGAGATGGCAACGGTAGAGAGAGACCAGCTAAACATAAATCAGAACGCAATTTGCACAGAAGACCCCAAGTGCCCTCAAGTCGTCAAGTCCCAGGAACTGCATTGGCCTCGGCAAGTGTTGACACTTCGGGTAGTGAACTAGCGGTACGGTTAAGACTGAATTAATACATTGGCCAGCTTGGCCTACTCTAGGGATCTTTATCTCGTGTGCATGTCCTCGATCGACCGGATACGGCTTGGCCGGCGATCGCTGCGTCTCTCAATCGACCTCGATCCCGCTATAGGTAACTCAGGAAAGGAAGGAACACACCCGGAAAGGCAACTACAGGCCTTGGATCTACTCCAGGCCGGCCGATCGAAGCGAAGAACCCTCGATCGGAGCGTATACTCGGACGCAGAGCGAAGACTACCGCGCTGCTCCACAAACTATCCCCGCGTCACGCCAAGACACTCGACCTTCACCAAGTGCTGCATCTTCGGAGCCCCGAGAGAGCAGATCCAGCCCGCCGACGGGTACACAAGGTGAGAACAAGTTCAGCCGATCACGGATCGTTGAGGACCCCCTCCGTTAGTCGGTGTCTGGGCGCTGGTGGTGTGAGATCGGGAAATGACTGCGGCTGGGCGAGTTCCGGCCGATGTCTAACTGCCTTGAGCTTGCGAGAGATGGCTGACCGAAGGCTCTGATTGGTCGGTCACATTCCCCGCGCTTTAGTGCCCAGAAGATTGATAGAGACTACGGAGTGACAGGAGGGTCTCGGCGGGTCAAAATAAACCGCCTGCCGAGGCCTCCGAAGTTTCATAGTGGGTACACTTTATGCCCAGTAGGAATTCGGATTTAGGACGAAGCTTCGTCCGATTGTAGGATCAGCTCGAAAGCTCGGTCCACACTTGATATTTGTATAGACCTTAGGGATTAGCTATAGGAGAGGCCTGACATCCTCTAATCATTAAACAGAGCAGAATTTTCCCCCCATGCCACACAAGGGTCAAGTTCGTCTACGGTAAGTCGCTAAGGTTAGCGTAGGACCTGGATACACTCGGCTGCACGGGGTATGTCTGCCTGTGAGCATAAGGTGCATTGACCGAGTGTTCATCCTGGTAAGGCCAAGAGTGAGTAGGTGGCCGAGTGTTG